AGTTAGGAGCTGGTTGAATGTTCATGGGGAATCAGGGGCGGAGGGGAGGAGTGTGCTGTCGCAGAATGGGGTGAGCGGTTGGGGTCTCAACAATGTATGTTAAAAAAAATAAATAAATTCTGTATGGGAGACTAACTTGAAATGTAAACTTCATTTAATTACAACAATTAAAAAAAAAAAAAAACCGTAGAACTGTAAACACAAAGAGTGAAGTCGAACATGAACTACCTGTGGACTTTAGTTAATAATAATGTATCACTATTTGTTCACCACTTGTAACGAATATACCACAGGTATGCAAGATATTACAGTAGGAGAAACTATGCAAGGGCGAAAGGGTCTATGGGAACTCTCTGTACTTTCTGGGCAATTTTTCTGTAAACCTAAAACTGCTCTAAAAAATAAAGTCTATTTTGAAAAATCAAAAAAAAAAAAAATGTTGTGGTTAGTTGCCATGGAGTCCATTCTGACTCATGGAGACGCCATATGTGCAGAGTAGACCTGTTCCATAGGGTTTTCAAGGCTGTGACCTTTTGGAAGTAAATTGCGAGGCCTGTCTTCTGAGGTGCCTCTGGGTGATTCGAACTGTAAACCTTATGGCTAGTAGTTGAGGGTTTAACCATTTGCGCCACCCGAGTAGAGGGATAGAAAAGCAAGTAATGTTCATTTCCAAACCAAGGATAATGTTACTATGGATAAATCTGTCTTGTAGGAAGTACAGCCAGAATGCTCCTTAGAAAAGAGGATGGTGAGACTTCGTCTTGCTTACTTTGAACATGTTATCAGGAAGGACCAATCCCTGGAGAAGGATATCATGCTTGATAAGTAGAGGGTCAGAGGAAAAGAGGAAGACTCTCAACGAGATGGACTGACACAGTTGTCGCAACGATGGGCTGAAGCATAACAACAATTGTGAGGATGGCACAGGACCAGGCAGTGTTTCCTTCTGTTGTACATAGGGTCTCTATGAGTCGGAACTGACTCGAGGGTACCTAACAGCAACAGTGATTTAACTCTAAGCTTCCTTACAAAGGCCAAAAGGAAAGCTTATTGATGTGTTCTTTAATTCTCCTTGAGGGAGACAGGTATTAAATTTGAAAATGGTAACGTTTCATGAGCTTCTCTGAACAGCAGTCATGGTTTGGACCTGGGCCTCTTGTTTCCCCCACAGGGTCACCCAGTATACTCCATACCAGCCAGAGGTGTCTCAGGGCAGGCTGGAGAGTTTACTCAACTTCCAGACCATGGTGTGTGACATCACAGGCCTGGACATGGCCAACGCATCCCTTCTAGATGAGGCGACCGCAGCGGCTGAGGCGATGCAGTTGTGCCACAGGTGAGGTCAGCCTGGGATTGGAATTCCCTCAGGGTGAGGATGGTCCTCCTGTCTCTCCTGCTGTCTCGGTCAGTCAGTGCCCGGGGAAGTCTGTCTGTCTCTCTCACACACACAGACATTCATACACACACACACTTATTTGTATGAGCTACATTGTATCAGAGCATTTTTGTTAGCTGCTGGTAACAAAATATCAGAAATAAGAGTGGCTTAAAAAGCCTTTGGTGTCCCTGGGTGATACAAACAGTTAACATTTCTCGGCTGCTAACTGAAAAGTTGGAGGTTTGAGTCCACCCAGAGGCACCCAGGGAGAAAGGTCTGGTGATCTTCTGACAAATTAGCCATTGAAAACCCTATATTCTACTCTGACGTACATGGGGTCGCCGGGAGTCAAAGTTGACTTGATGGCAACTGGTTGTTTTGTTGTTAAACAAGTCACTATTGTTTATTGCTTAACATTATATAAGAAAGACTTCTCATTTTCTCTCATGCAATGTTAAGTCCAAGATATTAAGGACCAATGCTCCTCTTTCTCTGCCATCTTTAATGGGATAATTTTATCCTCATGGTCACAAGATGACTGCTGAAGCTCTGGCCATGACATCTATGCTCAGGAAGAAGAAAAGGGGAAGGAAAAAGAGTGCTTCTAGTTAAATAATCCCCCTCTAAAGAGTTTTCTGGAAGCCACCACTCAACATCTTCCACTTACATTTCATTGGACACCCCTTCATGCAAGTGACCTGGGGAAATGTAGTTTACTTTTTTTTTAAGATGGGCACTGTCTTAGTTATCCAGTGCTGCTATAACAGAAATACCACAACTGGATGGCTTTAATAAACAGAAATTTATTTTCTCACAGTCTAGTAGGCTAGAAGTCCAAATTTAGGGCATCAGCTCCGGGGGAAGACTTTCTCTGTTGGCTCTGGAGGAAGGTCCTTGTCCTCAATCTTGCCGTGGACTAGGAGCTTCTCCGTGCAGGAACTCTGGGTCCAAAGGACATGCTCTGCTCCTGGCGCTGCTTTCTTGGTGGTATGAGGTTCCCACTTTCTGCTTGCTTACCTTTCATGTAAGATAAAAGGTGGTGTAGGCCACAGCCTAGGTAAACTCCCTTTAATTGGATCAGGGGTGTGACCTTAGTAAGGGTGTTACACAATCCCACTTTAACATAAAATTATAATCACAAAATGGAGGGCAACCACACAATTCTAGGAATCATGGCCTAACCAGGTTTACACATATTTTTGGGGGACACAATTCAATCCATGACAGGCACATTGTTGCCCCTTATATATTGGGGTTCTCTTACTGAGTGTGAAGAAGAGAATGGATAATGGCTAGGAACTAGCAATTTATAAAATAGATATAAATATACTCTCTTTTGAAGAATACTGTTCTTATATTGTATTTAATGCTTTGTAGCCTACTTTTATTTCCTATTTAACAATATATTGTGAACATTTTCTTTCTCTTTAGTCAGCTTTCTAGAATGTGACTTTTAAGGACTACATAGTAGTATTCACTTGCATAAATTATTTAACCTCATTCCTGCTGGCGGACATTTGGCTTATTCTCACTTTATACAGTGATTAGTAACACTTCATGAGCATCTTTATAATAAATCATTGTCAAAACTTCTGATTGTTTCCTGAGGATAAATTTATCCAAGGATACCTTTGAAGAAGTAGAATTACTAGGTCATGGTAGATAGTTAACAATTGCTCTCCAGTTCCTCAGCTTTTTTAATCCTCTGTCTTGTGAGTACTTTTGAGATTACACCCTGGTGGAATTCTCAGGTGGATGGTCACGTGGTTGGGAAATCTGCCCACATGCATGGTGCATCTGTCTGAGGCTTTGTGCCCTTGCCCCTGAATGCCCATGGGAGCCCCTTTCTCAGCTTCCAGGGATTAGGAGGCGACACCCAAAGTCACTCCACAGGTATGGAGGCCTGCACATTCCTCCTTAGCCACACGAGTGGCCCTGGGCGGTGGGTTCAGGCTCTTCCTTCTGTCTTTGAAGGACAGCCACAAAGGAATGCTGTCCACTCACCCCTTCAGTTATTATTCTCTACTTTTTCAGTCATTTCATCTATCTCTTCGTCATTCCCATACTTTCATATCTTTCCTCCACCCCATCTCTTTTTCTGAGCAAATGCTGTCATCTCATACTTGAGGAAGCTGAGGACTTTCCCCTTATTCGTTCAGGGTTTCTGTCCAGAATTATTTAATGTTAATGGGTACTCAGTCTGCAAATGCTTGCCTTGGGTCTTGTCTCCTAATTTCCATTCCTTCCGGCCTGCACTTAGTTTTACTTTTGAAAAGTAGCCTGAAGAGCTTCATTATAGGAATGATGGCCTTTTATGTAGAAGGCTAAAAAAGCAAAGTCCTTTTTTTTCTATGGAAACTCCATTATGATAAAGTTTGAAAGACTTAATAATAGTGGAATTTCACTTTACTAGGAAAACTGCATTTTTTAAACTGTTGAAGGGCTTTGTGCTTTTTATCTTAAGGCAAGGTTTGAAAAACAATCGTGGTGTTTTGTCTCCATCTTATGTGGTTTAGGCTTAGACAGCGCTTTTCACCAGACTTTAGACTCAAGCTGCGTTTGATCATTAACTGCTTCCATGTTTCCCCAACTCTTCTTACTCCACTGTTCAATGTATTTTTGTTATAAAAGCAATAATTCTTTGCAGTGAAAAAAGATTCTAACAATAGAGAAGGATGTAATGAAACATAAAACCTACTCTTCCCCGATCCCGCTCCCCAGAGAAAGCCACTGTGAACTGTTCCTTCTGTGTCGTTCTGGGAAGTTAAATGCACAGCACAGTATACATGTATCCCCCGCCCTTTACTTTTTACTCAGATGTGTTCGTAAGATCAGAGCTGTTGGCCATCCTCATCCATTTTGTTTCCTGAATCCGTGGACTGGTAGAAAGAGGACGCCCAGGCTTTGGGTCCTAGACCTACCTCTGCTGCTTCCATAGCCATGTGGCCTTACACAGGTCACAACCACTCTGAGTCCTTTTCCTCTTCTGTTGAATGAGGACACTTGGCTTAGATATGTGTCGCTCTGCTGGCAATACAGTTCTGTGATGTTTTTATTAGATAGCTGCCATCTGAGTCGACTCTGACTCATGGCAACCTTACGTACAACTGAAAGAAACTGCCTGGTCCTGTGTCATCCTCATGATCGCTGGCATGTTTGAGCCCATCGTTGCAGCCAGCGTGCCAGTTCAGCTCACCGAGGGTCTCCTTCACGGACCCTCTACTTCACCATACGTGATGTCCACCTCCAGCGACTGATCCCTTCTGATGACATGCCCAAAGCAAGCGAGTCAGACAGTGTACCATTGTGTTCCATAGGGTTTTCACTGGCTAAGTTTAGAAGTAGACCTCCTGACCTTTCCTCCTAGTCTGTTTCAGTTCGGAAGCTCCTCTGAAGCCTGTCCACCATAGGTGACCCTGCTGATACTTGAAATACCAGTGGTATAGCTTCTAGCATCACAGCAACACGGCAACATGCAAGACACCACAGTACGACAAACTGACAGACAGGTGGCGGGGAAGTTTTTTCTTCAGAGAGTTAATGTTTTATCTTCAGTTGTACCTAAACACCACCATTTTCTTTCTTTTTCCTCATAATATATATTAATTTTGAACCGTTTTAAGGCTGATTTTGCTAAAAGAGGTTAGACCAGGAATTGGATTAAGTGGAATTCCAGTCAGCGAATGTCATTAGCCATTAATGACTCAGTATGTTTATACTCTGCTCAAACTCACCCCAAGCGCCCTCTTTGCTTTGTGTTTTTAGAAGAAGCTCGGATTTCTTTTATGCTCGTGTTTGAATGTGATTTTTCTTTAAAACAGGCACAACAAGAGGAAGAAATTTTTTGTTGACCCTCGTTGCCACCCGCAGACAATAGCTGTCATCCAGACTCGAGCCAAGTAATTAATGCCATTCGTGTTTTGAACTCTGGGGTAATACGTTCATCTCTGCTGTGTCTCTTTCTCACTTCCAAACTGACCGGAGGTAAACCTGGTTTAATTGGGATTGTTGAGTTTCACTGTCAGTCCTCTCCTGCTCTGTGGGCTCCCCTCCTACTTCCTGGACCTCTGCGGTGTGTGAATCGTATCCAGACTGAGGGGAGAATACACAGGAGCTTAGCTTGCCCTTGCTTCACAGTAAGGTGTGACGTTGCTTATGTTGCCTTTTGTTTCTTCTTGTCACAGAAACAAAACCAAACCTGTTGCCGTCAAGTTGATTCCCATTCATAGCGACCCTCTACGACAGAGTGGAACTGCCCCCTAGGGTTTCCAAGGAGCGGCTGGTGGATTTGAGCTGCCAACCTTTTGATTAGCGGCCGAGCTCTTAACCACTGCGCCGCCAGGGCTCCTCTTCTTGTAAAGCAGTCATTAAAAATATGAAAAGTAATTTCAACAGTGCCTCAGAAAGTTTGAAAAACAGAGGGAAAAAATGGAACCCTCCCACGACTGTTATGATGGTGTGTATTCGCAGCAGACATAGATTACAGGGAATCCACGTCATACCGAGGTATAGTGGGATGTAGAGCAAAGCTTACGGTGTGTGTTAGTACTGTCATCAGATGAAACCAAGACAGCACTGCTCCCCTTTGGGGACGTGTTTATTTGCTTTCTCCTTTGTAAAAGCTGGTCCATCTCTCCCCTGCCCCATACCACCATCCCTTCAGAGGGGTTTTCTGGTGAATAATTGGAATAACAGGATTCTAGGAACCTGAGGAAAGTCTTCCTCCTTGTCCGGGTTTCCACTCACCTAAGACGGATCCCAGGTGAAGGCGGGGATGCCTCTGTCATTTCAGCTGCAGGTTCTTTAGCCCCAGGTCTTCTCTGAGGAGCAAGTTTTGACAGGAAAGCGAGAGGGGAAGTGGTGAGGTTGGGAAAGAGAAAGGGGCTGAGCTGTTAGGATGCGCTCATATGAAGCACTGTTGCCCTGAGGGGCCAGGTGTGGGATAGAGTAGGTGAAGAGGATAGGGAGGTAGGAGGATGGAGGACCGGCACAGAAAATTGCACAGTGGTTAAGAGCTCGGCTGCTAACCGAAAGGTTGGCTGTTCGAATCCACTGGCCGCTCCTTGGAAACCTTATGGGGCAGTTTTACCCTGTCCTATAGGGTTGCTGTGAGTCAGAATCGACTCGCTGCCGATGGGTAAGGTAAGGTAAGTTATCACTGAAAAGAAACTCCAGGTGATTCAGTTTTCCGCCTGTACGCTCAAAGCATGCTTGTTGTTTGTCTTCTGCCTTTCCAGGTACACTGGAGTCCTTGTTGACATGAAGGTACCCCGTGAGATGGATTTCAATGGAAAAGATGTCAGTGGAGTCCTGTTCCAGTACCCCGACACTGAGGGGAAGGTGGAAGACTTCACAGAACTCGTGGAGAGAGCCCATCAGAGCGGGGTAGGAAAGCCTCCCTTTCGGGGGGTCCACTGAGCTGTGCCCCAGTTTGGAGTTTTTTTTTCAATTTCCTTACCTTTATTACCTGGAATGATTAAACTCCCTCCTTCCTACCTCTTTTTTTTTTTTGTTCACTGATTTCTTAGCACGTGGTAGGTACGCAGTCAGTATCTGCTAAGTGAATGAGTAGACGGAGTTCACAGAATATGACCCAGCTCTGACAGTCTGCCTTTGAGGATTTTTCAGCTTGCCCACTGCTCTCAGGGGAAGGTCCATTTCTCCGATGTTTCATTTTCAGAGCCTGGCCTGCTGTGCTACTGACCTTCTAGCCCTGTGTATCTTGAAGCCTCCCGGAGAATTTGGAGTAGACGTTGCCCTGGGAAACTCACAGAGATTTGGGGTGCCTCTGGGCTATGGGGGACCCCATGCAGCCTTTTTTGCTGTCCGAGAAAACCTGGTGAGAATGATGCCTGGAAGAATGGTAGGGGTGACAAGGTAATGCAGCTCACGTTTCTGCCTTGTTCTTGTGGTGATGATTTTCTGTTTCTTCTCCTGATCACAACATTGTTGATTTTACTCTGAATTTAACTGGGCCGTATTGGGTCAATTAAGGAAATGTATAACATAGATTTAGAAGGGAGTCTCTGGGGTATGAACTGATGTTGTTATCAGCTCCGACTCATGGCAACCCCATGTACAACAGAATGAAACATTGCCCGGTCCTGCACCATCTTCACAGTCGTTGGAATCCGCTGTTGTGGCCACTGTGTATTTTGAGTGCCTTCCAACCGAGTGGCTCATCGTCTAGTACTATATAGGATAGTATTCTATTGTGATCCATAGGGCTCTTATTGGCTGATATTTGGAAGTAGATCACCATGCCTTTCTTCCTAGTCTGTCTTAGTCTGGAAGCTCTGCTGAAACCTGTCCACCATGGGTGACCCTGCTGGTATTGAAATACCAGTGGTATAGCTTCCAGCGTCCTAGCAACACACATGCCACGAGAGTATGACAAACTGACAGATGGGTGGTGGACTAGCACGTCTTCTCAAACGCTATAATTTTGTACTTATAATTTATAACTTATTTATAACTTATTAGTATTGAAGTCACATAAGTAAATTTATTTAGGCTAATGAAAACCCTGAGAAATAGAATATTATAGACGTGTTTTATATCTAACCAATTTCTTTCTCAAAAATATTATCATGCTACACAGTTATGTAAAGACAAGGGCAATGAGGATTTGCAGAGTGCACACTGAGTGCGAGCCACATGATTTCCCAGGGGCTCCTGCCACTCGGCCATTCCAGGAACTTCCAAATGTACTTTCTCAAGTGCTTCTCATTGATGAAGCTTTTCAGATTAAGAATTTAGGTGAATGTCATGATTATTATTAGGGAAATTTAGCACGATCTTTTAGACCTTTCATAATACCTGGGCTATTAATATAAGTGAATAATCTGATCTAGTGAATGATGTGACATGAATTTTTGAAATGCTATTTGTCAGATGACAGCAAGAGGTCCTTTGCTTTTTAATGTAAAAATAGCAGTTTCTTCAAGTACTCTTATGTTAGCTTCTTTCAGTCTTCAAGTATTCTTACATTAGCTTCTTCCAGTAATGCTCTTTACCAGATGAGATGAGGCAGAAAGCTGTCTAATTCACAATTAGAATTAGCTTTCTAATTCTACTAAAGATTAATTATTGTGTGTTGATTTCTATATAGGATGTCTTACCTTTCTGAAAAATGGACCTCCAGAGCTTGATGAAATAAAGCTTAAAACTTCTGAATCTTTCTGTTTCTCCAAGATTTTTTTTATTGTTTCCATAAAAAAATTTATACATACATTGTTATGTGACCTTAATTGCTTTTCCCATACTGTGACAGGACACTCCTCCTTTCCACCCGATTCCCCATGTCCATTCAACCAGCTCCTAACCCTCTCTGCCTTCCCATCCAAGATTTTTTTTTTTTTTGAAGCAGCAGAAGTTTTTTTATTGAGGGCCCTAAACTGAAAATAGGTTTAGAACATAATTAAAAAAGATAAAACAGCAAAAAATATATGACCTTTTTAAAAATACTTTTCTGTTTTTCTTCTCTAAGGTTTTTAATTGTATTAGAATGGGAAAGAATTATATTAGAGACACAGGGTAATATGACTAACACTCTTCTACTTAATAACCATTTAGTCACTTTCAGATTCCAGTACAGAATTTCTGCTTCCTGTGTCAGACTGTAAAAATGGCATAGGGGCGGCAGCTGACCTCCTCTAACTTCACAAGGGGGAAGGACAATCAAGATCAACAGCCCATTCCTAACAGGTGGGAGGTCAAACACGCCTCCTCTCTCCGCCATCTTTACTAATTCTGACACCAACCGTCCCTCCCATGGCACTCTCTACTTCTTTGCTGGGTTTGATAATCACTGCAATGGCCACACGGAGCTCACAGACCCTACTCACCATCATGGAGTTTATTAGGGAAGTAACAGATTACAATTCAGGCTCAGGAACACTGAAGGATACAGTTCTTCCATCAGGACAGCCTCTTCCCAGCCATGCTGGCAGGCATGCCTCTCCCTGGCCCTAGGCCTCTGCCCAAAGGCGCTCAGCTTTCTTGCCCCATGGGCCGGGAAGCCCACCATGCTGTCACCTGCTGCTGGGTCTCTCCTGCTACTGCTTCTCACCGTCTTCAGGTTTACAGCTTGCTGTCTGCCTCCTGGGTTCAGAAGCTTCTCAGCGCAGGGATCCCAGGTCCAAAGGATGTGCTAGCTCCTGGCTGTTCTTCCCTGGTGGTGGTGGGATTCTCTTCTTTCCTCCTTCTGGGGTGGCTCATTTCAAACCCAGCGGGATGGCAAAACTGACCAATCCCTTTGGTGGCCCACAATTACCCTATCACACAGTCCCACCCAATCCCTTGGGTGGGAGTTACAAGACCATGGTGAGAAAGGCCACACAAAAGTGATCTATCACACCGCACAGATATTTCCCTTGTTCCTGTGTCTGGCAAAAAGCTCAGAGTGACATTTTATCTTTAATCACCATTATTACATTAGGCTGGGCAATACTGGGAAAATTCAAGTTTCTTAGCCTTGGATATATGTTGTATATATCTGTATTGTTATGTAGATATACATATCTAGATCTCTGTATCTCTGTATATGTTGTACATATTTCGGTGCCACAAATCCTCAAAATACAAACTAAAGATCAGTCGTCCTATTTAGGAGAAGAGGTCCCAGTGTGGTGCAAGTGGTTTGCACTGGACTACAAACCTAAAAGTTGGCTGTTCAAACCCACCCAGTGGGATGACAGAAGAAAGATCTGGCGACATGCTTCCGTAAAGATTACAGCTAAGAAAAGCCTATGGAGCAGTTCTACTCTGTCACATGGGGTTGCCATGAGTCGGTATCAACTTGATGGTTTGGTTTTGGTATTTAGAAGAGGATTTGGAAATTGTTTCTTTATGACCTTGCACCCAAGAAAATTTGCTGAATTCACTTCCAGTTGGGAAGGAAAGAAGCAACTCCTGGTGATTATTATCGGTGCTAACTGGATGCTTTCTTCTTGGTCCAGAGATGCCACTGGGAAAGAAGTGTATCGCCTTGCTCTTCAAACCAGGGAGCAACACATCCGGAGAGACAAGGCCACCAGCAACATCTGCACAGCTCAGGTAAATCACATACCTGGCCTGGCCACCAAGTGCCTTACAATCTACAAGCGTAAGTTCTTCCTCCAGCCACTCATTCATGCATTCATTTGCCACCTATTGAGCAGTGTGCATGCCAGAAATGGCGAGGTCTTATGGTGGAGAAGCCTCATGGTCTTGTCAGGCCAAAATGCAGTGTCTTTTACTGGTGTTCTGTGTACCCACACACGTCACCAGAAGTTTTTTTAAATTTTTTATTGTGCATTAGGTGAAAGTTTACAGAACAAATTAGTTTCCCATTCTCTAGTCTGTACGTAAAGCGTTCCATGACATTGGTCTTATTTCCCATGATGCGTCAGCACTCTCCCCATTTCCACTCTGGGCTCCCCATTTTCTTTGGTCCTGATTTTCTACCCCTTCCTGTGTTCTCATCTTTGCTTTTGAGCAAATGTTGCCCCTTTGATACCAGAAATGATTTAATATAAAAGAAAGGAAAATGTTAGCTCATATAGTCCTGTAAAATCCCGTCTTTAGATCTTGAATCCACCAAGCTTATATAAAAGACAGACAACTCTCTAATTTTTTAAAAAAATTATAGTAATATATATATAACAAAAAATTTGACATTTTAACCGATAATCAAAAGAGCCCTGGTGGTGCAGTGGTTAAAGCGCTTGGCTACTAACCGAAAGGTCAGCAGTTTGAACCCACCAGCTGCTCTGCAGGAGAAAGATGTGGCCGTCTGCTTCCGTAAAGATTTACAGCCTTGGAAACCCTATGGGACACTCTACTCTGTCCTATAGGGTCCCTATGAGTTGGAATGAACTCGACGGCAATGGGTATTTTGGGTTTAATGGATAATCTAATATTTAAGTGTACAATTCAGTGACATTAATTACATTCACCATGATGTGCAACCATTACCACTATTTGTTTCCAAAAGCTTTTCATCACCCCAAACAGAGACTCAGTACCTCTCAAGCAAACAAATCCCCCTCTGCCATCCCTGCTACCAAAAGACAGTTTCCATCTAGTCAATTTCAACTCATAGGGATCCTATAGGACAGAGTAGAACTGCCTCATAGAGCTTCCAAGGTTGTAATCTTTACGGAAGCACACCACATCTTTATCCTGCAGAGCGGCTGGTGGGTTCGAACTGCCCACCTTTCAGTTAGCAGCTGAGCGCTTAACCACTGTGCAATCAGGGCTCTTTCCTTCCTGGTAGCCCATAAACTTCAGTCTCTATGCATTTGCCTAGTCTAGCTATTTCGGTAAATGGGATAAGTGGGATCAAGTGTTTCTTCCTTCATCTGTTGATGGCCGTTTAGGCCGTTTCCACCTTTTGGCTATCATGAAGTGCTGCAGTGAACACTGGTGTACAAGTTTCTGTTTGCGTTCCTGCTTTCAGTTCTTTGGGGTATATATATGGGATTGTTGGGTCATACAGTAGTTCTGTGTTTAACTTTCTGAGCAACGCCCAACTGTTTTCCATAGCAGCTGTGGATCTGCATTCCCAACAGCGATGGATGAGGGTTCTGATTTCTCCACATCCTCACCAACATTTGTTATTTTTGCCACTCTCTTTTTATTGGCCCTTGGTGCCATCACCAGGAGCCCTGGTGGCACAGAGGTTAAGTGCTTGGCTGCTAACATAAAGGTTGGCGGTTTAACCCCACCAGCGGCTCCTTGGGAGAAAGATGTGGCAGTCAGCTTCCAAGATTACAGCCTTGGGAACCTGACGGGGGCAGTTCTAGTCTGTCCGGTTGTTGTTAGGTGCCATGGAGTCGGTTCTGACTCATAGCACCCCGTGTACAACTGAACAAGACACCGCCCAGTCCGGCACCATCCTCGCAATTGTTGCTGTGTTTAAACCCATTGTTGCAGCCACTGCATCAGTCCATCTTGTTGAGGATCTTCCTCTCTTCTGCTGGTCCTCCACTTTACCAAGCATGATGTCCTTCTCCAGGGACTGGCCCCTCCTGATAACATGTCCAGAGTATGTGAAACAAAGTCTTGCCATCCTCGCTTCTAAGGAGCATTCTGGCTGTACTTCTGATACAGATTTGTTCATTCCTATAGGGTCACTATGAGTATCAACGGCAACGGGTTTGGTTTGGTTTATAGGATTGCTATGAGTTGGAATCTATTCAACTGCAGTGGGTTTTTTTTTAAGAGGGCTATGACTTTATGGCAAAGGGTTTTGTTTTGTTGCCATCACAGTGGGTCCCTTCTTTGCTCCCAGTGCAGACTCCCTCAGTGAAGCCTCCCTGGGGCTTATCTTATCAGAGATATTATAGCCCTTATCTCAGACAAGCCAATGCCATTCCTTCCCATTTTCTGTCACACTAGAACACACACTTCCCTGTATTTTTCTGAGACCTCAATCCAATGGTCTCAGAAAAATACATATTGATATTTTTTCCTATATTGATTCCCAAAGACATAAGCAAGGACACTCTTGACAAGAAAAGTCATGAACATTTAGAGAATTTGTAAAAACCTTGCTGTGAGCAGGGGACCAAGCCAGTAGGTTCTAGTTTTCTAATCTCTCTCTATATTTCTCTCTCTCTCTCCTTCTGTCTCTGTCCGTTATGTCTCTCTATATCTATCTACTTTCTAATATGTCTACTGCCAACTTTGGTTTGATTTCCCACATCCCATATTTTCATCTGTGCTAGTTCTTTGCCCAGATTCTCCATTCATCTCTTGGCTGGCTGAAATTCAGCATCTAGTACTTTGCGTAAGTCCTCAGGAGAACTGTACTGTAAAACCTGCGAAAGCCAGAACCCGTGCAAGGCAGAAACCTGTCAGAGGAGGGAAACTCCACTGATAGTTTACATTAATAGAGAGCAATAGAAAAGTGGTAAGACTGCACCCTGTCAAAGGCGGAAAACTTGTGAGACCCGGAAAAACAAGGCAGTCCCGTCAAGTTCCAGCTCTTACAGGTTTCACCATATTCTCTGAGTCCTTGTGTGTTTGAAAACCTCTTGTTGTTTTTATCCTTGAAAAACTGAGTATCAGATTCTTGGATTTCACTTTCTTTTCCTGGGGCCTTTATTGCTCGATTGTCTTCCAACGTTAAATATTGCTTCTTAATGTTGTCTCCTCCCATCACGGGTGACGTGATGATCATGTTGGTTGGATGAAACTCCTTTATAATGGTGGAATTTGCAGATTTAGTATAGTAACTCTAAGTTATCTTGGCTGCTGTGTTTCCCCCTCAGGTAGGTTGCAATTGGCCTCCAACTTCTGTAGAGAATGATAGTCTTATCTTGTTCCTGTTTTCAGTTTTGGCATCCCAAGTCAAGTCTCTGTGTCGTTCTAGGCCCTCTTGGCAAATATGGCTGCCATGTTTGCAATCTACCATGGTTCCTGCGGGCTGGAGCACATTGCAAGGAGGGTACATAACGCCACTCTGATTTTGTCTGAAGGTGAGTCAGCTGTGTGTTTTAAAACCTTTGGGCATGACATGACTCATAAATTTGAATAAGTAAAATTAAAAACTCACAGCATGTCCAATACTGTGTGCAAAATTAATAGTCAAATCAGAAACTAAATTTCAATATCTATGATAGACTGAGAGTTACTAGTTTGAATATAAAGAGCTCTTACTTATTCTCCCACCCGAGAAGGATGAACGCTCTGGTAGAAAAAATGGGGAGGAACTACTAAAATTTTTTTTTGAGTATAATTGATATGTTAGGAGAGGGGAGAAAATAGAATCATACAGATTGCCTGATTAGAACCAGAGAAGGCCAAAAAAAGAGAAATGCAGAGATATTCATGACGTATTAAAGTTATTTTAAAAGTCCATATATATATCACACACATATACACCACTTCTAGAAGAATACAAATCAAAATGTAGACAGCAGTTACTTTTGGGTAGCAATGATGGTGATTTGTCTTCTTTTTTAAAAATATATATTTCATAATTTCCTGTAGGCCAGTAATAGGTATACTTAAACTTGTTTTCATTTTTTAAAGCAGCAGCCACCAAAACACTGGCCAGGACCAGGACCAGATACTGTCGTAGAATTTAGCCTTTAGTTGTCTGTGAAATGTCAATGGCAGACGCAAGAGGCTCCTGGGTAGAGATTGGTGGCTTTCCTATCTTGTCAGGTCTCAAGCGGGCTGGCCATCAGCTCCAGCACGACTTGTTCTTCGACACTTTGAAGGTTCAGTGTGGCTGCTCTGTGAAGGAGGTCTTGGATAGGGCCGCTCAGCAGCAAATCAATTTTCGGGTCTTCGAAGATGGCATGGTAAGTCAAACTTCCAAAGCTTTTACAAATTCTCTAAATGTTCATGACTTTTCTCGTCAAGAGTGTCCTTGTTTATGTCTTTGGGAATCAACATAGGAAAAAGTATCAATATTGGCACTTTGGCTACAGTCTATTTTTTCTATAAATATTTTTCATTTCCAATTTGGGACACTGTGACTGTCTCAAAGAAGGGATAATTCATCCTCAGTTTTCTTTAAGATGCTGTGTTTTCTTACGGCACTCAAAGGCACATATTTTGCTTGTAAGATTCCTGTGAATCTCTTTGAATCTCTTCACAATATTACTGCTAAAGGCTATGATTAGTGCTATTGTAAAGTAAGTTAAGGGGAAAAATGTAAACATATTCAGTACCACATAGGAGTGCTCTACAGCCATTGGCCAGTCCAGAGCTGGCTTGTAAAACCAAACCATGTGGAGTCTAGAACTGGTCCAGTTGGCTTTCCCTAAGGGCCAACTTGGATATAATGGCACCCTGATATTTTGGATGGATTGTACCGCACCTTCTCACCCTTTGACCTCTCTTGGGGTTTCTCCAGTGGTCTTTAGAGTTGAGAACTGATGTTTTTTCTCTTTTGTTTTCATTTCCATAGCTCGGTATTTCTCTTGATGAAACAGTCAATGAAAAAGACCTGGATGACTTGTTGTGGACCTTTGGCTGTGAGTCATCTGCAGTAAGTAAAATAAAAACGTGGATTCCTCCAAAATGGGATTCCTCATGACTGTGTGAGGTGGTGTCAGAGATGGCTTTGCCTCTTGTGGGCCTGAGTGTGAGGGAGAAGGGGTCCTTCTCTCTAGAACCATGTACTAAATCACAGCATTTGTTCCATGCGTTTGACTAATATTTGTGGAGAACTGCCCACCCAGGGCTTAAACAGCCTGGGCCGGAATGAGGAAAAAGCCCTGAATTTCATTGGAACTGTTCTCCAAGATAAAAGAGCTGTGTCAAGTGAGAATTCTTACTTGTGTAGTGTCTCCTAGTAACTTATTTGACAGCCCTTTAAGATATAATTTTACTGGAACTTGCTTCACTACTCAATGAACATGCGGGAGATGTAAAAAAAAATTTTTTTTTTTTTTGCAGTAAAAATTGCACGTTTTTTCCTTATCCTGTTGCAGAGGTCAATAGAACTTAAAGATGGTGCTCTGGAGAATTTTCACAATTCATAACTCCTGATACCTATTACAACACCACAGAAGACACCCAGTTGGGTGATTTCCTGTGCTCTGTCAGAATACAGACTTGAGTTTTGTGGCCCTGAAGCCTGGATATTTCCACATGGTTCCTGTCACGGTTCCGACCCTTGAGTTTTTGTGGTTTGTCTATGCAGGAACTGGTTGCTGAAAGCATGGGAGAAGAGCGGAGAGGTATTCCAGGGACTACATTCAAGAGAACTAGCCCATTCCTCACACATCAAGTGTTTAACAGGTTTGTGAGTCTTGTGTGACTCCTGTATTTTGTGCTCTGGCAATAAGCCGGGGAGCATAGTAGGGAGCTACTTCAGACTTCGACTGTGATGTGGCCTGGGTTATTGAGCTGATCCATGGCTCATTAATAAATCACGTTGTTAGTTGCTGTTGAGTTGGCTCTGACTCATAGTAACATGGTGTATAACAGTACGAAATGTTGACCGATCCTATACCATCTTCATGATCATTTGTAGTCCATTGTTGCAGCTCTTGTGTCAATCCATCTTATTGAGGGTTTCCTTTGTTTTCATTGACTTTCTACTTTACCAGCTATAAAAATGTCATGGCAGGGGCATTGACCGGCCTCCTCTAATTTCACAAGGGGGAAGGAGAACCAAGATCAACAGCCCAAGGCTGATTCCTATGAGGCGGAGGTCAGATATGCCTCCTCTCTCCACCATCTTTACTAATTCTGACACCAACTGTCCCTCCCACGGCACTCTGTTTCTCTGCTTGGGTTTGATAATTCATTGAAATGGGCACACAGAACTCACAGACAATACTCACAATTATGGGGTTTATTAGGGAAGTAACAGGTTACAATTCAGGTTCAGGAATGCACAGGATACAGTTCTTCCATCAGGACAGCCTCTTTTCAGCTGTGCCCGCAGGCATGCCTCTCTCTCTGACCCCTCAGCCTCTGCCCTGCTTCGGCAAGTGTTACAAAGCTCTTTTAGCTCTGCTGATAAGTGCCCAATGGCACCCCACTCCACCAGTAAGCCTTGGCCCAAAGACACTCAGCTGTAGCTCCGTGGGTCAGCAAACCTAGCTCCACCAAGTCCTCGGAGGCACCCTATTCCGCCAACAAGCCTCCTGCCTGAAGTCACTCAGCTTTCTCACTCCGTGGGCCAGGAAGCCCACCGCACCATCTCCTGTCAGTGTCTCCTGCCATTTCTCTGCCACCACTTCTTGCCGTCTTCAGTGTTATAGCTCACTCTCTCTAGGGGCTTCTCAGTGCAGGTATCCTGGGTCCAAAGGATGCGCTCCACTTTGGCTCTTCTTCCTTGGTGGTGGTGAGATCCTCTTCTTGCTCTGGAATTGGCTCTCTTTTAAGCCTAGCAGGATGGCAAAGCTGACCAATCCCTTTAGTGGGCCACAGTTACATTATTTGCACAGTCACTTGGGTGGGAGTTACAAGACCATGGCAAGAAAGGCCACACAAAAGCGATTCATTGACTGCACCAACCATGATGTCCTTTTCTAGTCATTGGTCTTTCCTGATGACATGTCCAAAGTAAGTGAGGCAAAGTCTCATGTCCTTGCTTCTAAAGAGCATTCTGGTTGTATTTCTTATAAGATTGATTTGTTCATACTCTTTGCAGTCCACGGTGTATTCAATATTCTTTGCCAACACCACAATTTGAGTGTATCGATTTTTCTGTCTTCTTTTATTATTGTCCAGCTTCCACGTGCATATGAGGCAACTAAAAAGGCCATGGTTTAGGTCAGCGACACCTCAGTCATCAAATAAGCCATAGCTGTAAGGATCCCATTCCTGATGTGGGCAAAGAACACCTTGTTGTCTGATGTCTCTGCTCCCTTGGCACTGTCAGGAAGAGGAAGTTTGGGTTTATACAGGCTAAAGTTCGCATCTTGATATCCTCAACTTCCCAACCTGAATCTCACCCCCACAGACAGCTTCTTGTCAGGAAATCCTCTGAGGCTCATGGAAGTTCCATGCTTTCCCCCTAAAGCACTGTTGACATATTGCCCAAGATCCCATTCGATCTGTGTTTTGAAGGTAGAGCTCAGCGTGTGTTATCTTTCAGGAGGATGTGTATCTAATTTTATTGACCCTAATCATGTGTTTTGTGTTCACAGCTATCATTCAGAAACAAATATCGTTCGGTACATGAAGAAATTGGAAAACAAAGACATTTCCCTTGTTCACAGCATGATTCCACTGGTAGTTATTGCCTTTCTTCCCACTTCCAAACCCACCCAGATCCCCACCTCTTTGGGTCATATCCAGTGTGCTGAAGGAGGGATGAGAGGGTGGCTGTGCGAGAAGCTCTGAGGCTTGATGGGTGGGCTTTAGGGACCTAATCACTAATGTGATGCATTTTGGATGTGCTTCTTAAAGGGCTCCTGCACCATGAAGCTCAACAGTTCCTCTGAACTCACAGTAAGTAGATCACCTCTATCACAAGGATGCTTCTTAGGGGCAGTGTTCTAGGTGTACACAAGCAGGTAACTAGATGAAGCTACCGGGGCTGTCATTTAGCAGCTATGTTAATAATCTTTTGCATTACTATTCAACAGTCTTAGGGGGGAAAACCCTAATATTCTTCAAAATTTGATCATCTAAATTTCTGAGTAAAATTATTTTTAATAAATTAAAATAATTAAGTGTATAGTATTTGTCTTCTTACCCTTCCTTTTAAAAAACTGCAATATTTTAAGCTTTTATAGCATCAACTTTTAGCTCTTAAGCTCAGGTAGAATTAAGAACCGCAATCAACTCTAAGAGACCATATGGTCAACATTTACCTTAAAACAGAGATGAGAAGGAAAGGAGGGCCAGGGAAACTAGATCAATGGCAACAGAACAAAAAGAATAGAAATAACGAGAATGTTGACACATTGTGAAGAGTAAACAATGACACGGAACAAGTTGTATAAAAATTGTTAAATGGAAACCTAATTTGCTATGTAAACTTTCACCTAAAACGCAATTATTAAAAAAACAAAAAATAAAGAAAAAAGAACCTTAAGCCTTCTTTCCACATATTCACCCACTGTGCCAGATGGGTAAAGACTTGAGGTTTTATTTCTTGTGTCAGCAGATTTGTGTAACCTGCCATTGTGGTTGGCAAAAATCTCTACTAGGCCAGGATCCATTTAGTAAAGCAAACTTATTCCTTTTACTTCTTAGGATTATTATGATGTGACGAATCATGTCAGGCAAAGGACATCATTTTATAGACTGATAGGGTTTTCCCCATTTCCTTTTAGTTTTGTGTTTTGCTCTGCTTGATGAAGAGAAAGAACATAACGTGCTATGTTAAGAGTTTGAGTAAACCATACCTGAGACAACTCATTGGATCCCATGGATATAAATCTACTTTTGGACCTTTTTGTTTCTGAAAAGATAGAAAACACTTATATTTTCATATACGCTTCCTTTCTGGGCCTCTGTTTCTCCCTTGTAAAATGAAGGTAGTAATAGTACGTACCTCATAAGATTGTGGTGAGACTAAAATGAATTAATATATTTAAAGTGCTTAAAACAGTGTAGTACACATAGCAGGCACTCTTGGTGTTAGCTATTGTTATCATCATCATGATGGTTGTTCTCATTATTACTATTATAAAAAATTATATATGTATATATTTATATATATATAAACATATATTTTCTCTCTTCTTGCTCTTCAGCCTATCACATGGAAAGAATTTGCAAATGTCCACCCCTTTGTGCCTCTGGACCAAGCTCAAGGGTACCAACAGCTTTTCCGAGAGCTTGAGAAGGATTTGTGTGAACTTACAGGCTACGACCAAATCTCTTTCCAGCCGAACAGGCAAGGGGATTTTTGCTATTATTTCCGCTATTATATAACAACCCACCCTCAAACTTGGAAGTTTAAAACAACAATTTATTATTTGCATGGTTCTGTGAGTTGACTAGACTGTTGCATTTCACATGGTGTTGGCTGGTGTGATGGAATGGCTACAAAGTCCAAGTGGTCTCATTCACATGGCTGGCCAAGTTGGTGCTGGGCTGTTGGCTGGTAGCTTGGCTGAGGATGTTGGATAGGGTCTTGGTTCTTCCCCATGTGGACCTCTCCACATGGTTGCTTGAGCTTCCTCGTGGTTGCTTGAGCTTCCTCACAGCATGACGTCTGGGTTCAAAACTGAGTGTTCCACGATGAAGGATGTGGAAGCTGCAGACTTCTTAAGGCCTAGCTTCTGAAGTTCCACAGCATCACTTCTAGAGTATTCTATCTGTTAAAGTAAGTCAGAAGGCCAGCTCTGATTCAGTGTGGGAGGGGACAATACAAGGGTGTGGAAGGGAGGTGTGGTTCATTGTGGGCCATCTTGGGAAACTAGCTACTACACCAATGAATGACCTCATAAGAATAAGAATCAAGCACACATGTTAACTCCTAACAAGCAACAAACACTCAATCTAACCCTTGGATTATGCTTTGATTCTGTCACTGACTTTGACAGGTCCCCCTCTTCTGGCCTCAGTTTATGTGTGAAGTCAAAACTCTGAAGAACAGTGCTTTTTAAAAGCACAGGGCTCCATCAAAATCACACAGGCACTTGTTAAAAATATAGATTCCTGTGTCCTACTCCATAGCTGCTGATCATAATCTCTAGGGATTGAGACTAGGAATCTTTTATTGTTTATTTTATTGTACTTTAGATGAAGGTTTACAGAGCAAATCAGTTTCTCATTAAACGTCACACATATTGTTTTGTGACAGTGGTTGCCAATCCTACATGTCTATACTCCCCCCTTCTAGGCCTTGGTTCCCCCATTTACCAGCTTTCCTGTCCCCTCCTGGCTTCTCATCCTTGCCCCTGGGCTGGTGTGCCCATTTAGTTTCATTTTGTTTTATGGGCCTGTCTCATCTTTGGCTGAAGGGTGAACCTCAGGGGTGACTTCAGTACTGAGTTTAAAAGGTGTTCGGTGGCCATAGTCTCTGGGTTTCCCCAGTCTCTGTCAGACCAGTAAGTCTGGTCTTTTTTTGTGGGTTAGAATTTTGTTCTCCATTTTTCTCCAGCTCTGTCCAGGACCCTCTATTATGATCCCTGTCAGAGCAGTTGGTGGTGGTAGCCTGGCACCATCTAGTTAGGAATCTATTTTTAAGAAGCAACCCAAGTGATTCTGATATGAAGCCAGATTTGGAGGCCACTGGATTTGTGATTTCTCTGCCTTCATGTAGATGGAAAAATACATAAATTAATTAAATACTAGTACATTGTCCATATGTGAGATAACATTGTAGGATGTGTTCAAGACTCACATGTGCCTCTAGGTTCTCCAGCTCCTACTACTCAAAGTCTGGTTTTCCACCAGCAACCTTAGCACTGGCATCACCGGGGAGCTTGGTAGAATAATTTCTGTTTCAATACCCAGAAATCAAAGAGGTTTTAAAACTGAGAAGTTTAGTGTCTCACTCTCTGATAAGAAATGAATCAAATTGTAATCAGACACAGTCAAGCCCTCCCTCCTGTTTGGTAACAGGTTACGCAGCGGGCCATGCACTTTGTAAGAACAGTACACACTATAAAATGCAAGCCCGTTAGGAAGTGGGCACGTGGCAAATGACAGGACACAGAGCTTGTTCAGTCACAGCCTCTCAAACTCTCATTTCATCCATAGGAAAGAATTGACATCATGGAAGTCAGGCGTTAGCATACCTTCATTAAAATATCATCATTTAGCATTTATTTGCTTTTATTTTTAAAGTAATCTAAAAGTGAATTCTTAACCCGAGACAGTAATAAATGTATTAAATATTGAAAATGAAGAAACTTCTCCCTCTAGTGATGGAATACGATCACACCTTCAGTGTCATAAAAAAAGCAAAACCCCGTTGCCATCGAGTCAATTCCAACTCATAGCGACCCTATAGGACTGAGTAGAACTGCCCTATAGGGTTTCCAAGAAGCGGCTGGTGGATTCGAACTGCTAACCTTTTGGTTAGCAGCCATAGCTCTTAACCACTGCACCTCCAGGGCTCCAATAATAATTTTTCAAGACTATTTTAACTCAAAGTCTTGAGCTCTTGTAGTAAGTTGAGGTTCCGGCCAGACAGTGAGACAGACGGCTGACCTAAGGATACTTGCCTTCTGTTGAAAGCCAAGGTTCTCCACCTTGGCTGGAAATCAGAATCACATAGGCGAGTTTATGACGTCAGTTTGTAACACTCCTGATGTTCACATCACAGCCGTAGATTACATCATAATCTCAATGGGAAGGAGCGGGTGAGGGGAGGGACCCAGGCACGAGTATTTTTTTTAAAGCTCCCCAGGTGATTCCAACTTGCAGCCAGGGCCGAGAAGCACTGCCTTGAAGTGTCTGTTTTCCTTAGGACACCTGATGCTCCTTCTCTGTCCTGCTTTCCTCATTTGTGTGATTTGCAGCAGACTCTGTACCCAATCCCAGTCTTGCTGAGCGTTAAACGATCTTAATCCAAATGTCGTTCCTGGTAGTGGTGCTGTGTCCAGCTCCAGAGACTCCCAGATGTAGGACCCCTTTCCAAGAGCCTGTCTGAGAGTGGCTAAACCCTGTGGGGTAGGTCTGCTCTATCACATAGGGGTCGCTGAGTCAAAAAACACCCAACAGCAACAATAACAACAGGGGCTGTGCACAAGCGGCGGCTTCACGGGCCTTTCCATGTCCTCGGGACATTTCAAACCCAAGGGTGTTTCCACCACCACCGTCAATTGCTGTGGAGTCGATTCCCACTCATGGTGACCCCTTGTGTGTCAGAGTAGAACTGTGCTCCATAGGATTTTCAATGGCTGATTTTTTTCCCAAAGTAGATCACCAGAACTTTCTTTAGAGGTGCCTCTTGGTGGACTTGAACCTCCAACCTTTTGGTTAGCAGCCAAGTGCTCAAGTGCTTTAATCTTTTGCACTACCCAGGGACTCCAAGGGTATTTATAGGGCCTAAAACAAAAATTTCAGGAAGTTTATTCCATTTTCTCCTCCCAACCCTCCCAAACCAGAGAGCATTTTCAGCTTGGTGGAGAAAATAGCCTAATAATATTTAATTACCTTTCCATTTCTCACTCTGCCCAACAAGGCCTCCTTCAACTTGTTCCCCCTAACACTCTGACCCTCTGAAAATCATTCCACAGCTCACAGATGCCCTCTAGGAACTACTGGGATAGAATTACCGTGGCACGTTCAGGCAGACAGAAACAACAATTAACACCTTCCATGGATACTGAAATGAAAATCAAGCCTGAATTACCGTTCGCTTACTCAGCTTATGAGATTGAGGAAGTGGTTTTTGTTTCTAAAAACTGCTAACTGTGATCTGGAATGTAGACAGGGCTGGCGGTTGCTTTCTCAGAATCTCCTCCTGGGGAGATTCTTAAACTAAATCCTGAGCAGGTGTAATTAAGGGCCTCAGACTTTATTGTGCATGAGAATCACCTGGAGGGCTTGTGAAATTCCTCAGCCCCAGAGTTTCTGATTCAGCAAGTCTGGTGTGCAGCCCAAGAATTTACATTTCTAACAAATTCCCAGGTGATGCTGCTGCTGCTGGTGTGGGGACCACACTTTGAGAACTACTGGGGCTGTAGGGTTCTAACACCTGGCTTCGTATTAGAATTACCCTGGGGAGCTTTTGAAGACTACCAAGGCCCTACCCACCCTCCAAGCTGATTAGATGCCTGAGGCCCAGGCATCTTTTTTTTTTTTTTTTTTTTTTCAAGCTCCTCAGGGGATTCTAATGTGCAGCCATTGGGCTGGGAAGTGAGTTGACCTGGAGGGACACCAAAGAGGGAGGTTTAGTGAGATGACCAGTATCTTCCACTGGAGTAAACCTTGAATCTGGTCTTTGATGGTCAGGCCACCACATACAGGGCAGCAAGTCACATCTGGAATGTGAAGAGCAAACACATTAAGATCCTCTTTTCACGTATGAGATGGAGTCAACAGAAAGTGATTTTCAAAACACTACATAAGAGCTCCTAAAAGGAGGTACAGGCAATGTCTTAGGCTTTTCATTTCTTTGGACAACATATAAGCCATTCTTGTGTTGCACTGCAGGGTTCATTTTTTTTTTCCCAATGTTGTAAAAATATATATAACACATTTGCCAATTCAGCATTTTTCAGATGTACAACTTAGTAATATCAGTTACATTAACTGTCTTGTGCAGCCATTACCCATCATGGATACCAGATTTCCCGTCAACTACAGGGTTCGTTTTGACAAAAAAGATCAGGAGAAGGAGACGATAACACAATTGCAAGGGTAGTTGCAAAGACAGATTTTAGCTTAAGATGCAGAGGGTATTTGGTTATGATTTTTTTTTTTGGACAACAATATATATTAGCTGCCAAATATTACAATTTGTACAAAGGACTGAATGTTAAACATTCTAGATGTTACAGATAGTTGAAGAGAACCAAGTAACTTAATCCTTAAATTTACAATTTACCATGTATAAAAGAAATATTTTTCACGGAGAAATATCCTTTTAAATGTAACAAAATATACTTGAAAAAACAGTGTAAGAAACTTTTTAGGAAGTTCAAATATTATTAGAAATTAAATAGGCCCACTGATTGTAAACAGTTTAAAAGAAAACTTTCCTGAAATTGCACACTAAATGTGGCTTGTGTGCAAACTGTAATGGTGTTCAGACTATAAAATGTTTTTCAGATGTACATCTAGAGAAAATTAAAACCAAAATAGATATTTTAAGATAAATCTGGTAAATCTAGATATTTGATAATCCACCATAAATTGAATTTTGCATTGCAACCACCAAGGAATAGATACATTTTATAAATTTATGTATACAAATTTAATTTTATATATAAATGTACATTTTGAATTTCTGGCACAAGATTTTAAAAATGTTAGAATCCATAACAAGACCATCATCTTTGGGGCACATTTTAAACAGCTTTTGACTTGTATAAAAACACAACAACATCCCATTTGAGAACACAAGCATTCTTTTCTAATTATAATTCAGCAAGCGTTTAGTAACTTCTGTATTCATCTAAAATCATGAATTATAGTATATTCTACAAAATGGTAAATATAAAAATCATGCAGAAAATTTTCTCTTAAAAACAACAGCTACAGTGACCCATCTCCAAATATCCCAAAGCAGCCACACCTGAGAAATTTCTTATGGCGTCCATGAAGTCAGCCTCTGTTTTTTTGTTTTTTTTTAAGAGCAGAATAAGGTTATTTTACATTCATGATTGATCCAAGATGATCAATCAGCAACCAATGTACACAGTAACTGACCAAAATGCCTCCTTTAAAGGATACAATTCGTTTCATAATCTTAATCCATCTTATTTTTCTGCTTTGGCAGTACGGTGCTTTCCACCCCTGACTATTGGCTGTGCGTGCTCTACAAAGTCATCTATCAGAGCGGGCGTCACATGGGGTCTCCGTGAGTCGTAATCGACTCCATGGCAACTGATAACAACAACAGCTCATTCTTCATCATTGTTAGACATATCTGCAATCATATTCCAGAATCTAGCAGAAGCTCCCAAGTGTCCCTTGGGATTGATCTTTTGTGATGTTCCAATAAGACTTGGTTCTGAAGGTCTAACCCTTTAAACCAGATAAAACAAAATTCCAACATGCAACAGCCATTTCTAAATCTAAACCTTTTTTTTTCTTGTCTGGGATTCTTAGTGATGGTAAAGATAAAATGGCATAAATCTTTGGACTTGACCGTGGCCTTAAACTCTTATGCTAATGTTGGCAAAAGAGCTTGTAGCTCTCCTCTGCTATCACCCAGCTCTGTTGTGCCATCTATATAAATTCCTTTCTGTTTTTTTTTTTGCTAAATTCACACTGAGCAGCTGCCCCGAACTTCCACATTTATGACTAAAACGCCGATACTAATAGGGTCTAGGCTGAAATCACAACAAAACTGTCTAATCCCTTCAGCTCCCGTTTATTCTCACCTTGTGGGCCTTTGTACCTGTTATATCGTTGTTCTAGCTTTTCTTGTCTCCTGAATTTCTCGTATGTTCTCTGTGGAATGGGTCTGGGTTTTGGAAGAAGCTGTCTTCCAGTTTTCACTCGTTTTTCTTTGAACAGTGCGGCCCGTAGCGGTTCTTTCTGCAGCTTGAGTAGATGCTGTCGAGCGGAGGCCTTGTTTTTCTGCAAGTTGCAGTGTCCGCGGGTGCCAGGGTCTGAGTCCCCCGGCGGCCCCTCACCACGGCAGGTGAACCACTTCATTTTAAATAGATGTCAGAAAACCATTATCCTAGCTTTCCCTCCACGCATAGTGGTGATTCCCCTAGTCTTCTCTCAATCTAGGTGATGCAGATAAAGTTACTCTATTTTCCATAAAATGTTTCGACCAATAGGTGGCACTAATCACCCCTTGTTTTAATAGCATCCTTGGGTAATAGTGAGCCTTGGGTGATCAGAACACATTGTTTGCACTTGTCGGGTTGAAACAGATGAATTTAAGAGCATCTGAAGCAAAAACAAAAACAAAACCTGCATCATTTCTGATCAAGTGATTAGCATATTGGCTTCCTCTTGGAGTACTAGCTCATCTTCCAACAATCTCTTCTTTCACTCCCAGCCCAAACACCTGGATTGGCCTTCCATCAAAACAAGATGAGTGGAAGTCAGAAAAACACAGGGGAAAAGAGAAAACTCACTCATTGACGCCCCTTACCATGGGCGAAAGGATGACATTAATGTGGAGTGCCTGGGCTGGAGGGTAGAATTCAATTTTGAACAAATTTACTAAACATTTCTTGCAGAGCTGTACTGCATGTACTGCATGTGGGGAAATAGGAGTCTAATACTCTCAAAGCTTACACTAAATTGAGGGGCACACAGAATAAATGTGAGATCGGGACTAATTTTCGATGTACAGTACATGTGTGGGGTGGTATTATCAGATGGGTGGTAAATATATAGGTAACAAAATACTTGCCATTTCCATATGTAGAGTTTTCATTGGCTGATTTTTGGAAGTAGATCACCCGGCCTTTCTTCCTAGTCTGTCTTAGTCTAGAAGCTTTGCTGAAACCTGTTCAGCACCATAGCAACAGGCAAGCCTCCACTGACAGATGGGTGGTGGCTGCACGTGAGGTGCATTGGCTGGGAAATTGAATCCCGGTCTTCTGCATGGTAGGCAAGAATTCTAACACTGAACCGCCAATGCCTTACGGTCTGGTATATGGAAAGTGATTAATTAATGGAGCAGTCTGTACTTATTATTTTTATCAGTCGGCTTATCTAGGCTGTCTGCTGCTCAGAGATGCCCATGCTGTGGATATCACCTCATTTCTTCTCTTTCTCCAGCCAGGCTCAAAGTCCTGGACCCCCACCCTGTACCCCAGGCTTTATCCCTGTTCTCTGGCCTCTTCTCATGCTGAGCCCCGAATCACCAGCTCTGCTGCCTCCTGATACGAACCATCAATTCTCCTACGATCGTTTGTAAAAGCTTCGCATCTAAATTGTCCCATCCCAATGTTCCCTCAACAAGAAAACCAAAACAAACATTCCAATGCCCTAAGTGTTAACTTTTAGTTTGGGAAAAAAAAAAAAATATCTTTCTTATTCTTTAGCCTTGTGCTTTAAAAAATGTTCAATATTATGAGGTGACCAGAAGGCATGAAGCCCAAGACTACTGAGCTCTTCACAGAGTCAAACCATGGTGTCAGTTTGTGAAGTGGATGACATACTTATTTTGAATAGAACGAAAGAACCTATTACTCACTTCCCTTTCCTTCTTGCACAGAGAACTGGGAACATTAAATAACAGTTTACGATTGCCTCAGCCTTGCCCTCAGGAATTCCATCATTAATGAACTATGCTTAAGAGCGGCGCCTTTGAGGATGGCCGTCTGCCTGCTCTCATCTGCAGGGGCCTGGGTGGAGATTGATTGCAATGGTGCCAGGTTAAAAGGGATTGGTTCCTTTGGGGGTAATCTGATCACTGACTAAATATTTGATGATATTAAGGAATTATTATTGTTAATTATTTTATTATTATTAATTATTTATGATAGTGGTATTGTTATATTTTTAAAAATAAATCTTATACCAATGTTCATAGGAGCACTATTCACAATTGCCACAAGGTGAAAACATCCCAAGTGTCCATCAATAGATGAATGAATAAGCAAATGTAGTCCGTCCATGCAATGAAATATTGTTCAGCCATAAAGAGAAATGAAGTTCTGGTACCTGCCACGACATGGATGAACCTTGAAAATATTATGTTGAGTAAAATACGTCAGACACAAAAGGACAAAAATTGTATGAGCCCACGTAAATGAAATATCTACAATAGGCAAATGCATAGAGACCAAAGTTTATTAGTGGTTACCAGGGGCAGGTAGGAGAGGGGAAAGGAGGTATTATTGCTTTGGGGGCACTGAGTTGCTGTTAGGGGTGATGGGAAAATTTGGAAATGGAAGTGGTAATAATTGTACATGGTGAATGTAATCAATGTCACTGAGTTGTACACATGAGAATGATTGAAATGGCCAGTATTTTGTTATATATATTTTACCAAAATAAAAATAATTCATAACTTTGAAAGATACATATTGAAGTTTTTACTGATGAAATGACATGATACTTGGGATCTGCTTCCAAGTAATCTAGTTCAGAGTGAGCAGGGTTAGTGAGGGATAGAGTTGAAACAAGATTGACCGTAAGTTGACCACGGTTAAAGATGGGTGATAGGTACATGGGGGTTCATTACATTCCTCTGTCTGTTTTTGTGTAATTTTGAAATTTTCCATAATTAAAAAAGGTCTCTTTAAGTGCATGGTCCTGAGCAAGGGCACAGAAGGCCCATTTTTGAGCAGAAGTGGGTGAGTTTCAGGGCACCACCAGCTGCTGTTCCTTTTGCCATTCACAGCCTTATGGCTCACGCAGAGAACCTAGATGGGCTTCCCATGGTGTCCCGGAGGTTGACTGTGTCACACACCGGTGAATGCCTGGCCAGTGCCCAATGAATACGGAACGAGTAAATGAAAGCAAAGAACCCCAAAGCCCTGATCTTTCTCTTCTTGTCTTGCAGCGGAGCCCAGGGGGAATACGCGGGGCTGGCCACTATCCGAGGGTACTTGGACCAGAAAGGAGAGAGGCACAGAACAGTGAGTATGGACAGGCGGCGCTTGCCCACCAGGGCACCGCCCTTTCCAACTGTGGACACTCTCAGAAGCAGATGGGAGAACACATGATAAAGAGACACATTTCTGTGAGTTGGCCGTTAGGATCCTTGCTGCCAAGACATCTCATTTGATCATTGTGAGGGAAAACATACGGAGATAAAAGGCTTGTGCTCAAATCCACTATGTAAAAGCCCTCCAGTTGGCTGTGGAACTGCTCTCCCCAGGGAGCAAAGGGAGGAAGGGGCGGGAATGTTGCCATTCCAGGCTTCCTCTCCTTGGCTCGGCGTGGCTGTAGGTCTGGACGGAGGCCAGACACCACGCTTTAATTTTTCTGTAGCCTCCATTATGCCTAAGTACAGTTCTGGTCATATTTATAGTAAAAAAATATTTACTGAATAAATAAATTTCCCATGGATAATTCTCTGCTATAAGCAACAAAAATGAAGTCAAACAAAGAGTCCTGGTGGCATAAATGGTTAAGAGCTTAGCTGCTAACCTAAAGGTTGGCAGTTTGGACCCAACCAGCTATTTCATGGGAGAAAGACCTGGCAGACAAAGATTACAGCGAAGAAAACCCTATGGGGCAGTTCTAATCTGTCACATGGGATCGCTATGACTTAAAATCAACAACAAAAGGTTTACAGAAAAATGTCATGGAGCTGAGTTTATGTTTCTGCCTCATTATTTGCTTTGGGTATGAGAGTCTCTGAGTGCTGCAAATGATTAATGCTCTCTGCTGCTAACCTAAAGGTTAACAGTTCAAGTATACCCAGAGGTGCCTGGGAAGAAAGTCCTGTTGATCTGCCTCTGAAAAATCAGCCAGTGAAAACCCTATGGAGCACAGTTCTGCTCTGACACACATGGGTTCGCCATGAGTCGGAACCGACTCGATGGCAGTTGGTTTTATGAGAGTCTAGTTTCCAAGTAGGCTGACTAGGACCAAATTGCCTCATGGGGTCCCTTGTGGAGACTAGCAGATGCTAATGAGCTTGACAGGATTCCACTAGTCCCCAGTGGCAGTGCCTTTGGCTTCAAATCATGGCTGAAGGAGGCCTGTGTTCTTGGCTCCTTCATTCAAGTGATGTTCCAGTGCTAAGCTAGGGCTTCTACTGAACTGTGGAGTTGGAGTTCTTAGAGGGAGCTGTGGGCAGGAGTCAGAGGCAGGACAAAAGAGTCTGCCAGTCCTGGGAGAGTTAGAGCAGAGGGTGCAGGCCTAGCTTCTGTTGCCCAAGTAAGCAGGATGGGGCGGGTGGTGTCCCAATCTTAGTGCGCGGAAGTGTCGTGAGAGGCCGTTCCATTCTGAATGGCGGCGAGGAGCTAGGTGCTCAGAGAGGGAGGAAAGAAGAAGCAGGGAAGGCCATCCAGTCGCCGGGCTTGTAGAAATACAGAAATCACAGGTTTGGAAATGTTGGCATCCTTTCTAGATTAAATGTCTTAAATAAGGCCAACTCTTTTCATTAGAGTAGAAAAAAATGACTTATGATTCAAATAAACAGGGAGGGTTTTCCCACATCTGTGACGTCTGAGGCAGCTGCTCCTGCACAATAGACGCTAATGGAATCCAGTTAAATGTATCTTCTTTGAAAGGAAGTGTAGGGGGAAATGCTACCGAACCACCTGGTTTCCTGATTGTTCTCTTGTTGAAAGCTGCTTCTTAAAGTTGTTTTGCTCTTAGGTTAAATTTCAGAAGTTCCTAAAATGTCATGTCCAAGTTCCTCATTCATGAGCTTCGTTTGTGGGGAATACAAGTTTATTTAACAAACGTGTATATAGCAATTGCCACGTGCCAGACACCACCCTAGACATGTAATAACTCAATTTGCTAGTCAAGTAACGACTTAGGTTTGCGGAGCAGACACTGAGGTTCCTATACAAAGGGAAAAGATTGAGCAAAAAGAAAAGACAAAACCTGTCTGGGGTTATTTTTCTCTTCCCAGGTTCCTAAGGCAAATTAGTGGCCTTTGGTTGTTGGATTTTATCAATGATAAGAAACTGATTTCCCTTCCACAGGAGCATACCTCCTTACTCCTTCACTCATTCAGGAAGTCTTTGAAGATCATCTATGCTGGGTGACGTACTGTGCCAGGCACCCTGGGGAGTTAGGAAAACATTGCATCCACCTAAATGGACAGAAATGCGCCAGAAGCTGGAATAGCTTTAGATAAACCAAAGCATCAGATCCGGGTCCTGTTACTTCCATATCCCTCATAACACCACAATTTTAAAATGAGGAGAGATTAACATTTATAAAAATGAAAATTCCCTAAATAGAAATGTCTATCAGCACCATGTAAGTGAGTCATTGACAATTCCACTGAGACTTTTTCTTTGCGCTGCTCTTTAGATCAGGAGGCCCCGGGTGGTACAAACAGGGCACTCGGCTGCTAACCAAATGCTTGAGGTTCAAGTCCCCCCTGGGACACCTTGGAAGAAAGGCCTAGTGATTTACTTCTGAAAAATCAACCCTATGGAATGCAGTTCTACACCAATGAGACTGCCAAGAGTCAGAATTGACTCGACAGCAACTGGTATTAGTTTCCTATTGCTGCTGTAACAAGTTACCACAAACTTGTTATTGTTGTTAGGTGCCGTTGAGTCAGTTCCGACTCACAGGCACCCTCTGGACAACAGAGCGAAACACTGCCCAGTCCTGCGCTATCCTCGCAATCATGGCTATTCTTGAGCCCATTGTTGCAGCCACTGTGTCACTCCATCTCATTTAGAGTCTTCCTCTTTTCCTCTGACCCTCTACTTTACCAAGCATGATGTTCTTTTCCAGGCACTGGGCCCTCCTGATAACATGTCCAAAGTACCTGAGACGAAGTCTCGCCATCCTCGCTTCTAAGGAGCATTCTGGCTGTACTTCTTCCAAGACAAGATTTGTTCGTTCTTCTGGCAGTCCATAGTATATTCAATATTCTTTACCAATAGTATAATTCAAAGGGATCAATTCTTCTTCAGTCTTCTTTATTCATTGTCCAGCTTTCACATGCACATAAGGTGATCGAAAACACCATGGCTTGGGTCAGGCGCACCTTAGTCCTTAAAGTAACATCTTTGCTTTTTAACAAACTTAGTGACTTAAAAGCACATACATTTATTTCCTTACCATTCTGGAGGCCGGAAGTCTGAAGTCAATGTCACTGGGCTGAAGTCCTAACGTCAAGGGGTCGGCAGGGCTGGCTCCTTCTGGAGGCTCCAGGGAGGAATCCACTTCCTTGCCTTTTCTGGCTTCTGGAGGCCACCTCTTGCATCAGTCTACTTTCTGTAGTCAAATCGCCTTCAGCCTCTCTCTTATAAGGACATTTCGATTACATTTAGGGCCCACCTGGATCATCCAGGAAAATCTCCCCATCTCATGATCCTTAACTTTTTCACATCTGCAAAGTCCCTTTTGCCATATAAGGTGCCATTCACAGGTTCTGGGGATTAGGTCATGGACGTGTTTGGGGGCCATTAATCAGCCTACCATGGGATCGTTGACATTTTCAGCTTGAATGTTTTTGTTTTAGTAGAACTTCCCTGGAGTCTTAATTTAGGCCTTTTAATATTCATTTTTAATATTCACTTTTCCCTCCTTTATCAGTCTTCTGCCGTGAAGGGATCCTTTTATTCAAAGACCCTTTTTGTGGACTAACATACCTGTGAGAGAGGCCTAAGCTTTACAGAAGACAGATGACTCCAGCTTTGGCGCTGAGAAAACTAGAAAAAAAAATTTTTTAAATACAAAAAGGGAAGAAAAATGATTTGAGGACAAGAAAAGTGATTTGAGGACAACACAGTGTAACTGGCACGAGACTAATAGTCATTCACGAGAGGACAAACCTCTAGTCAGCAGAAGAGTGCGTGTCAAAGCAATTCCATGTTTGCCTCTGGTTCAAGTTCTCTTTCCACACCCTTGTGTTTTTCTTAAGTGGACTATTTCACTGTTTTTGAGGAAACAGCTGGAAGCTAAGTATTCCCTTTATAAGCCCATTTTTGTAATGCCCATCCACTTCTCTTCAAGAGGTTGCAATATTGTTCTGGAATAAAAAGTAGAAGGATTATTTTCAGGGTAATCATTGCTTCTCTTGTTTTCTGTTGGGGAAACTTGGTAATATACTTTCCCATAGAGGCGCATCATTGGACCTGCCAGAACGTGTGTGTTTGCATGCACTCACGTGACTGTTGGAAAGAAATGAAAATGATTTAAATCTGGGAGTTCTAACATTGCATCCACCACCTACCTTCCATAAGAATTCAACTCATCTTTAGTATCCAGCTTAGGCTGCAGCTGCTGAGATGGTTTCCTTTGATTTCTCAAATTGAAGCAACATCTTCTTTTTCTGAGTTCCTTCGGACCCTGTGTGCTCTACCAGTACCAATACCATTTACCATTGAGTCGATGCTAACTCACGGCGACTCCATGTGTGTCAGAGTAGAACAGTGCTCCATAGGGTTTTCAATGGCTGATTTTTCAGAAATAGATCACCAGGACTTTCTCCCAAGGCACCTCTGGGTGGACCTGAACCTCCAGCCTTTTGGTTAGCAGCTGAGCTCGTTAATCATCTGCACCACCCAGGAACTCCTCCTCTGGACTCTAGACATTCATTTATACATATGCCAGAGTCGTGTGAGTAGAGGACAGGGCTTGATTGTGCTTAGTTTATGATTCTCATGCCAGTTAACAATCCATTGCCCAGAGGTAGCACTGGACTTATGCCCACCATTATCACCTCTCCTGGGGAAGCTGAGCAGAGCACTGAAGCTCTGATGTGGGCATTTAAGTCCTAGAGCTCGCCTTCCAATCTCTGGTCTTGTAAGGCACTTCCTCTGTGCTATAACTGAGTCCAGGTTAGAATAAGCACAGGCCTATTTTTGGTGTGCTGGGCTAAGGGACTGTGGATATCTGAAAGTTTCTAGGGAACAATATTTGGGGATTAATGGAATCTCCTCTTTTGGACACAGTTTTGCAACAAGAGTAATAATAAATTTTGTCAGCTTAAATAAAAGCATGTAGCACCTATTTAATTTGTGCTCCAATTATGTCGTAGAACCTTTTTGTCACTACGAAATAGACTGTTTTATAAATTGTAGTGAAAATATACGTAACAAAACATTTGCCAGTTCAACAGTTTCTACACATACAATCACAATGACATTGATTACACTCTTCATGTTGTGCAAACCCTATGCCTGCCTTTTTCCTAATCATTACACCACAGTTAATATAAACTCAGTGTCCCCCAAGCAAAAGCCCCCCCTTCCCTCCTCCTTCTCACCCCTGGTAACCACTAATAAGATTTGGTTTCTATATATTTGCTTGTCTCATATAAGTGAGATCATACAGTGCGTGTCCTTTTGTGACTAATTTCGCTCAGCGTGATGATTTTAAGGTTCATCCATGTTGTAGCACGTGTCAGGATTTCATTCTCTCTCTCTTTTTTTTTTAATTATTTTATTGTGCTTTAGGTGAAAGTTTGCAGCTCAAGTTAATTTCTCATTCAAAAATTTATACACATTTTGTTTTGTGACATTGGTTGCAATCCCCACAACGTGCCAGCACGCTCCCCCTTTTCACCCCGGGTTCCCAGCGTCCATTCATCCAGCTCCTGTCCCTTCCTGCCTTCTCGTCTTACGTTTAGACAGGAGTTGCCCATTTGGTCTCATATATTTAACTGAACTAAGAAGCGTGTTCCTCACGTGTGCTATTTTTTGTTTTATAGGGCTGTCTAATCTTTGTTTGAAAAGTAGGCTTCAGGAATGGTTTCAGTTCTGGGTTAGCAGAGTGTCCAGGGGCCACAGTCTCAGGGTTCATGTCTCTTTATGTCTGAATAATTTCCATTGTATGTAAGCACCACGATTTATCCATTCACCTGTTGATGGACATTTAGGTTGTTTCCACCTTTTGGCTATTGTGAACAGTGCTACAGTGAACACTGGCGTACAAGTACCTGTTGTGTTCCTGCTTTTACTTCTTTTGGGTATATATGTAGCATCAGGGTTGCCGAATAGTGTTTTGATGACTTTTTTCTCCTTCCTTCCTCTCTCTCCATTCCTAAGGTTTGCCTCATTCCAAAATCAGCACATGGGACCAATCCGGCAAGTGCCCACATGGCAGGCATGAAGATTCAGCCGGTGGAGGTGGACAAATACGGGAATATTGACGCAGCGCACCTCAAGGCCATGGTACGTGCTGGCTTTCCTTTAGCAGCTGGGGAAGGTTTGGGTTGGGAAGGGGCCATGGGGATCAGGCATCAGGTGGAAGACATCAACGTATCTTCTCGTGCATTCTAATGAAAAGACTGCAACGCCTGGGAATGGCTCTGGAGAAAATGGCAGAAAATCACAAACCTAACAGTCTCTATAAGAATAAAGAAAAATCAGTGGTCACATTTTTGGTCCCGAATAAAGCTGACCATAGTCCTGCTTTACCTCTCCCTTTGCCCGTAAGTGGATGATCCTTTAAACTGAAATCCCCATCCTCTAATTCAAATAAATTGTTCACGGAGGTAGGTAGGATACTCCTGCCTTTCTTGAAGGTCCTCCCCTGCCTCTTTCTGCCCAACCTTCCCTCCCCTTCTGCTCTTTCCCTCATTAACAATCCAAGTGGCAGTCACACTTATAGTTCATCTTGTAATGGGAATTAGAACACAGATGGAGGTTCTGCAAATGTCTGTGACTGCCCCAGCCGTTACCTGCTGAATGTCGGGCAGCGTTCCCATCCTCCTTCCTCAAACACCAGCCCCCACTCCCAACCTTCCAACCTCCAGGAAGAGGTTGCTTAGCAACCATATCTGCTTTCCACCGGTGGACTGGAGGCTGCATCTTAAGAGGGAAGGAAATCAGTTGAATAGCATTGCGATTCTGTCGGGGTTATTAGGCACGGGGACTGCGAACTTATATTCTGGGCCAGTAGTTGTAATTATTAACTGTCTCCAATATAGGATACAATCTTTTGCTTTTCATTTCCACACGAGCCTGCTCTGACTTACTGGCCATAAAAACAGGGATGTGTCTTTATGTTTGCTTGCCTTCTGTCAAAAGGAAAAATGAGGGAGATTTTTAACGGAACAGGAGCATTCCTTGTGGGAATTCTGATTTCAGTGGAATGAGAGGGAAAGGGGTAGGGGTGAGCATGGCAAGATGAGCAGAGAGTGATTAACTGTGAGAATGGCCATGTCTAAAAACAAACAGGTCTGAGGTAACTATTGAGATGACTTAAACCAACCGAAAACCACCTTAGAGACTTGGCGCCAAAATATCCAAAATCTTCTGAACAGTCGTTTTGGTCTTGACCACGAAGACCTAGGACCGTGTTATTTCTTGGGAAGACTTTATGAAGGGGGTAATTGCTGTGGATCTTTTATGGTTGTCATTGTACTTTGAGACAGCTCCAGGAATGAGAAGACCATGACTTCATCTTTTCTTAATTCTTTAAAATAAAAAGCAAGCGTTGGCCAAGAAAAGAAACGTTCTCTCCCTCTGCTTTTCTCTGCCCTTCTCTATCCCAAAGGTGGATAAACACAAGGAGAACCTGGCAGCCATTATGATCACGTACCCATCCACCAATGGGGTGTTTGAAGAGAACATCAGTGATGTGTGTGACCTGATCCACCGGCATGGAGGACAGGTCTACTTAGATGGAGCAAACATGAACGCTCAGGTGGGAAACATGGCAGGGGCACCCCAAGTTCCCTCTGAGAAATGGTTAAGTCAAAAAATCTTTTTTTTTCCCCTTTGACTTCTTGACAGTCATCTTAAAACATGACAGTGAATTCAGAACCGAGGCTGACTTTATTTCCAGTTTCAAACAAAGCCCTCCAGTTTCACTGGCAGTACAGGTCCTAGAGGCAGTGACGGGAGATGCTGGGGAGGAGGAGGTATAAAGGTTGAATGGAAGCAGGAGGTGCGCTGAATTTCCTTGGACAGTATTGTCAGGGAGTGCCAACCCTCTGGAAGGTTGCCTGACTGCTCTCCTGAGGGAATTCACATCCAAGTTCTGACCGCTGGTGGATGTTGATCCCCGTGGCCTTGGACAACTCCCTTAACCTGCTTCAGCTTCACCAGCTATAAAAGAGCTGAATAGTTATATTCCCAAGGGGATGATCCTGAGGACTTGGTGGGTCTCTATAACTGCTCCTCTGAGGAAATGCTGTGGAGGACCCTCTGGAGGAGGAGGGTCATAAGCTCTTTGAGGGTCTTTTCCACTTCTTGGATTCTTTACCATTGCACACTTCTTCTCTTTTTCTTTGCCTCTCTCTGGTTCCTTTCATAAGCATAGTCCAAGGGTTGTCCGTTGCTTCCATAGCATAAATGGATTCTTTATGTTTCGCCATGTTCAGAATTAGCCTGAATGCTCACATGGCAGGAATGCCAGTTGAGTGTTATGGTGGCATCTGGATCATCTCTGGAAAGTTGTCAGCCTAGCTTCCTCTCCCTCCATTCAGTGTCCTCTTTGGCAGCCCTCCAGCCCTTAATCTAGTGCACCCTAAGGGGCTGTCGCTATAATGCCCATCACACCCAACGTGAACAGGTAGGGGAAGCAGAACTGCTGGGGAAAAAGTTACCTATTTCAATAGCATGGAGGTCCTTCCTTGTGTTATGGGCACTTCCTCACCTCTTGGGTGGATAATTAGGAATAGACGGTGCATGCCCACTCCTCGCTTATTGACATGGTTAAGTTCAAAGACCAGGTTGTTATGTGAAATCGGTGTTATGCAAAAATGGAGGATGACCACATCAGATCAAAAAATGGATGATGACTACATCATTACATAACTGCCAAATTACATCATTACATAACTACCAAACCACTGAGAATCATGGCCTAGCCATGTTGACACATAACCTTAACCATCACAGCCAGTGTTTCTCTTCCCTTGCACCTCAGCATTCGTTACTGCCAGAAGTATGTCATTAATGTGCAAAATAATGGGATAGCAGATTTTTTACTATTGTTGTAAATGTGAAATGCTGGATAACCAGATAGTCGATAAGTGAGGAGTAAACCAAAAAAACCAAACCCGTTGCTGTTGAGTCGATTCCGACTCATAGTGACCCTACAAGACAGAGTAGAGTTGCCCCATAAGGTTTCCAGGGAGTAGCTGGTGGGTTTGAACTGGCAACCTTTTGGTTAGCAGCTGTGTCTCTTAACCACTGCTCCACCATGGCGCCAAGTGAGGAGTAAGTATATTCAAATCTGTACTTTAAAGTCTAAGTTGGGCTATGTGGTCACTTGCTATTTCCATAGAAACCAAAAGCCACTCTTCCTCTGGTATGCCAAGTTTCGACTGCCCATCTCGGCCAGTATTGAGAACGTGTCTGTGAACGTCACAGACGTGGTTCTGCGTAGTTCGCTGCCTGCCTGTCTTCTGGGGATGTGAGGTGTGGCCTCAAATCCCATGCCTTCTCGCCAAACTGCCCTTCAATGCTCTTGGCTTTTGCTTTGGCCTTTCCCTTTGTGACAGGTGGGGCTTTGTCGTCCTGGAGACTTTGGGTCTGATGTCTCACACTTAAATCTTCACAAGACCTTCTGCATTCCCCATGGAGGAGGCGGCCCTGGCATGGGGCCCATCGGAGTGTGAGTGCTGGGCAATGGGCTCAGGATGGCTTTGGGGACTGAAAAGGAAAGAGCTACTCTATTTTCTCCCATCAAGGTCCTGTATGTCAAGGCTACCTTACTATGGAGTGAGCCTGAGGGAGGGGTGCTTGTAGGGTAGGTCCAAAGAGAAGTCTGAATTGATTACATTAATCACAGTGTTTGGTTGGCCACACTGAGCTCCCAGTCATGGATACACAGAGCAGGTTTATTAACAGTCACTCACAGGGACCTTAGCTCTGGTGGCACAGTGGTTAAGTGCTCCGCTGCTAACCGAAAGGTTGGCTATTTGAACACACCAGCCACTCCACAGGAGAAAGATGTAGCAGTCTATTTGCATAAAGATTACAGCCTTGGAAACCCTGTCCTGTAGGGTTGCTATGAGTTGGAATCGACTCAATGGCAATGGGTTTGTTTTTAGTTTAGACCCATGAAAAAAATTGAACCACCAATCTTCTCGTTGGCAGCCGAGCACTTTAACCATTGTGCTACCAGGGATCCTCCTTTAATGGGTATTTAAAAAAAAAATTGCTGTCGAGTCGATTCGGACTCATAGTGACCCTATAGGAGGGTAGAACCGCCCCATACAGTTTACAAGGACGCCTGGTGGATTCAAACTGCCGACCTTTTGGTTAGCAGTCGTAGCTCTTAACCACTATGCCACCAGGGCTTCATTAATGGGTATAGGGAACTTTATTTGATAATTGTGGATCAGAACTGGAATGTTAGCACCTGGAATTTCACCTCAGACTTTAGCTTAGATTTCCAAGTAGCTTGTCTGTCTGTCTGGTTTTTTTAATCAGCTGATGGTTATACTGACAGTGAGTTGGGTGTAAGGTGATGAACACTTTGCAGCCTGATTCTTATTACATCTGAGATAAGTAAGGAGGAAACAAATCTTATTTCTAGAAAAAATTGGATGAAATCAGAATAAGACTAAAGAACTATGTCCTAGCCCTTAGTACCCGTTTACACTGCGAAACTGGATCACCTTGTGAAAATGGTGGTCAGAGCAGCTTCTTCAGTCCACCAAAAATGTGTGGGAGAGACGGGAAGCAGGCTTGGGGTGGACAGGATATACGGCTTGGGTGAAGCGGAGGTGGGGTTGTGATGGAGGAGGGGAGGGGCCAGATGGAGAGGAGGCAGGGCTGTGATGAGGAGGAGGTGGGACAGTGATGGAGAGGAGGAAGGGTGTGATGGAGAGGAGGAAGGGGTGTGATGGAGAGGAGGCAGGACAGTGATGGAGAGGCGATGGAGCTATGGTGGAGAGGAGGCGGGGCAGTGGTGGAGAGGAGGCAGGCTCATATGGAGAGGAAGTGGGGCTGTGACGGAGAGCAGGCGGGGCCAGATGGAGGGGTAGGAGGGTGGGAAGGCGGGGCTGGGGGGCTCTCCTGTCACCTTGAGCCCAGGGCTCTGCACACCTTTCCTGGCTCAGTGCTTTGGGAAGCCTGGGGAGGCTGGTGGCTGGGAAAAGTGCCGGGAGGGGGTGCACTTCTGGAACATCTGCTTCTTAGCAGATGTCAAGTCCCTTCTGTCAGTTCCTCTGCTAAGAATAGAGCTTCCCGAGAAGGCCCAGCACGTGCCTGTTTAGTTGGACTGGATCCTTTTACATCTTACGAATTTCTACTTTAAATGAAAACACAGGAAGAAGCATCTGGCTCCCTTCCTCCCCAGCCATCCCGTCATCGCAGCAAAGCCGGATGCGGACGCGCGGCCTGTGGGTACCGTGAGCGCGGCCCCGTGGGGCTCCAGCTCCATCGTGCCTATTTCCTGGGCGTACATCAAGGTGAGGCCTGGAGTAGGCGCAAGGCTGGGGTGTGAGGTGTGGGTGGGGACAGGAACTGCAGACTTCCTCCTGGCTTAAAAATGACGAAACGAGTATTGTATCGCTGATGACTTGGGTGGAAGAACCCTACCTAAAAACATGAGTTCAAATTCATTCCATCTCTTCCCCATTACTGTTTCGTTTAGGTTCTCATAGTGGGTTTAACATCAGAGGAAATGACACGCCAGACATTTTTTCAGACAGAGTGCAGTTGTTCCATGAGTCATACGGATATTCTGACCAGTCATTTGGTTTCCTGTAGGATTTCTACGGCTTCTTGCAAGAAACAGCAATGCACATTCTGACACTTGGTTGAGATCCTGGGGTGAAGTCAGGAGCACATCTCACTTTGCTTTGTATTTCCTGGGGGCCTGGAGAAGATGAGAAATAGCTGAGATTTGCTTACGTGGTGGTTTCCCAAACCTCTTTGCCCATTAGGGCTTATGGAACTGTGCTTCCCAGGGTAATTAGACCTTGTTGGAGAACAGGCTTCTTTCCTATTGTCTTTCTCCAAAAAGCCTTGGGGCCAGAGTTTATTTTATACAGCTCTGGTTCAAACTGGCCTGCCCGCCTCCAGGGCTGACAAAACCACGCTTTGGACAGGAATACTTGTTCAGCCGCTAATTCCAGCAGCCGTCCGACCCCCTCATTAAAGGAAGGTGGCCTCTGGCGCAACAAAACCCCAAAACTCAGCTATGCAAATCATGCTGGAAGATTCTCTGGGGCTGACTTGAATAGTGTGGCCTTTATGATTCTTTTTTTAAATAATAGTTTATTGTGTCTTTGGTGAAGGTTTACACAGTAGTTTAGATTTCCATTCAACAATTTCTACGTGTTATTCAGTGACATTGGCTACGTTCTTCATAATGCTTGAACATTCTCCTTATTTCTTTTCTGGTTGTTTCACTTCCATTAATCTAGTTTCCCTGCCCCCTTACACTCTTTTCTTTGTTTTGAAAGTAATTGTTGACTGTTTGGTCTCATATAGGTAAAGTTGTTTTTATTTTTCTTGGCTGTAATCTTTTTTCTTTTTTCAATTGTGCTTCAGGTGAAAGTATATAGCTCATGTTAATTTCTCATTCAGAAATTTATACACATACTGTTTTGTGACATTGGTTGCAATCCCCACAATGTGACAGCACACTCCCCCTTTCCACCCCAGGTTCCCTGTGTCCATTTGTCCAGTTCCTGTCCGTTCCTGCCTTCTCATCCTGCTTTTGGACAGGAGCTGCCCATTTGGTCTCGTATATTTGACCTCACGTGTGTTATTTTTTGTTCTATAGGTCTGTCTAATCTAGTGGCGTAGTGGTTAAGAGCTCAGCTGCTAACCAGAAAGGTCAGCAGTTCAAATCTGCCAGCCGCTCCTTGGAAACCCTCTGGGGAAGCTCTGCTTTGTCCTGTAGGGTCGCTATGAGTCAGAACTGACTTGACGGCACCTAACAACAACAACAATCTTTGTCTGAAAAGTGGGCTTTGGGAATGGTTTCAGTTCTGGGTTAACAGGCGATTTTTTAAAGGAGCACAGTACTTATGGGTGATATTCATTATTATTATTGAACATTTTATTGTGTTTTAGGTGAAAGTTTACACAGCAAATTAGTTTCCAATTCAACAATTCATACACAAATTGTTGTGTGACATTGGTTGCTACCCCCACAATGTGTCAGCACTCTCCCCGTTTCCACTCGCCTTCTCCTTTCCGTCCGTCCGGTTTCCCTGCCCCTCCTTGCCGTCTCGTCTTTGCTTTTGGGAAAACGTTGCCCATTTGGTTTTGTATCGTTGATTGTTCTAAGGAGCACAATCCTCATGGGTATTACTGTTTATCTTATAGGTCACTCGGTTATTTGGCTGAAAGATGACCTCCGGGAGTAGCTTTAGTTCCGGATTATCCTTTATGATTCTTGATGAAAATTTTCTTGGAAGCTGGAACAACAATTCTGTGACTCAGAAACTGTTGTTGATAGTTGTCACCTAGTCGATCCCGACTCATCTTGGCCCCATGTGTGCAGAGTAGAACTGCTCTTTTTAAAAATGGCACTAAGTTATTTTGCAAATAGTGGCAACACAAATAGTAATAATGAAGATTTGCTTCTTTGCAAACAGAATCTAATTCCCAGCTCCCTTTTGGTTTCAATAAATCCAGGTTATTTGTTATAGACATATTCAACTGGAGATGTTTCCCCACATACAGAAAAATAAATGCCCTGAGCTGGTTTGGCCATTTGCCAGGGACACCAGGCAGAGCTTCAGTCAAAAAACTAAATAAAGTAGGGTTTAATCCGGAGTCCCTGGGTGGTGCAAATGGTTAAGCGCTCAGCTACTAATCAAAAGGTTGGCAGTTGGAGTCCACCCAGAGGCTCCTCAGAAGAAAGGCCTGGCGATCTGCTTCCAAATGGTCACAGCCTTGAAAACCCTGTGAAGCACAGATGGGATCGCCATGCATTGGAATCGACTGGATGGCGATTAACAACAACAATAGGGTTTAATTTCCACTTCTGACCTTGGACCTGCTCTTATTTCGGGCTATTGTTACTTATCACCTAGACTCTAGACCAAGCTTCTTCTCTCCTTGCTGCAGTCCATCTGGGACACTCCAAACACGGCTGCTAGACTTGCCCTGAAGGCCCAAACACCCCCCCTGAACTTTTCATTGTCTTCACCCCTGCTTCTCACCGGCCTGTACTGAATCCGTGTTGTTGTTTTTAGTTGCCATCGAGTAGATGGCGAATCACGGCGACCCCATGTGTGTCAGAGTAGAGCTGTGCTCCAGACAGCTCTCGAGGCTGTGCCTTTCAGAAGCATATTGCCAGGCCTATCTTCCGAGGCACCTCTGGGTGGGTTCAAACCACCAACCTTTTGGCTAGTAGTGGCACGCTTAATTATTTGCACCACCCGGGGACTCCATCACAGAATCCTTAGGAAAATTATTTTTTAAGCGGTCACGTCTAGGTCTCCTAGAGAATTTGAGATGCAGAGTTGGGTTTGAGCCGTCAGCATTTGGCAAAAGCTACTCAATGACCCTGACTCACTGGTGAAGGGCCAGTGGCCAGCTGAATCCATTTCAAGTCCTTCCTAGGGAAGGTTTGAGTCTTGTAAGATGTAGGCACAGCCCACCTGGCCCTCCAGTGACTCCCAGGCTGGCCTCCCCCTCCACACCTTTCTTCTTGCCATTCTCCCACCTGCAGCGTCTTCCTCGTTCTCCTTGCCTCTCCCTATTCTACCCAGTTTTGAATCTCCACTCAAGTGCCCGCTCTCACTCTAGGAACTGTTCTTGGACCAGCCTGGCCAACCTGTCTTCTCTTTACACTGAACTTGGCATCATGGTGGTTTTATCTGGTGCTTTCCCATGTGCTTTGCATTGGATATGTATTTATATTGAAGCTGCATTGTACAAGAGGTGTGCTGGGAAGAAACTAGGCAATAAAAATTGGTGCACTCTTGATTTTAAGCTCTTTGCTGGGGATGACGTTTATCCCATGTGATCACAGGGACTTATTAACCACCAGAGAAGGGTGAGATGGAACCTGGCAGTTGTTAAACAGCAATAGCCTTGACTATGGACAATTGGAAGACAAACCATACAGAATTGATTCAGTGGGGATTTTGGCCAAGATCCCATGGGATTCCTGGCAATTATCAAGACATCTCAAATACACAGTGAAAAAAAAAAACAAAAAACAAAATGCGTGTAATCTAAGAACAGTCCTTTTCCTTTTTAGATAATACAGTGGTCAGCTGTCACCTTTGCCCTGTTGTAGGTGTAGGCCTTGTTACTGCAATAAGGAATGTAAAATGACTGTTCAAAGGAGAAAACGGAAAATGACTTGAAGTGTAGGGAGGACTGAAGATGTCCTTGGTAGGATTTTCAACCCCTGGCCAATCCACAGAGTTATGGTGGGGCTGACTTCCTTTGTGGGTAATTTATTTGGGGATGTCTTGGGTGAGTGACTCGATCATTGGGCTTGCTTGTTCAATGACTGATGGCTCTTTTCCTCTCTGTTGCAGATGATGGGAGGCAAGGGCCTTAAACAGGCCACGGAAATTGCTATATTAAATGCTAACTACATGGCCAAACGATTAGAAAAACACTACAGAGTCCTTTTCAGGGGTGCAAGAGGCAAGTATCAGCTTTAGTCTCTCTTCCATCACCTGGGCTCATTCTCTGCCAAACCAAATTTGACCTAGTCGATGTGGTTTTCTGAACTAGGTGGGTGACCCTGTGTCTTACCATATACCAGGCAAAAGTGTAGAGTTATTGGAGATAACTTCAATTTAGTGAACATTTTAGGGGTATCACCATATGCAAGTCTACGCTGGCCACTGCGTCTACACAGCCCATGTCAACAAGGAGCCCACACAACAGTGAGATGTGGACATAAATGCCACGAGCCCATTCCCTAACACAGAGCTATGGATGCCCCCAAATTGTGGAATTGTGGAAGCAGGGTAGAAGAGCTGAGACAGGCTTCTGGGAGGAGCCATTTCAGATGGGCCTAGAAGGAACAGTAGATAGAACTAGAGTGAATAGAGATACAGGAGCAAGTCAGAGGAAGATGAGTTATCTGGATGCTGCAGTGCAGGTGGGTTTAAGGATAAGCTAGGAGGAGAGGGCGCAGATGAGGACGAGGTTGAAGACACAGCACGGAGGCTTGACGGTCTTGGAAGGCCCTGGACTCTATCCTTCAATCAAAAGGTAGCCATTAGAAGTTTTTTTTTTTTTTAAATAATTTTTTGTTGTTGTTGATGTTGGAAATATACACAGTACAACATACACCAGTTCAACAGTTTCTCCGTGTACAATTCAGTGACATCGATTACATTCTTCAAGTTGTGCAGCCATTCCCACCCTGCTTTTCTGAGTTGTTTCTCCCCCATTAACATAAACTCCTGGCCCCCTGCGCTTCCTATCTAACCTTGCGAGTTGCTGTTGTCAATTTTATCCCATATAAATAATTCTTTAAAAGAGCACAATGCTCAAGCAGACATTCTTTACTAAGCTAAACTACTCTTTGGTTTAAAGAAAACTTCAGGAGGTATTTTTAGTTTAAGGTTTAAAGATTATCTCAGGGCAATAGTTTCAGGGGCATTAAAGGTTGATGGGATTCATTAAAGAGACTGTTAAAATAGTTCAGACATTGGCGGGGATGAACATACTATTTAGAATTAAAATCAGCTGGACTTAGTTACTGTTGAGTGTGAAGGCATGAAGGAGAAACTTTAAGTAACTCAACGTCTTGGAGGTGTCCCTGGGTGGTGCAAATGGTTAACGCGCTCGGCTGCTTCAAGTCCACCCAGAGGCACCTTGGAAGAAAGGCCCGGTGATGTACTTCCAAAAAATCAGCCACTGAAAACCCTATGGAGCACAGTTCTACTCTGACACATTTGGGGGTGGCCATGAGTCGGATTCAGCTTGACGACAACTAGTTTTAAATTTAAAGGCTGGTTTTGCCTTATAAATATGTATCCAAAGGAATGGTTCCAGAATTTGAAAATAGAAAAGAACTAAATAACCTGAAGCCCTGGTTAAGAAAGCTTCCCCAGAGAGTAGAAAAGAAAGTTGTGTGCAGTATGTCTCCAAGCAACAAAATAAAAGGCTTCTGAAGTGGTTATTAAAGAAACTACAAGAGCCGCTAATTAATTTAAATATAGCTCCTTTGATGAGAAATGTAACCATGTGCTTAGTACTTCTGTGGTCACTTTAGGCAGAGACTGCCCCAGTCTTGGGATTTGCAGCACAGAAAGATAGATGAAATTTCCATTTGTTTTGGCATTTTACCCCAGAATTAAATAATGAATAGTATTTCTCCTCCCAAGCAGAAATAGATTGGTGATTACAGACTTTATTACCCAATCCCAAAGTTCACAAAACCAAAAACTGCCTCATAGTTGGTCTGGTAAACACATTCATTATACAATTTGAGGTTTAGTATTTTAGGGCCTAAAAAAAAAAAAAATCACCACCTTACAGCCGAGGTCCCTGCATAAACACAACGGACTCTAAAATGTCGAATGGCAATATTAGAAGGCCGTTATTCATTTGAATCACATTTACCAGCTCTAAATAAGACTTTGAGATTACCGAGGACTATGAGGCAATCATTTTAATGAACTCCAGGCTTGTCTTCACAAACCATTTCTTTGAGAGACTTCAATAGCAGCTAAACTGTTGAGGTTTGTGGTTTTGTGAAGCTGGGCAAGAACTGGGATGGAGGAGCAGCGATAGTGTTTATTCTGCTAGGATGTTGTAAGGAAGGAATTACTGCAGGTGAAATGCTAAATTTTTAAAGGAGGAATTTTAAAAATTTCATGGGCCTCTACTCTTGTGGGAGGCAAAGCTCACTGTTGATCCAAATCGAGTTCCTGTCAGTGGGAATGGACCACTTTGTTAGTATAACAACAGTGTTTGGTTTGTTTTCGTTTCTTAAATGCCCATCCGGTTTTTACTTTAGACAAACCCAACTCTGCCTGGAAATTCTTGTCCCTGAAGAGGTTTCCTGGTGGCCCTTGTTTTATAAGTGGACATGGGCCCCAGGGGGTGGGCACTCAAATCCCTGACCTGGGAAGCGACTCTCCAGAGGCCGGGCCCCAGGGAAGCAGCCAGTTTTGATTCTGTTCATGGTGGCCCCTGGATGGTGCCTGGAGAGCAGTGGGGGGTTGCAAATGGTTAACACACTCGGCTCAGCTGCTAACTGAAAGGTTGGAGGGTCAAGTCCACCCAGGGGCACCTTGGAAGAAAGGCTTGGCAATCTACTTCTAAAAAACCAGCCATTGAAAACCGTATGGAGCACAGTTCTACTCTGACACACACGGGGTCGCCATGAGTCAGAGTCAGCTCAGTGGCAACTATTTTTTTATTTTATTTTTATTTTTGTACTTTAAGTGAAAGTTTACAATTCAGGTTAGTCTCTCATACAAAAATTTATACATATACTGTTATGTGACCCTAATTGCTCTCCCTGTACTGTGACAGCACACTCCTCCTTTCCACCCTGATTTCCTGTGTCCATTCAACCAGCTCCTGGCCCTCTCTGCCTTCTCATCTCACCTCCGGACAGGAGCTGCCTCAGTGGCAACTGTTTCTGTTCTTGTTTTTTAATTTTCCAGAGCACGTTCCCATGTCATCTTCAGCCTCAGAAGGTGATTAACATATGGGGGTGTTCCAATCCTACAGCCAAGCCACTTGTATTTTGCTTCTCGATCATCCCACTTCCTCCTCTCCTTGCTCCCCTGACTTGACAGCTTTTCAGACTTTCAGCTGTAGTCAGTCAGGGCCAGCTGAAGCACCTACTCAATGAAGATGAAAACTTTGGCCCATCACTGTGTACCGTTTCTACTTCAGATTGTCCTGACTCGCCGTATGCCCTAGAAGGTTTGCCTATCTATCTTTCTCCTTAAAAGCTGCAAACAAAGACAAACATCTTGGTATCTGGCCTCTGACAGCCACAAGTTTACATTTCAGCCCTCTCAGCGCTCAAGTAGAGAAAGATGCTGAAATTCCACCACCGTTTCAATCTGAAAGCATTAGAATACGGATTTAGAAAATAACATCTGAACCTCATTTGGAAATGTACTTCTTTCCAAACCACTTGGTGATGATAGGGCCTCTGTGGGTGAAGGCTGGGGATTAGCAAAGCTGGGTTGGGCTTGGGTAGATGATGCTGTTCAGCTGTTGATGACCCTCTGCCTAGAAGGCTCTCTCCTTCCTCCTCTCTCCCTCCGTGTACCCAGCTGTGAGCTTCCTTAGCTTTCTGTATTAGTTTCCGAGGGCTGCATTAACAGAGGACCACAAACTGAGTGACCTAAAACCACGCAAGTTTGTTCGCTTACAGTTCTGGAGGCTGTAAGTCCAAAATCAAAGGCGTCAGCAGGGCCATGCTTTCTGGGAAGGCTCTATGGGAGGATCTTTCCTTGCCTCTTCCAGCTTCTGGTGGTAGCTGGCAGTCCTTGGCGTTCCTTGGCTTGTAAAGGCATCACTCCAATCTCTGCCACTGTTTTCACTTGGCCTTCATGTCTGTGGGTCTGTGTCCAAATTTCCCTCTTCTCATAAGGACACCAGTCATTGGATTAGGGGCCACCCTACTTTGCTGTGACCTCATCTTGGTTACTTCTCCAAAGACTCTATTTCCAAATAAGGCCACATTCACAGGCTTTGGAGGTTATGACTTCAACATCTTTTTGGGAGACACAATTCAACCCGTAACACCTTCCTCGTGACACTGTCACAGTGTTCAGGGAGCAGCCAGATGATCAGAGAAGAAAGGGTAGAGATTGAAGCTGGGCTTCCAGAGTAGGGAGCAGGGCCGGGCTTTTAAGATTCCTGAATATATGTCACTGAATTGTACATGTGGGAACAGTTGAATTGGTGTCTGTTTTGCTGTGTATATGCTCAACAACAACAAAGGTTCCTGGATATGACAGCTGATGAGGACTTAAATCATCTTGCAACTCTCCCCCTGCACATCCCAGCTGATCACTCCTTCTTTTAGGTACCTTTTTCCCCCGGTCGTAACCTATCTGTGAATACAGCTTTCTACTGTTGAATCACACTCCTTAAATTTTTATCCTCCAACATTTTAGAAGCATGTTTTAAAAATATTCAGTTTCAAGCTCTCTTACTTTTATTTTCAAATTAGCCCAGCCCTTTTGTATCTATTCATCACATGACGAAGCAGCAGTCCACAGACTAGGAATGACCAGCGCTACTTTGTTCACCAGCGGGAGAGGGTCTGTCTGCCCTGCTTATCTCTAAGTGTGCTCACTGTTTGCTGAGACTCAGGAAAACTCTTTAAGAAGACAATCCAGTTGCCATTGAGTCGATTTCCTGTGTGTGTCAAAGGAGAACTGTGATACAGTGTTTTCAGTGGCTGATTTGTCAGAAGTAGATCACTTGGCCTTTTTTCTTTTTGTGTGTGTGTGTCCTTAGCACCTGAGGTTATTTCTGAATTCTTACTCTCCATTAGTTGGAAAGCACAGTCAGTTTTATTGAAGACTACAAATCTTTAGTAGTATTTAGGATACAGATTCAAACAATAAAAAGACCCAAATGAATAGATAAATTTTATTACTACATCTTAGAAATATCACCCATAGGTCTTAGGAATCATCCAGCCTTGTTTCCATAACTGGACAGCTCTTACATTTTACTCATCAGCCTGTTGAACGGTTCCTTTTTCAGAGACATAGACACCACCCCAAAATTTTCGAATATCCTTGTTTTTAACTGCTGTGGCTTGCTGAATTAAAGCAGCTGAATTTGATACAAGTTCAGTGTCGTTTCCTTCAAGAATTAACTCATCTTTCTGGGCTTGAGATACTGAACAAGTAACACCTGACCTCATCCGAACTCTGCGGATGTATTTTTCACCCAGGAAGTTTCGGATTTCAACAAGAGACCTGCTCTCCTGAATGACGATGGGGAAGTGAGCATACACAGACTTCATCTTGTGATGGCAGCCCAGTGTAACACCCCTGATCGTGTTCTCTACATGACTACTGATAGTGCGAACTGTAGCCAGTTCCTGCTGTTTCCCCACCACTTGTCAACTCGAAGCCTCTTCTTTTTCTTTCCCAGGAATCTGAGTTCTACCTTGATGTGATTAAAGTCCCTCCACAAGGTTGCAGGATTCCGCGGGGGCCCTTCCCAGTGACTGTGTGTCCCTTCAGAGTGATGTCAATATTTTCTGGAATGTCAGTCTAGTTGCTAAGAACGGTCTTCATTTTCGAAGTCCATGTGGCAAAAAGTGGCCTTTCTTCTGATATTAAGAAAAAGGCCTACATAATTGTCCCATGAGTAGATACTTCCCTTGAAGGGTTCTCACCAGCTGTGGACTATGGCATTTGGGAAGTCCCCAGGACTGTTCTAATTAGCAAACCACGGACTTAATTGATAGTTTATTGTTGGTGATGGATTGATGGTGAGTAGCTCACGCTGGGGAGGTGGCTGCCTGGCTCAGATGAGGCTGTCTGTGTATACATGGTAGAACAAAACCGACTGACCCCCACCCATGAACTCCTTACCACCCCTGTTGTGCCCATTCCTAGCTCTCGGTCTGCAGCCTGACAAGAAAATCTCAAAAGCTCCTTTGAAGAATCACAGAAAATTCTGTGTGTCTTATGGATAGATGCTTAACACACACACACACACACACACACACACACACAAAAACACTTATTTGATGCTGATGGTAAATTGGTGAAAACAGTGTCAGTGGATCTTTAGCTCTAGAAATATTTTGTCTAAGAGGATTAGGGCTGTGATTATATGTTTAACTGCTGCAAGTAGATTTGGGGTCCTCAGAACAGAAATGATCTCTGGAAACCTGCACCAAACGTTCTTGGCACTTAAGTCCCACCTCCCATTGGCCTCCTCGCTCATGGGTGTGTTGTGGACTGAGGATGGAACACATTGGCTTGACCTGTTAAAACTGTTACTTGTAATAAGAACACAAGAAGTCTTTATTGCTAACTATATACTGACCAAGTGCCCATGGCTTCTCAGTCCTCAATGATAAGCATATGAAGCTGAATTATTTATTCATTTCCTTGGGTAAAACAACAAGCCGATGCTAATCTGGAGTTAAAGCAATTTTCCTGAACAGGTTATGTGGCTCATGAATTTATTTTGGACACAAGACCCTTCAAAAAGTCTGCAAACATAGAGGCTGTGGATGTAGCCAAGAGGCTCCAGGATTATGGTGAGTGGCCTCACGGGCAGAACTCCTTTTAGGAGGACTTGGGTTGTTGACATCCAGCGGGTCCCAGGGCTTCACGCAGCTGCCCATCCTGGGTCTTCTGATAAACGACCACATCACCAAAGCACAAACCAAACGGACAGGCGCCATAGTAATCCGTTCTGGGTATTTGCCTGTATATAAATTTTATTTAAAGGAGCCCTGGTGGCGCAGTGGTTAAGCGCTCAGCTGCTAACCAAAAGATCGGCAGTTTAAACCCACCAGCAGCTCCGCCAGAGCAGTCTGCTTCCATAAAGATTATAGCCTAGGAAACGCTATGGGGCAGTTCTCCTCTATCCTATAGGGTTGCCATGAGTCGGAAAGGACTTGATGGCTCACAACAACAACAACAAATTTTATCTAAAAATATGCCAAACTGATTGAGTTCTAGTTATTGATGTGCATGCTGACGCGATCACGGGTGAAATGTGCTGATAACTGCTATGTACTTTGCAGTGCACCAAACAGGAAGAAAGGAAGGGAGGGAGGGCGGGAGGGATGGATGGAACGGATCAACCTAGGTGGTGGGTATATGGTGCTTACTGAGCAGGCCTTTCAACTTATCTGTGTGTTTGAAAATTTTTATGACAAAATATTGGGGACAAGCCTCTAAGGCATGCAGGCATAACTCCAAAGCAGCCTGATGCACCCCAGAATTTGGGAACCACCACGCTGCGGGGCATAATTAGCTGACAGATGTATCAACCTGGGAACTGTTCTTCAGCTTTTGAAGTTTCACAGAAAAGGTGTAAGATGGGAAAAGGTTGTTTTTGCTTTTGTCCAGGAAATCTTTTGACCTATGTGTCTTCTGGATTCATCTTGCATGTGAAAACTTCTGGAAACATAGAAACATCTTCAGCCTGTGTTCAGTGTAAAGGTTTTCCTCATATTGGTCAAGCCTCAGTTTCCTCATCTATAAAATGGGGACAATAAGACTTAACTCAGACTCCTAAGTGCTTGCTACTTCATTATTTAACTGTTGATTGGCTATAAGCCTTTTATTTCTCTTAATTATAAGTAATACATGATCATTACAGAGAGATCCTAAAACATAACCAAAATGAAATAAAAATCCCAGTCCAATTTTCTGGCGATAACCATTAACATTTTAGTATATAATCTTCAAGACATCTTTCCTTATAAAACAGACATACATATAAATACGTTTTAAAAAAATAAAAAAAGGATAATATTGTTACGTAGCTTGCTTTTTTCACGTAATATTTTTTAACGTTTATTCAATTTCACAAATATACACTTTTCAATGGCAGCATATTATATGGATGCCCTATAATTTGCTTAACCAATCCCCTATTGTAGGATAAATTGTTTCCTAAGTTTGTCTTCTATAAACAGTGCTAGGGTGAATCCCCAGATACATACATTTGCAAATTTATCTGATTATTTCCTTCGGGTAAATGATAAGAGGGGGAGGGGCTTTTCATCCCATTTGGGGCCGCCAAAGTCAGTGGCATGAGTTTCCCTGCCTCCACTTGCAGGATTTCACGCCCCTACCATGTCCTGGCCAGTGGCGGGGACCCTCATGGTTGAGCCCACCGAGTCGGAAGACAAAGCAGAGCTGGACCGATTCTGCGATGCCATGATCAGCATTCGGCAAGAAATCGCCGACATCGAGGAGGGCCGCATAGACCCTAGCGTCAATCCACTGAAGGTGAGTACAACCGGTCCTTCATCCAGAATGTCCCATAGAGTAGAACATGGTGTGTGGACAGTGTGCCTGCGACCCCTGAACTCCCATTAGATAGAAGACGATATTCTCGTCCAGAATAAGACCATTCTTCTGAGAAGATGCAGTCATGACTTGGATGTTTAAATCTTCTTGAACAACATAACAGCTGGGTACTCAAGTATAATGCAGCTCTTTTCTGATCTGTTTTTGTTTATGGAATTGTCTCTTGGTTGTAGGTGCTCTCCACCACCCGTGCACCCAGTTGGTTGCCAAGGGAGACAGCAGAGGCTGAAGGACTTACTTTAGCTGGGGGAGTTTTATCATTCTGTGTCTGTTTGATGCAGTGTAGTGAAATTACAGCATAAATGTAATTTATGCATTGACCTCATAAACCCTGCATAAAGAGAAGTTCTTGACTTGGAGCAGTTCCCGCTTATAGAACACTGGATCAGTACTTGGCCTGAATGTTTTGCAACATTTATGAACGATGTTGGAGAAAAGTTTGTTAAGCGTTATCCTCCCGCTTCCAAACCGAGTCAATTTTTTTATCTCGTCAGAGCCCTAAGTTTCTTGTTAGAAACACACATCGAGCTGGGGGATCTTGAATTGAGAATACTGTGAACGCTGTGGTTATGTTGTTGTGGCTACAAGCCAGAGAACAAGCCTGAGATGCTAAGAGAGTCTCATATAAGCAAGTTCCAAACCGCCTCACCGAAGGTGGAGTGCTGAGGCTAATGGCTCCCAAGAGAAGCACCTCGGCACATGCGCGTCACAGGGTAATGGAGGAAGGCGAGTTGATCATTTTTGCTGTCCCTTAACTCCCCTTTATTTCTGGATACTGCTGATTGCTTCAGGACTTAAGTTACTTTTTTTTAAATGGCAATAGAGATCTCAAAGAACATAATGTTTAATTTCAAAAGCATGTGGGGAATAACACTCATAGGATGATGTGAAGTTTTAAAGCCTTCCAAATTATGCTATATACTACTAATTAATATACACATGTTGTTATTACGTGCCATCAAGTTGATTCTGACTCGTAGTAACCCCATGTGATAGCACAGAACTGCCTCATAGGGTTTCCTAGGCTATAATCTTTAGGGGAACACATCTCCAGGTCTTTTCTGCCATGGAGCTGCTGGTGCATTCGAACCACCAACCTTTCAGTTAGCAGCCGAGTGCGCCAGGGCTCCTTTACACATATGTAGTAGTGGTATAAAAAATGATGAGAGTGAGTTGAAGGTAATGATGATGGAATAATTTGGAAAAGGATAGTGCGGATAGCAGCACAACTGGAAGAATGTAATCGATGTCACTAAATTGTACATGTAGAAATTTTTGAAATGGTGTAACTTTGGCTATGCGTATTTTCACCAAAAAAAAGAAAAAGCTCCTCCAAGGTCGAGAAGAGAGAGTCTTGACATGTCGTGGGGTTGTTAACCAATGTCATAAAACAATATGTGTACCGACTATCTAATGAGAAAACTGTTCTGTAAACCTTCAACTAAAGTACAATAAAAAAAAATTTTTTTTTTAAATAATGAGAATGGTATGTTGTGGGGTTGTTAACCAATGTCATAAAACAATATGTGTACTACTGTTTCATGAGACACTATTTGTTCTGTAAGCCTTCACCTGAAGTACAATAAGAAAAAAAAATGATGAGAATGGTAACACTAAATTCAGGATAGTGGTTATTACCAAGGAAGAGGGCAAGCAGTCAGCTGGAGAGTGGGTATACCACCAGCTTCAAATGTATCTGAAATGTTTTATTATTTGGAAAACATAAAGGAAATATGACACAATATTGATTCCATTATGTGGGTGGTGGATGTTTTTATTATATTATTACCATAACTTTCTGATATTTGAAATATATCACAATAAAAAATTTCTTGCCTTAATCAATGCTTCCCCGCAAAGCTGAAACAAACCAAAACATCCCTCTCTCTACGGGCTTCCATCAGAGGCTTGATGGTTGAGATGAAGTGTGGGGGAGGGCGGGGTGTTCTGCTCTGACCCTCCTCCACCCGCCTCTCTGTCTCAGATGTCTCCACACTCCCTGACATGCGTCACATCCTCCCGCTGGGACCGGCCGTATTCCAGAGAGGTGGCAGCATTCCCACTGGTAAGTTCTCCTCTGCAGCTGAGTGTGCCGTCTGGTGTAGTTAGTGCTCATGGGGGTGTGAGGGGCCTCACGTACCCTGAGGGGGTTCCCACTGGTATAGTCTCATTAGAGCAGATATCTGGGGACACCTGTGAGATGTGGGCCATGACAAGGAAGGTGGAGCAAACGGATTGGCTTCTGGACTCTGAGGGCAGAGTCAGCGTGTCCACCACAGGCATGGCAGGGAGCACCATGGAGGAAGACTGAGGTGGAGGCCCTGTCAGGTGGATCACTGTTTTCTACCACCTTCTGGCAGAGGGATGCACTCTTTCCTTTCTGATCCTGGTGTGAAGAAGGTGCTCTGCAGCCTGTTCAGCTGCGGTAGGGATGGGGGACAAAGTTGGATTGTTTTGATAGCAAGGGTTGGCTTTTAGCATCTAGAGTAGTCACTGGGCAGTGGCGTTTTGGCCTGTGGGTACATCACTGCAGCCTCTTCCCCTACCGTGAGAGAAACCTCTCAGAATATTCCATGACATTCCCATCTTTCGTCTCTTGCAGCCCTTTGTGAAACCAGAGAACAAATTCTGGCCAACCATCGCCCGAATTGATGACAAATACGGAGATCAGCACCTGGTGTGTACCTGCCCACCCATGGAGGTTTACGAGTCCCCATTTTCTGAACAGAAGAGGGCCTCTTCTTAGTCCACTCTCCCCTAATTTTTAATGACTGATCTGATGCCTCTCTCCAGAGCATTTGATAAGCAGAAAGTATTTCATCTCCCACCCCAGACTGAAGGTAGGGGGTTTTATATACTGTGTATATTTTTTGTAATCTCTGTCAAGGTAAATGTAAATACAGCTAGTATAGTGAGTGGAAGCTGATCGTTGGAAGACGACTGAGTTTCTTCAGTGCCTCTGCTTCCACCCGTAGCAGTTGATGTTCAAGTTGCCTTGATTGGGAGCCATTTCGTTTTTTGCATAGAAAATTTTGGGTGTACTAGGAACTTTAACTTTCAATATAGGAAGTTTGCCGATGCTATAGTGGCTATGCTGGAGACTCAATAGACGTATTTTTGTTCCAAATAAGCCCTTGTGGGCTATGCCATTTGTGGGAAATCCCAGGGCAAATGTTTACATTTTCTATACCTGAAGACATGTTTTTCCTCCAACTAACTTGCCTAATCTGAAATAGCATTTCTGAGCATTTTCCTCTTTATCTGTGTCTGTGTTTTTTATCTACACTTATTAGTATTCTAATAAAAGCATTTCAATTTGATGAGTGCCTTCCTCTTGGTCCATTTTTCCATCTTACCACCATGTGTCCTTGCTATTTGGTTCTCTAGATTCAGAGGGTATTGAAGGGTAATGAGAACACTCAATCCAGTAGTCATTGTTCCATTATCAGTTTTGCCTTTGACTGGCTGAAGAAACAGTTCCTATGTCTTGGTCAGCAGTGAATGCCACTTCAGCCCTTTTCGATAGAACTGCATTAGCCTACATGTAACCAAAACCCAACTACAGAAGTTTAATCAAATAGCAGTTTGTTTTTTCTCATTTAGCAAGAAGTCCAGAGGTAGTAAGCCAAGGGCTGGTGCTCCTTCTGTCTTCCTGTTCTGCCTTCCTTTGCATAGGGTTCTCATCCTCATGGTCGCAAGATGGCTACTATGGAACCAGACATCACATACCCACTCTAGTGGGAATAAGGGGGAAGAGCAAAAGACAAAAGGCACATTCCATCAAAGATGGCTTCTTTTGAAATGTTTTCCCAGAATTCTCACCCAGTGACTCCTGTTTATTTATCATTGGCCAGAATTGGTTCAAACTGCCACTCCTAGTTGCAAGGGAGCATTGGGAGACCTTTTACCTTCCACATAGCAGTTGTTCAACAAACAACAAGAAGTATGACTTGAAGGAACAGAGGAATGACCCCTGAGCTAAAAGAGGAACACTGAGTTGGAATCTCCCTGGGGATGGAGCTGGTCTAAAAGTTACAAGTCCTGCTGCCAGATCACCTACGCCAAAGTTGATCTGGAAAATGTAGTCAGTTTGGGGCAGGGGCGTGGATGGTGTCTGGTGCTTGGAACTGGCAAGGGTTGCTTGGACCCTTTTTCCTTAAAAGCAGTGCTGCCTTGTGGCTTATCAGGCTTTCATGGGGTAACCTGGGAACCTGCACCTCTCCTCTGTCAATAATTGTTCCTACTGGGAGTATCTGTACAAATGAGATTTCGTTTTCAACCTACATCAAGTCAAAGATCATGGGCTTCATTCCTTTACAATTCTAAAACGCAAGTTGGGATTGCCTGTAATTTCTGAATGCAAGAGAAACCGGAGGGTTGACTAAAAATCAACTATGAATTGTTATTTTTTAACAGACCTAAACAAAAGAAAACAACTCTGGGTGCTCTATGAGGTCTAGGGCTTTCAGAACTGATGCAAGAGAAATTTCAATGTTTTCTGATCTGTTTGTTGCATAATATTTTAATCTTACTAGTAAAAATTTTGGCTAGTTCTGGGTGTGCCATTTTTAATTTCCTACAAATGAGCTTCTGAAGATCATTTGAAAAAACAAGACAAAAAACTTGGTAAGACTCAGAAGACTTAAGTTCTTTAAATAACAGTCATAAACTCCCAGAAAACAGGGTGGACTCCAACGGCACCAAAAGTGATGTCAGTCATCCTAAAAAAATGCAGACTTTTCCCCAATGGTGCTGCCGCTGGGAACCTGATCCAAAACTGCCACTCGTGCAGCTAGGAGTAGCCAAAGGAGAATTAGATGTAAACAGATTCTTTCTTAAAGTCTGGCATAAAGGGTGGAAAGAAAAAAAAAAAAGATAACTTGTGTTCAAGACATTTTATCCAACATGAACTACACAGGAATATTAAAGTTCCCCCAAATCGAAGAACTAAATGTTTTTATTGGTGAAAAGAAGCTGCTTCCAATGCATTCCAGAAGACAATGAGGAAAATACTTTCCATGAAGGAGACAGTTGGGCAGGCTGTTAAATAAACTTGCAAATAGCAAAGGAGTGAGTTTATAGTATGTGGTGCCAGCCATGTTGGGGTGGGGGTGGGGGCTAGCAGCCTGATATTTGCGAGTTTCGTCAGAAAGTTAGCCTTAGCCTTCGACAGTGTCTGCCATTCAAAGAAGTGCTGTCCAATCTACTGAGCCTGAGGCAGGTTTGGGAGGACAGTTGGAACAAAGGTGCCATAGTGAAGCAGGCTCAATGTAGTCCTTGAACAACTTCATTATTTCCCAGAAATGAGCTGAAATTAAGAATGAAGCCCCTGGTTTTTAGAGTATGAAAAGGAGAAGAGTCTAGAAAATAAACATGCTATGCAACAACAATTAGCAGGCATTCTGAGATGAAATTTAGTTCTCTTTGGAATAGTGTCTTAATCTAGTTTTCAAAGGGCCAAAGGATATAATATAAATTAAAAGTGAATACCGGAGTAAATAATCAAACCACTAAGTGAGGCAGAAAAAGCAGTGGTAAGTTAACACATAGCCTTGAGTTTAAATTCTAGTTCGCCACTAGCTGTGACGGAGGGGAGGAACTAACTTCTCTGACACTGCTTCCTTGTCTGTAAAATGGCAATAATGCCACTTGCCTCACAGGGTGCGTGTATTAAGTGAACTAATGAATGAAAAATACCCAACAGCACTCACTTCTTTTCTCTGATGCAGAATAAGCAGGCGTGGAAACCATTCCCATCCCTGCTCCAAAGACATCACATGCTAGTGGACTCTCCCCTTTTCTCACTTTTAAGAGCACAAGTTCTAAAGGAGAAAAAGGAAACCACTGAGTGTCAGTGGGGAGAGGACTGAAAACATGGAGGTGACTGCACTGGATATGTGACTTAAGAACTGGGGTTTCAATGCCCTTGGAGGGATGATGTCAGGGAAAGGTTGTTAGGCAGTAAGGCTCCAGTCCTGATAGAGGGAAAGGAGCAGAAATAGGGCTTGTTTAGAACTTGGAGAGCCCTATTCCATTATGAGGACTGAAAAATTGGTATCTACTAGCCCAGGGTCACAACAGGAAACAAGCTATCCCAGGTCATGGTGGAAACAAATTCACCCAACACGTGGCTGGGCTGCATTTCAATGCAGAAGCCAAATTTATATCATCAGCATAATGAAGGAGTCCCATGCAACAAAATTTAACACAAAAACTGGCTAAGTACCAGGAAACTCTATAGCAGCAGAAACAACCTAAAATTGCTCCAAAGGGACAAAACTGTATCCACAACCATGGTATAAGCAAAACCCTCTGACAAGAAAACTTCTGCAGAAGATGAGCTCACAGACACAAATTTAAAAAACACAATGAAATTCAATGCTAAGCACCAACAAAAGGGAGAGTTCAAACTTAAGGAACCAGAGATAAAAGATTAAAAGGACTTTGAATAAGTATGTTCTGAATGCTCAGAGAGATAATGTAAGAACTAAAATCCATAAACAAGAACAGGAGATTATGAAACAAGAACAGATAAATGTGAAAACAGAATAAAATGATGCTCGAAATAAAATAAATTATTTAGATGGTTTAAATAGTAGACTAGACACAGTTAAAGAGAAAATTTAATAAACTGGAAGAAAGATATGAGGAAATCACTTAGAACACAGCATGGAGGGAATAGAGAGATTAAAAATATAAGAGATGTTAAGGTATGGACGGTAGACTGAAAAATTCTAGCGGGTCGAGAAGAGGCTAGAGAAAATAGGAGAGGAGCAATATTTTAAAAAGAGAATGAGAATTTCCTAGAACTGAAGACATACATTTTCAGTTTAAAGGAGTAAACTGAGTCCCAAACAGAGGAAATAAAAATTAATCCACACCTAGATACATTTTAGTAAAACCCAAAAGCTATTAGAGAAAACACCTACCCAACTTTCCATCAACAATAGATGACAGAATACAATGGAATATCTACAAGATGCTGAAGATAACTGGTAACCTAGAATTCTAAACCCAGCAAATTTACACATTCTTGAAATGACAAAATTATAGGATGGAGAACAGATCAGTGGTTATCCGGAGTTAGGGTTCAGGGCAGAGTGCAACTATAAAGGGGTAACATAAGGGAGTTTTTTTGTGTATGATGGAACAGTTGTGTATCTTTATTGTGGAATGGCTACATGAATCTATACATGAGATAAAATTTCACAGGACTATACACACACATAAAAATGAGTTCATGTAAAAACTGGTGAAATCCAAGTAATTTAGTGAATAGTATTATACCAAATCAGTTTCCTGGTTTAGATAACTTACTATGGTTATATAAGATGTTATCATCAGGGGAAGCTGGTTAAGAATACCCAGCTTTTGGTAGGCCTCAAGACCTTAGTTGGCTGCTGGCCAGAGACTTCAGTTCCTTGCCACACAGACCTCCCTACAGGTCAGCTCAAACAGATTAGCCGGCTTCTCTCATGTGAGCAAGAGAAACCAAAAACCAAGCCTACTGCTGTCGAGTTGATTCTGACTCACAGCGACCCGAGAGGACAGAGTAGAATTGCCCCATAGAGTTTCCAAGGAGTGCCTGGTGGATTTGAACTGACGACCTTGTGGTTAACAGCCATAGCACTTAACCACTACGCCACCAGGGTTTCCAGTGAGCAAGAGAGGGCACCCAAAATGGAAACCACAATATTTTTGTAACCTAATATTGGAAGTTTTATCCATTACTTCTGTTGTATTCTATTCACTACAAGAGAGTGAATAAGTCCAGTGCACCCTCCAGGGGAGCGGATTACACCAGGATGTGAAGACCAGGTGGGGATCACTGAGGGCCATCTTAGAGGTTATCACACTATCAAGCAATTTATCAACAGCTCGTAGCCAATTGACTTGGACATTAAAGAATTAAGTTGTTTAAAACATGTGCTATATACCAGGAATATCAATAGTGGAAGTTCTAGTCCCAAAATTGATTACAACACTAATTAACAAATTCAATTACATATCAACTGGTAGGCTGAAGAATTTAGAAATGTGATCCTATCAGTCAAGGTAAGCTCAGTCATGCTGTGTTAACTACCCCCAAACCTCAGACTTAAGATTGACTTCTCATTTATGTTGCATGTCTACCGCAAGCTGGCTGGGTCCTCTGCTCTGTATCGTTCTCACTCTGGGACCTAGGGTGATGGAAGAGTTCCTATCTGGAATGCTACTGGTCTCCATGAAGGGAAAACTCTGGAGGGCAAATTAAGTGCTCTGGCCATATGTGATACACAGCATTTCTGCTCACAGCTAACTGACTCACCGGCTACAACTTACACAACCACAAGGAGTCTGCCAAGTGCAGTGCACTTGAGAGCCAGAAATACTTGGTGAATAGTACAAATGACTACCATGGTCCACTCTTCTGGTCACCAAATATTCACATACACTTGTCTCCTACAGGAACTACACATCCTCAACAACGGTTAAAATTAGAAGGAATAACAATACCAAGTGTTGGTAAGGAAGCACTGGTGAGGATGTGGGGCACTCAGAACTCTCATACATTGCTGGTGAGAATGTAAGATAGCATAAACTACTTTGGAGATACGTCTTCATTTTTCTTGAGTAGATAACTACGAATGAAATCGATGCTTTTATGTTAAGTGTATATTTAATTTGATAGGAAACTGTCCAACTGTTTTTCAAAGATTTACACACAAAGGTTCACAGCAGCTTTATTCGTAATAGCAAAAACCTGGAAACAACCGAAGTATCCATCAGCAGATGAATGGATAAACAAATTGTGACATATCCATATATAATGGATTACTCAGCAATACGTTCAAATTTTGGCAGTGTCCATTCTGTTTTGTCTGTTGCATTTTTTTCTTTTTTTTTTTACAATTATGTTTAGTTCCAAGAATTTTAGTCTCAAATTACTCCTCTTCCATAGCAGCTTGTTCTTATTCTATCAGTGTAATACAATTTCATACTTGAGGGCAGAGTTTAAAAAATTCTTCTTCTTTCATTCATTGTTTTCAACAGCAGTCATTTGGTCTGCTCTACCCTGCTAGCTAGCTAGCTCTTGATTTCTTGTGTCCAGTGACTGGTGTTTAATAATTTTTTTTTCCTTCTGTGTAGGCTCTTATTTTTCCAGGTTAATAAATATCAGTTTCTTCAGGAATTGTGAAGGTCTGGTTGTGGGCAAGCAAGGGTAACTCTTTCCAAAGTCAGCTGGTGGTGAATGGGCCATGAGGCTCAATTCCCTCAACTTGGGTAGACAGTCATGAGCTTTCCTGTCTTTCTAAGTGTCCAGAAGAAGAGTGAGGAAAGGTCTGGGCTCTAATGGGCAAAGTGAGAAATAGCAGACGGAGGGCAAGTCAGAGCAGATCTCTACCTGGCTCTCATTAGTAGGATCTATACTGAAACCCAAAGCTTTTAAGTGTATAGGTGTTATTAGCATGCACACGTTTGTTGAACGAACCATACTACTTAGAAGAGAGTTCTAGAAGTAGAGGTTCTGCCTATCCTAATTAGAAGATATAAAGTGGTATCTGATCTTCACTTTTATTGAGAAAAAAATTCCATGCACATGAAAATGGTTGAGTACTTAATAGTAATCACTGTGCCTACTAACTAATAGAATCCAGTGAAAAGCTCATCTTTCAAACTTAAGCCTAAGATACTATGTACCTCCTGAAGGACAATCACACCCCCTGCGAAGAAGTCTTGGGAAAAAAAATCAAATCTGAATGTGGTCATGCTTTAATTTTAACTACCAGTTCACAGAAAATAAAGAGAAACATGTTGAACTACACCACAGGGTTACAATCAGCAAAATCTATTGTCAGAAACTATATAGAAAACCCAATTTCAACACACAAATTGCAGAAGTTGGGGGGCGGGGAAAGATGGAAGGATATATACAGATTAAAAGATTCTTAAGAGGCATCAACTAATCACAATGTGAGGTCCTCATTTGGATCCTGATTCAAACAAACCAACTAAAAATAAAATAACCATTTATGACATTTGAGACAAAGAAAATTTGAACATTTACTGGATATTGGATATAAAGAAATTACTGCTACTTTTTTTTTAAACGTTTGACAATGGCATTGTGGTTATGTTTTCTACAAGTCCTTATCTTTTAGAAATACAAACCAAAATATTTCTGTAAAAAATCTGGAAGTCTTTTTTTAAAAAAAGTTCAGTAGCAACATAAAATTGCTTAGCTTTGGGCCATTCTTGACACCTGTGAACATGCTAAACTATAGTCAGCCTTCTTTCCGAGTCTCTACCATGTTACAGCAAAGTTAAGACAATCCATAGTCTTAGCTGTGGAAGTCAGTTAGCTTGCTAATAAAAGTGGTTGAATTAAACCTGGTAAAGCAGCTGTACATGGGAGGTATTCCCCACTCTTCTTGCAGAGATGTGGCCAAAGCTAAAGGGAATACAGTGCTGGATGAGGCAATTTAACCACCTACTTTCAATCTAAGAAGGTCCTATTTAAATTTGATTCTTCAGAATAAAAGCAATCCCAGTGTCTATCACTAGCCCTAGGTGAAAATGGCTCCATTCGCTGAGCTCCAAGTGTTTCCCAGAACCTGATTTTGAGTTTAGTTGAATGCAGGAAAAGCACTGAAACGAGTCTGGTATATGTTTCTATACTGAAACCCAAAGCTTTAAGTAGAATTGGGGCCCTTTTCTGTTAGCCGAAGTGTCATGACGGAGCTCTTCGCTGCACCACACAGAAGTAAAGACCAGTGGCTCGGGAGCTGCGCTGTCTAAGTCTACGGACATCTCTGTACTTGCTTGGTGTGTGATCTCTGGGGAGTGACTTCACCTTTCTGTGCCACTGATGGCCAGCCAGAAGATGGGGATACTAGTACCTGCCTCTGAGGGCTGTCGGTAGGATTAAATGAATATACATAAAAATGTCCAAGTGACTAGCACAAAGTAAATATTCCATAAATGCTAGCTGTATTATGCGTCTGTGTGTGTGAATGGATCTGAATTTAGAGGCAGGAAGACTGACTCCATCTGAAAACATGGCAATATAGTTTTAGAGAACATAGCAATGTTTCAGAATATTCTTATCTCTGTGAACTAAGAAAGCAGCACTGATGATGCTAAAAAGGAACGTAAGATTGACGTTGTTATAGATAACAGAAAGTCAGGAGGTTCTTATTGTCAAAGGTAATCTCATTTAGTAAAACCAAAAAAACAAAACAGAACAAAAGAATCACATCCAGGATGAAATTTGTCCTTAGCCAATACTTAAGATCTCATTCTAGTTCTCATTACCAAAATCAGAAGTAAAAAAATTGTGTAAAATGTCTGTCTCAATAAAAACACACAATGAGCAAACTCTGGAAATAACTGATTCTTAAAAACTCATAAGCCAGACAAATGTAAAAAAGCGAACAAAATGAGCTGTTTTTCTGGTCATAAAATATTTATTAAGGTATACTTTAGGGAAGATAGTGAATATAAAATGTAGGATCACAGTATGAAGCAATTTCAATCCTCTCGAAGGTCAGCGCTGCCCTCAACGCTCTGCAGATGTAAAACCCCTGGTGAGACTCACCGCGCAGCCAGACTAGCTCGCAGCGGCTTCTCACGAGCATTTACAACTAGAGCATCGAAATACCTCTTTTAAGTGCAAAACGACACCACATTACACTAATGCAGCAACAATGCATCCGTATTCTCATTAGTCATTAGTAGTCAACTTGCATAAAACACCAGAAAAAAGCACAATGGAGCTCACAAAATGGGCTAAAAAATGAAGCTGTCCTTGCAGAATGCACATTGTAATGGAAGGAGAGACACTAAAAAAAGGTGATGCACAGCACAGAAGCAGGCTGCGTTCATGCCAGCCGTCAGGTGCCACTTCCTTTTCCGTAATCAAATTCCATGAACCAGGCACAACTAATATCTGGGAGGCAGTGAGTAGCTAAAATTTCATTTGACTAATTATTCAATGATTTTTAAAATCCCCATAAATCTTTTCTGTCCTGAGGTAGTTGCAAAATAAATCATAACTTGGATATCAACTAGGGCTGAGGCTTTGACTTTTTACTCATTGAAACTAGTCGTTACTGGCAGGAACTACCTTTTGAAATTTAAAAGACAGTTGAGAACTGGGCCTCTCACTACACACACAAGATGATGGCTGTGTGGAAAAGAGGATTAGCTGCTTCAGAACGTGAGGAGTAGGGTCCCCCATCGCTTCCACCCTCCCCCATCCACTTTAGATTCTCTTTATTGTCCAGAAAGCCACCAGGAGCAACACGGTAGAAGTGGACAGATCATCGTCCTTTGCTGTAGCCAGGGAAGAAAAGGTCAAGTAGAGTCTGCAGGTTCTCATTGGGAGTCATGATGTAATTCTGGCCAAGGTCATGCCGGCAAGCGGGGCAGGAGAAAACTTGTGCCTTAAAGGAGCGCTGTAAGCAATCCTAAGGCAAAAACAAAACGCAGTTTCATCTGAAGGTAAAGCACGTGGAAAGATACTCAACGACTTACGCTCTGAAACAGGGACTGGAAACTCCACGTTTGGCAGCAAAAGCACCACACGGGTGAACGACGGGAAAGGCCTGAACTCACACTATGGAAAGCAGTCTACCGGCAGGACGGCAGCACCTCCGCAGCGCACACCGGGAGACTTCAGTGAGGACTGAGCATTTCTGTGCTTCAGTTTTCTCAGCCAGTAAAGGAGGCTATTAGATTATGTACGGGTCCTACTTGGCTTCACTTTTTACGCTGGATTTTAATCCCATGCCTTCCTGATAGATGACTATTCAATGATTTTTAAAATCCCCATAAATCTTTTCTGTCCTGGTAGTTGCAAAATAAATCATAACTTGGATATCAACTAGGGCTGAGGCTCTGACTTTGTACTCATTGAAACTAGCTGTTATTGGCAGGAACTACCTTTTGATATTTAAAAGACAGTTGAGAACTGGGCTTTTCTTTAGCTGACTAAACAAAAAGGAAACGCAGGATTCTCTGTTACTTTAAAATGTATTCAAGTGGAATGGCTAGAACTGTTATATATTTTAACAACTTACTTAACACACAATCACATATGTGGAAGGTTTGTTCCCATTTTTCAAAAGAAACGGAAGTTCAGAAGTTAGATCAGGGCACACAACCACCAAAGAGTAGAGCCAGATTCCAGCCTTGGTTTGATTAAAATTCAAATTCCTTTCACTTCACACTGATAACACAATACTCGGTTCATCCGGGTTTGCTGCCTGACAGACTCCGCTTTAGATTCTTTATTAAGTGCACAGAACCATTCCAGTTTGAGCTCTAACATGTGAAACATACATGAGCTCTAACATATAAAACAAGCCCTCCTCCATAATTCTGAACATGATAGAATACTTCAAACTATAAATATTTGAATCACTATTACTATCAAAATAAAACATGCACTTACCACAAAGATGTAATCAAATGCTTCTTAACTAGCAAAGTTTCATAACTATTCTGCTTCGTAGAAAATACAGTGATAACCTGTGACAGCTGGAACTCGACGGGATTGCCTTGTTTTTCTGGGTTTCACCAAGTGTTCTGCCTTTGACAGGGCGCAGTCTTACCACTTTTCTATCGCTCGTGTTAGTGGAAAATATTTGAGTTTTCCTTCTCTGACAGGTTTCAGCCTTACACAGGTTCTGGCTTTCGCAGGGTTTACTGGACAGGCAGTTCCTGAGTTATGAATGTCCCTCCAAGTAGGACAACTCCTACTTGCCCTTGAATGTCATGTAAATTTGCCCTCACTTTGAAATGATTGCACCAGCCCCTACTCACAACAAATTCTTCATCACAATCAACTTCACTTGCAGCTTTTAAATCACTGAAAAGTCTTCAAGCCTTTTCTTGCACTAAAAGTAAGGCTAAAGAAGAATTGTATGCACCTGTCACCGACTTACAAATCCGACTTAAAGGCGCAGTTAGGAATGGATCTTGTTCGTAACCCGGGGACTGCTTGCACCGCACGTGCTAAAAACGGGTTTAACGGTGAGGGAGCCTTCTGGCACATCAACGGATAATAAGAAAGGAGGTGTACTTACTTTACAGACGTTGTGGAGGCACTCTGTTGTCACAGGCTGGTAAACTAGCTCCTGGCAGCAGACACACATAAAAGATTGTTCCAATTTTTTCAGAAAATTCTAGAATGGTACCCAATGGGAAGACAAAAAGTGTTGCATTTCAAAATATACTAATAAAATTCTAAGTGATACAAGGTCTAAGTCACATTTAGTATGTTTCTACTAAGAAGAAAAAAAAAATCAATAGTGACTGCAATTACCTGAGACAAGTAAGCTTGTATAACAGAAACCAAAGAAACCCCATTCCCTAAGACACACACATTAGTTTTAAATCTTGAGGGTTGGGTTGGAAAGAATGCAAAATATATGGCATCAAAAAGTGAAAGTCCCCCTAAATCTCACATTCCAGAGATATTGTTCACTTAAAAAAAATCATGGAGATCTTGTCAAGGTCATTACATACAGATCTCTTTTTTCCAAAAGAGCTGCATAGTATCCCAGCATGCATAATTATTCAATCTCTTGTTGTTACAAAACTTGAATAATTACTTTGTAAGGTTAAAAAAAGCACTAGGCAGTAATACTCTGCATATCTAGCATCACAAAAAACCAATATATTTATCTTCCTAAGATTATTTTCTGTGATACTTTGCCTCAATCCAACCACCATATTTTCCTGATGGTAATGTGAACTCCCATTGGGAAAAAATTGTTTTAAAAAGCCATTACTGGTTCCATTTTACCCAGGCAGTTGTTTCTTTTAAACTAGAAGGAAAAGTAGTTTTTTCAAATAGTCACAAGGACAATCCCCCATTCAGGTTACTTATTCTCTGTAGCAGAGTGCAATTTATGTTTGTTCTTTGTGTTAATAGAAAAGGTAGACTATTCAAGAATTTCAAGTTAAAAAAAAAAAAAAAAATCGAAGATCCCATTTCAAAAGGTGTCTTGATATTTATGAACGTGAATTATAAACAAATTAATAGACTATACCACTTAGGGGGAAAACCCCCAAACCTTTATACCAGGCACCCTCTCTCTGACAAACTACTCTGTTTTCCCAGCGAGGGCCTCCATGGTGCCTGTAACATGGGTATATGTAACACAGGCATTCTGAGTTCCTGCAATGTGCTAGGGACTCATCTACACAGTGGTAATAGAACGGCAAAGTTTCGCTCTCTTGGAGTTTATATTCCTATAGGAGAGCAAACTAAAAAAAAAATCAATTTTAGACGGTAATAGCTATGAGGAAAACAAAGCAAATTAAAGCAATAAAGAGTAGCTATTTTAGAAAGGAGGTCCCTGGGTGGTGTAAATGGTCTGTGCTACACTACTAATCTAAAGGCTGGCAGTTCGAACCCACCCAGTGGTACCATGGAAGAAAGGCCTGGCGATCTGCTTCTGTAAAGATTACAGCCAAGAAAACCTTATGCAGTAGTTCTACCTGTAACACATGGGGTTGCCATGAGTCCAAATTGACTTGAGGGCAATGGGCTTGTTTTTTCATTTCATTTAGAAAGGGTAGTTGGGGAAGGCCTCCCTGCAGAGGGTAGTATTTACGCAGAGACTTAACAGATCTGAAAGAGTGAGCCATGTGAAGACTGCAGGGGAGGGAACTCCAGGCAGAGAGACAGTGCAGTGGGTAAAGGGGAGGGAACCCCAGGCAGAGAGACAGTGTGCAGGTAAAGGCCTAGGGCAGGGACAAGTGAGTGTGTTTAAACAGCACAGAGACCACTGTAGCTGAAGCAGTTTGGGTGTGAGAGAGTAGCAACGGAGGAGACTGTAGAGGTAGACAGGGTTGCAGGTCAGGTAGGGACTTAGGAGGGAGTTTGGATATAAATGCACATACTTAGTTAAAACGTGTGCTTATTTAAAAGTCACTGTGGCTAACACCTGATTCTTTGGCTTGATAAGCGTGTTCCTGGCGTATCCAAAGACAGTGTGCGTGAAACTCGCCCAGGATAGTAACACATCAACATCCCGAGGCACCGCTGGTAGCAGGGAAACAATATCTGACCGAGGCGCGTAAGAGCCAGCCACAACAAGCACGACACCACCCCCAGGCACGAGAACTTCTATGCACACTCAGATGACTTTTTCCGGCACCTATATTGCTACCTTGTCCCCTGCCCAGCCAGGGCTGGAAGTCACCTGGGTTATCACTAATCGTGGTGTCCTCCCCAACCAGGCAGTAATTTGTTCATAAGAACAACTGCTTGCTGTAGCTTACAGGCTCTAATTGAGAATGAGTCTGACCTAACAGAGTCTGATTATCGTCATGCCTGAGTCTCTTGCCTAAAAAGCAAGTAACACCTTTCACAGAGCTAAATTACCTCCCTTCTGTCTTCCAACCATGTAAATAAGCCTCATTCTACTAAGGATAACTCAGCATGTCACATTTATAGGCTAACAGAAACGGTGAGTCCAATACAAATCAAAAGGGTATTTGATAAAATTCACCCATTTCCATTTAAAACTTCTATCAGGAAGATTTTCCTTAACATGATAATGAAGAATACTCCTCAAACAAAAAGCAACTTGATCGTCACTGGATAAAAGCTCTGTAGAATTCACTTACATCTAGACAGAAAGCACATACAGATATCCTTAGCCTCATTTCAGACATTTGAGAAGTTCTTGCTAATGCCAGGGAGAAATAAAGGAACCACGGGAAAGCAAAGATGACTTAGAGATGACAAGATGGAATTCAACGAGAAGTTACTAGAGCTTGCTCACAATAGCTACATATCACAGAAAAGTAACTGCATTTACATGACAAGGGGTTAATACCTAATAAAGAAGAAGATTCAGATCTACAAGCAAAATTAGAGCCGCAATAAACAAGTGAGCAAAGAACAGACAATTCGCATTTGAAACCTCCAACTTTTGGGATTTGAAAAGAACGCTTCTTTGGCAAAACACAGCTTAACACAAAATCCATACCGTCAGTTAACTTTGTGATTCTTTTCCACGTCAAAATTTTATGATTATCGAAAAACAGAAAAACATTCAAAACACATACAATACTTAGAATTGCTTAAGACTTATGCTATTAGGTAATTCGGAACTACAGTGAAGCCTGTGAGAATCGGAACTCGACGAGGACGCCTTGTTTTTCTGGATCTTGCAAGTTTTCCGCCTATGATGAAGTGCAGTCTTACCACTTTTTTATTGATCATTTTAGTGGAAAATACAATAAAATCTGCGAAAGCTGAAACCCATGTAAGGCAGAAACCCGTCAGCGCACTCAAATATTTTCCACTAACAAAGAGTGATACAAAAGTGGTAAGACTGCACCCTGTCAAAGGCGGAAAACTTGGAAGACCCAGAAAAACAAGGCGGTCCCATCGAGTTCCGGCTCTCCCAGGTTTCGCGGTATTTGCGCTTTCCTTCTCGGATGGGTTTCTGCCTTCCACAGGGTCTGGCTTTCGCAGGCTTTACTGTATAACAAAAACTTTTCCGATGTATTTTAGATTAAATTGAGTGTGTTCCACAACTGAAAATCTTTCCCATGAAGAGTTCCTCAACATAATTATTAGGCATTGGGAAGTCAAAAACCAACATCTAGAAAATCTAAAATCTAAAAGTATTCAAGTATTGCCTCAGATTATTTCTGAAAGGATAAGAAGATTGGATAGGAGGATCACATTTTGACTGATTTGTGAAAACCCCACTTCATAAAGAAATTATTCATCATTTGTTAATACTAGAATATTACTTAAAAAACAATCTTTACATACTGGTCCTTCCACAAGAAATGCGAGCACCTCGTCCCACAGCTTCTGGTTGTGGCGATCTTCTCGGATTAGATGCTGCTGTTGAGGGGTTAGCTGGAAAGCCTCAACTGCTTCCGCCGAATCTGATCTTTTGACCATTTTGGAGGCACTTGGACACTCATCTAGATTTATTCAAAAATATATCAGCAGGCTTACAAGTGCTTCGTGAAGCAAAAGTGTTAACTGGCACCAGTAATGTTTAACAGGAAGATAACTCCCATAAAGCAACATCTACCTACCCCCGGAGTTTAGGATACTGTATTTGCTGCTGTTTTGGCTTTGATACTATTAAAATACACAAAAAGAGCCATTCGCCTCTCCCCTCAAAAACACCCACATTCACTTGGCTTTTAATGTCTTATGAGTCTCTCAATTCAATTTATTAGAAACTACGTTATGAGGTTTCTCCTCTGCAATCATTACCTACCGTCTGGATTAGGCCTTTTTGAGGTTTCACTGGTCTGCTTCTTTGACTGCCCTTTCGTCTTCTTCCCTTCCTTATCTGAAGGATAGCCTGCTGGATACTGATGGGGGAAAAAGTACAATGTAGATTTAAGCTTCATAGAGGAGGAGGGTCTTAGATCCTGATGAGAAATTTTAAAAAAAGGAGAGGGTAGGAGTCATCTATGCTTCTCCCCAAACTGCAAGACTTTACATAAAGGAAACAGACATTTAAAGAACAAAGAATTCACAGGATAGAAGACTATTAAACGTCCAAATTCAGTGTAAAAACATGTAGCTTTGATTCTCAGATGTCCCATTTTATAACACAATGATCTTTTCAGGCCTCACAGTTTCAGATCGAAGAGATCAAAGGTAAAGTCTTCAGAAGCTCTGACTATATACAGCTTGAAAAGTTTAAGGAAGAGATGGAACGTAAAATCTAGATATGAAGGTTAGTGAAGATCAATCACAGAGCACAATCGATGCTAATCAAATAGATGGGTTTATACTAAATTGTGGGGTCAAGCTTATACAAAACATGTGGGCAGATTTCTCATCTCTCAAAGTTAGGGGGAAAAGCATTGAAAAGACCTAAAGCCACTAAATTGCTGAATTCCCTACCAGCTAAGGGCCAGACTTTAAGAAATAAAAGTCTGCCTGTTATCCTTATGTTTTACTGGCTACCTATTTTTTTGTTTTTTGGTATGCTTTGTGATAATGCTCCTATCTAAACCTCAACATAATTCTGTCCTCATCAGTCATATTAAACTCATCATAATAGACGGGCTTACATGCTTCTGCTCATAGTTTCAAATCTAATCTATTTAGAGCAATGCTCTGTTGAACCGTGGCATCTGCAAAATCTTTTGAAAATTGATTTAATACTTTTTTTTAAGTGTTCTTTTAGCAGTTATTTTAGCAGCTGAAGAGTCTCACTGAAACAATCAATTCTGTGTGTTTAAAAAGAAAACAGAAACAGATCTGCACTGGAAAACACACACTCACCTGCCAGGGTGCCCAGATCCTTGCCCACAGCGCAGCCCCCACACATGCAGTGTGGGCAGAGCCAGGGGAATGACAGAACAGGTGGTCTTTACAGGAAGCGCAGCGATGGGGAATGGCGGGGATGAACTCCCACCATGCTCTGAGGGCAGTGTTAGGGAAAGTCTAGGGTGTATGGGCAGTGAAGGGGGAATGCAGCCATACCATCCACTATGCACACAAATCAACAATGTCTTACATGGGTCAACAGCTGAGCATGGGCAAAGAGGAAAAAAGGGCCAAGCACTCTATAGAGGTGGTGACAGGGCAGGGAAGCAGCTTTGAGCAGCAGAGAGTAAAAGGATGAGGAAAAGTGAGAAGGGTAGAAAGAAGACCACTCATATAAGCCACCTCCCTCCTCCCCCTACCAGAGATATACCCCCTGTGTCCCTAGGATAAACTTCCCCTCTTGAAGTCTCCTAACCTGAAGTTTACTCATCCCTTTTCCCTACACTTTAAGCCATCTCCAAATGGAAGTGGAAATATTTTACTTTTCATTGACAAAACCGGCTCTTCTCAAGCACAACCCTAGGTCCTAGGGAAGTCGGATGCCTAGGATGCTACCTCTTTGCTTTTTACTCTTCTTCCTTCTGTACACCTGCATTATCTCCTTCCTCATCTCTTATTGTCTACGGATCAACTGCCGTGGGTTATATCCAGTGTTAGGAAGTACAGAGGTACACATTTTTATGAACAGACAAGTGGACTAGACAAATGTAATCTAACCTGTAAACGCAGACACAATCTCCTTGACCGTTCTATTCCTTCCGAGGTCCAAGGAGCAGGTTCCACATCATCTCTTCTTAAAAGATAGCGCCAGACCAAGAATCCATGGCTTGATGAAATCTCTGGCCAGTATTTCACCACCTAAATCATAATATGTCAGTACTACTTTGAGACTTAAAGTTTAGACTTATTCATAATGTCATCACATAAGTGGTTTAAGTAAACGTGCCAGAACTAAGTATCACTTTAAAAGACACTTGCTTTCCTATAAGAGTAGTAAATAAGTCAAGAATATTCACTATAATATTGTTTTGACCATATTTCCTATTAAGATAGTCCCCATATAAGTACAGATTGCTATTAATTTGATGTAGTAACAAGGTTATGCTCATTCATTGAATTTTGCACACTGGGTAGACAAAATGATAGTGATAGATGGCCCTGTTTTTTAAGCAAACAAGGTAAACCTATTTTTAATATTATAATGTGTTCTGCTTTGAAAATCTATTAGAATCAAATCATTCTGAAAAGGTATATAAGAATCCAGATCTATAATGGCAAGTTATTGAAATGGTTTTATCATAGAGAATCTGTGTGTGTAAAAATCTTGCCCCAAAATATAATCCAGCCCTCAGGGAATTCATATAAGCCTAAAAACAAAAGTACCACAGCTCTAAGTTCACTTTGTGCATCTCTTACATTTCCAGAAAAACAAATACCAACCGAGATGGCCTACTGTTTCCTCCTTCCCACCCCCAGGAGTTCCCTGTGGCGACCTGACTTGAAAGCCCAGGAAGAACGACTAACAAGATGTCATGCCATATAGAGCACCTTATAAATGCCATCATATCTGTTGCCTTCTTCAGGAGCATATTTGCTGATCTTCCTCCCTTTAAAACTGCGTATCACTCTGACTGGCTTACCAGCTCTCCAATTCCGAGACTCTGCTCCAATTTTATCATCCAATGGAGCATCACAGTTTAGGGCCAATGCCCTAAAAGATAAAACAAAGTCTTTATACCAAGTAATCTTTCTTCAAGTATACAATCGAATCATTAGCTCAATTAAAAGGTGAATTATGCCTTACCTGATGGTTGATTCTATGATTCTTTCCATATTATTCCAGATAATAGGATTATGCTTTCCCCCACCAGCAGAGAAGACAAATCAGTTTTCTGATGTCACCCCCAAGCCAGGGGATTGGTTCTCAGATAGCCTGTAGGGTTCTTCTGAAAGTAATAACATCTGTGCCACGTATAATAGAAAACAACTAGAAATACATGGAATTTTCTTTAAATAACGTTTGTTGAGGGGAGGAAGAACGTTGGAAAACTAAAGCAAGTGACTGTTTTAATAAGTTATTTCTGAAGGGAGTGAGGTAAATTGCTGGAATAATGTAGAAAGAAATTCAGGAAAATAAATTTGTCAGCAGGTACAAATGAACTTTCTAGGTCTACTTTCCACATTCTACACTATTTAAGATTTCTTAAAATTTAGAAGATTATTAAGAACAAGTTTAATATGAGAATATCCTTTAAAAGCCTCCAGCAAAAGAGGATTTTAAACAAAAACGAAGCATCCAAATGCCTGTGTTAAACTGTGACCATAAGACAATAGAGATTTTTGACAGCTTGAGATCACTGCACTTTACTGTTGACACAAGGACAAGAAGAAACACTGAGTTGGAAGTAGAATCTGACTTAGCCGAAACGTCCTTGAGTGTGTACTCATTTACTAGCAATTAGTCAGCAAGGTTGTTAGATGTTAGAAGACCTTTCGTGGGAAGAATTCAGCCCTACCAAAGAAACTAGGATCTGTTTAAATTAGTATTTTTCTTCTAAGTCGCCTACTTCCTAACTTAAGTGAAAAGAAAACATAGAGGACACATTAAGGTTAAAAAAAAAAAACGTATAGCCAATCTAGTGAAATCAGATATAGTACAAAATACCTTTTCAGGGTACAGTCCTTTTTATACAGGCTCAAATAAAAAAAAATAGGCTGTAAGACTATGACTACTGAAAAGAAATCTCTTGACCATAGCTGTATTTTTTAAGTAAATGAACTTAAGGAAGCGTTTCATTTTTTAAAATAACTTTTACAGCTGTAGTCAAGGAGTTAAAGCTTACCAAGCTATCTTTTTTAACTCAAAGGGAGATGCATTACAACCTGGGAGATAGGAAAAATGTATATTATCAACTCTAGGGTAGTATAAAGTCTTATTTATGGAAGACTTATGAGATATACACACTACGTCTTCAGAAGCTCGGAAAGTACTACCTTCATGTCACCGAGTGAACCGCTTTAGGGCTCACAGGTACCTTCAGTCATAATGACTGCCGCTACATACTGGCACTGTCAACTCACTTCTGGCTTCAGATAAGGACGCAGGCTGTTCGGGTATTTGAGAAGAATCCAAGGGGATGAAACCAGGCAAAACGGCAACAAGGCTCTTCTATTACTCTATCTGCAGCTCAACCAATTGGTTGCCTCTAACGTCCCTAATCAAGGTTGGCCAGGTTACCTTGCTGCCCTCTTCCGTTTCTTAAAGTGGAAGAGCTGGGAAGAAACAGGAACAGACTTCTCAGAAGCCAGAAGCAGGTGTCAAACTACCTCGTAGCCGAGAAGCAAAAATGAATTGGACCATACACTACCCGGGCAAGAATATAGTGTGGGTCAGAGCTAAGGGCCTTCACTTCAGTTTTCATGTTTATAAAACATAGGTACCTTTGCCCAAGGGATCTGACAATCACAGGACATATTTACAGCTTCATGTATAAAATAACTGCCTGGGTGTTAAAGTCTCTCTGATAAGTCGATTCTAAATTGTTTTGAGTTAATATTTCCTTTTTACTATCTTCTCTTTAATAGCAAACATTTTTACTGCTTGTCAATTTTCTAAAGCGACTGTAACATATGGTCAATGGGGTATTCTTTATTATTAGATTGCTCAAAACCTTCAATCTACCATGGACATTACAAGTGTGGGTTAAGTCATGAAAAACGTTTCATTCAAGCCATCTATTATAATTAGAGGGAAAATACAATTTTCAGATTTAACAACTTGAAAAAACCCTTTTGCAAATTCAAGATACATTTTCACTGACAGAACCACATCAAAATATTTCTAACTCCTTTGAAGATCATTCCTCCAGAAGAGCTGGAGGTTTCTAGCTCATTCTTGCTAAAAGAAGAATAGTAAGGGACTCATTCCTGCCTCAGGAATGTTTTCACCAGCAAACCTGACCTGTCTCCTCTGCTGGGTCAGTAATATAATCCTACTGTCAGAAATAATACAGAAGGAAGGCATGAAAACAGAGATTCTATGTAACCTGATATGTAATAAAGCCTTGAAAACATATTGAAATTGTTTATTTCACACAGCAATCAGAAATTAAGGGTACACTACTTAAAACTGAGTGATTTAGACTCAAGGAAGTGGTTAAATTGGCTTCCACTCAATCAATCCACAAAATACCCTTAAATATAGAATGTAAAAAATCACAGCTTTACAAAATGAACAAAAAATTAATCAGTATGACAAGTTATAATGTGGTAGTTGCTATTTGATGGTTTGGGTTACTTAACCTATTATTAATATTGCTATTAACATGCATTTATGAAATAAAACATTTCAAAGTTATTAAATTTTCTGTTCTTACGGGAGCTGGAATATCATTATTTCTATAGGATAAAGGTCAGTACAAGGTGGCCTTTGTAAGGCCTTAAGGGCACTTAGTTAGAAAAAGTCCCTTTTGTAACTCAGTGAACACTGCCTTTTATAACACTTAAAAGACATAAGTATAAATCCTAAAAGCACCTGAGTGCTGATCTGATTAAATTATCTGATACTTCATTCATGCACATAAAAGTGATGCCCCCACATAATGCTATTTCACATTAGCGAGTCTCTTCTAAAAAGAAGTTTGTCACTTTAACAGTGATAAATCTGTGCTGAGTAGGATGTCACTGTAACTTTGACCTAGGATGCAGTAGATAAGCTCAATTTCACTTAATAATGTATAAGGCTCCTTTCCTTTAAAGGTGTCGACATCTTAAGTAAGACTGGGAATTTGGTCATTTTAAAAATAATAATATGAAGAAATAAGTTAGGATGCTTACAAACAATTATATAATCAGGTTATGGGATTTTAATTTTAGATCCTTTTAACTGCCAATTTAAGACTCTCCCCTGCAATTTAAGTTACAAATTATAGTCCTATAATCAAACTCTTATGGGAAGCCCGAATTCTAAAACTCTTAAGTTTATTTACCAACTCTAATAATGAAGAGTACCTGTTCATGTTTGTCAATGTCTGATCAGCCGATGGTGCACCGATCCTTTTATTACCAGCAAGGTTTTTACCACCACTCCCAGTGTACGTGAATTCATCTCCTCGGTCCTGTAGGAGAAGATTTTCTGCATTAAGATATCTACCCCAAATATAGTTTTACCAGTTCTTGTTTCAGAGTCAGACCATTTGCTTAGGATGCTATGGGTTGACATGTTCTCTCAAGCTATCTACCGAGATAAGGCAAAATTCAAATGCGATCTTGTGTGTCATATACCTTCAAGTTATATCATTTGATGCAAAGCTTCCATTTTGAAGTCATAGCTTCCAACACCTCTGGACATGACTATTCTCTTGGGTAACCAAATAATCTACACAGTACTACAAAATAGCTCATTCGACTTGGAAATATTATGTTTCATTTAATTAAAAGTTATTGAAATAAACTTATCAATACTAGTTTGTAGGTTCTTTAATAAACATTCCAAAACTGAATTCCCAACCACAGTTACCACCATATTCATTTGCTGCTAAATTTCAAATTCTGAAGTTGACATTAAGTATATTTTATAAAGCAAGTTTACCTACACATCTCATATTAAACTTCTAACACCTTGTTAAGCTCCCTAGATTTCACATTCTACGGATTCACCCATTTACAATCAGGTAGAATAACCACCTACCATTAAAAGAGTAAAGAGAGGACTCCCTGAGATTATTGCCCTGAAACACTCTTTAAACCTAGAACCGAGCCTATCCGAGATTACCTTTTATCAAAATAGCAGAATGGCACACAAAAGAAAGGGTATTACTCATAAGATTGGTGCTCTACTTAAAAATCATCTGTATGAGACCAAACGAGAAGATAAGGAGGCAGGGAAACCAGAGTACTGGAAATGGAATAAATAGAACACAATTAAAGAGAATGTGTTCACCTGTTGTGATCAATGTAGCTAATGTTACTGAACAATTTTTCTGGAAATTGTCAAATGGGAACCTAACTTGCTGTGTAAACTTTCACCAAAAACTCAGTAAAATATTATTAAAAAAAAGTTTTGAAAACTGAAAATAGTATAAAGTGTCTATCTGAAAAAAACATGCTAAACTGTTTCTATAGTATCTTCACATTTATAAGGCTATTCATAAGTCTCTACCTGATTCTGTGTTTGAAATAAATTGAGAAAAAAAACCTACTAGTGTGCAAATTAATTCTATTAACACTAGCTAAACAGTGATTATTCTTCAGTGCAAGATGATTTTAATCTGTTCAGTCTGATCTTAAGACAATGAAGTTTTTTCTGCTAAATAGTTGCTTATTATAAAGGTCAATTATTGGTACTTTATTTTCCTTTCTATTGAAAGCTATAACTAAAAAGTCCATAGTTTTAAAACTGTTTTTATGGGTCTAAAAACTTCTAATTCACTTTTTATTGACCCAATAAAATTAGTGTCATACTGAGGTCTATATTTTAAAGAATAAGGCATTAAGGAATCTCATCTTTAATGTATATTCCATTTGTAGTAATGCTAATAAATAAATAGATCTAGAACCATCCAGAATATTTCCTAAATTTATCAAAAAGTTTTCCAAACGGTATCCAGATTGCCTTCATAATACCATCTTCATAACCATGCCAACTTTTGAAGTTATTGTTTTGGTAGTGCTAAAAAGGAACAAGTGGTAGGGAGTAGGAGAGCATGATGGGGCAACCTAATCTAAATAGTGTTTAAAACAGAAGAACAAAAACATTTCTGATTATTCTTCAAGCAGCAAATAACCAAGTAAACATGGTTAAAATTCTGTATCATTAACTCATCTGTACTCTAACCTTTAAACCAAAAAAACTGTAAATAATCAATAAGGAAATAAGGAATTGCCAGACTATCAGAGCTCAGCCAATATTATTTCAGACTCACTCAGTTTTTCCTATGGCAAAATGGTCAACCCCAACTTGTTACATCTTCTAGTCTGTGATCCACTAAGCTGAGCCCCTGTGAGGCAGTAAAGCCCAGATTAAATACAACTGGCCAGATGCTAACAACAAATGTTAAAGAGACCCTACTTCTAGTTGGTTGGTTTTATTACAAAGCCTTACAAAAATTCAAAAAAGTGTTGACTGTAACAAACTATATAACATTCTTTGTATTTCTAACAAGTACTTAAAGATACAGCTTCAAAATATGCATGGTAAAAGAGTACTCAAAGGATTAGCCTAAACACTTCCATTTCCAGTTTCCTGCGCTATGTCAACGAGACACGCTGCCAAATTTGCCTTTCAGAAAGATAGCAAACTTTTCCACTTCTGTCTGCAAATATACTACATCTTGAGGCTCTCAGCAGCTATTCTAATTCATCACTGTAACATCTCAGGAAACCAAGCAAGTGAAACCCACGTATTACTAAAGAGGAAAATGGGAGACATTTGATTAGGATCATAAAAGATGGAAATACAGAAATTCATAACCCATTTCTATCTAGTTTCTATTGCAGCTGAGTCTCTTTACCACTTTTAGAAAATCTGAAATACATAATTTGAAGCTGCAAAAACTTAAATGACTTACCATAAAGCTAATAATCTTGGCAAAGATCCTCAAATATACTTTTTGAAAACTGTCAAAAGGTACAGATATAAACTAGTTTATGAAAAATTTTAAATCCCCTTACAAAAAAGTCTTGATTTTTAAAAATATCTAAATAGACTGCAATTTTCACTAGTAAGTGATTCTTCCTCTGGACTGAACTGTTTAAAAATAAATATTACCTACAAGAACAAATATACCTGTGAACTCAGCCCTGGATGGTACTTTGTAAAATCCTGTCTCTGATACGAAGAATTTAGTTTTATTTGATGAACTACATAAGCACTGTGGAAAAAGGAATGATTGATTAATATACAAATATCACTACGTATAAATGAATAAATCGCCATTTGTGGCTCGTTAAAGAATTAATGTGACTAATTTAGCAGTTACATTCTCACTAACCCTGTTTTCCTATGAGAACATATATGTACACTGAACTTAGCTTTCGGTGAAGAAATAAAAATTGAAAAACAAAACTACACTAGGTCAGCTTCAAACAATGTATTTTACTAATATGTTTTAATATTTCATTTTATCACAATGTTCCCTTCGCCCTAAACTTCCTTATTAAGCTTAGTAGTAAACAATGAAATACAAGTAGTAACTGCACCTGACAGGCCCAGTTCCTACGGAAAGGCTTCACAAACCACTTCTGCAGCACTGAGAGTTTAAAACGCATTTAGTGGGGCTGGGGGTAGGACCAGGGAGTACGACAAATGGGATGGAAATGTCCTAAAATTGGATCATGGTCATAGTTTAGTACCAAAAACCAAAAAATCAAACCCGTTGCCGTGGAGTCGCTTCGGACTCACAGTGACCCCACAGGAAAGAGTATAGAACTGCTCCATAGGGTTTCCAAGGAGAGGCTGGTGGATTTGAACTGTCAACCTTTTGGTTAGCAGCCGTAGCACGCTGTAGCTCCTAACCACTGCATAAAAATCACTGAACTGTACACTTAAAATTGGGTGAATTTTATGGTATGTAAATTGTGCCCCCAATAAGCCAGTTATACACACACACACACAATTAGTTGCTGTGGTAGGCAGCCTCCAACATGGCCCCCAATAATCCCAGCCTTCTGGAATTCACATCCTTATACAGTCTCCTCCCACACTGTGGCAGGATTGGCCTATAGCACCAATAGAATAGGGCAGAAGTGATAGTATTTCACTTCTGAGATTAGTTTATAAAAGACTGTGCGTGGCTTCTATTTTGGGGGGTCTCTGTCTCACACACCACTTGCTCTGGGGGAAGCCAGCTGCCATGTTTGCCAAAAAACATGAAAGAGCTCAGAAGTAGATCCTCCGGCCCTGGACGACAGTAACCTCATGTGACCCCTGAACCAGAACCACTCGGCTAAAGCTTCCCAGATTCCTGACCCACAGAAACTGTGAGATAATGAATGTTTGTTTCAAGCTGCTAAGTTTTAGGACAATTTCTTATGCAGCAATAGATAATGAATACAGTCCCTTTGAAAGATACTCTTCACAACTGGCTAGAAAATGTACAATAAAGGCAGCAACACTCCTTGGAGAAAAAGTAGGGGTAGCATGGGGCATTTATTCCTTATTGCTGGTATTTCTTTCCATGTAGGGGGAGCTTAATTAGATTACCACTTTTGGCCTTTTTCTTCCTCTTCGTTTACTCCAAAGGAGGAATAACCTGTATCACATGGGAGAATTTTGGATAAGGAATTGGGCGGGTGTAACTTTGTCCATTCCTCCATCCTTTTGGAAAAACTGCGTGGAAGAAACACATCCTGGTCTGTCTGCTCTCCAAGAGCTAATCATTCCCGCAAAAAGGAGTAAGCCCTCCTGCCCGTCCGCACCCAGCTTTACAGTGGGGAGGGGCCTGCAACTGCCTGGCACTGCCTGGGACTGGGTGAAGCTGGCGCCGCCTGGGACTGGGTGAAGCTGGTGCCGCCTGGGACTGGGTGAACCTGGCGCCGTCTGTGACTGGGTGAACATGGCGCCGCCTGTGACTGGATGAACCAATCTCTTCCGGGGCTGCCATATTAGAAAGCCTGCTGTTGTTACACACCTAGTCCGTGTCATTCAATCTGGAATTATTAAAAAAAAAAAAAAAAAAGTCACCATAAAGCTGTATTTCAGCCTTCCATCTGCTGATCTATGTCTCTTAATTGGTTCAGAATTCAGACACATATATAATTTATCTCATTACTTCAAACTCTAAACATCAACAGATTTATTTCATACTTCTCAAAATAGGTTTTAGAATATTAGTGGCTCAACAAAGTTGCTCACCTCACTAATGTTAGAGAAATTCTCTTTTAGAGTGAGAACGGCAGAGAGAAAAGAGTTTGCTTGTGATTATTAGGTTATATCCTAAAAGTAGACTGGAGGACAGAAAACCTGCAAAGAACATACAAGTGGGGTGGAAGTTTTAGAACCACAGAAGTGGTTAAAAATATCTAGAGACTGTCTCTTCTTCTCAGCAATGTTGTTGTTGTTTTGTTGTTGCTAGGTGCCGTCGAGTCAGTTCTGACTCAGAGCGACCCTATGTACAACAGAACAAAACACTGCCCAGTCCTGTGTCATCCTCATGATCATTGTTATGCTTAAGCCCATTCTTGCAGCCACTGTGTCAATCTATCTCGTTGAAGGTCTTCCTCTTTTTCACTGACGCTCTACTTTACCAAGCATGATGTCTTTCTCCAGGGATTGGTCCCTCTTGATAACATGTCCAAAGTACATGAGGATGGAGGAATGCACAGAGTTATACCTGCCCAATTCCTTATCCAAAATTCACCTATACGATGTAAGTTATTCCTCCCCTAGTGTAAATGAAGAGGAAGAAAAACTGATATACAGACAGATAACAGAACAATAGTATAATTAACCCCTGTGGGCCTACCACATCACTTGATTAATTCATGACCAACTTATCTATACTCCCACCTACTTCCCTCATTCCCATCTTATGTCTAATGACTTTTCATTCTTTGTATGACTTTAAGGAGCAGCTGACATATTCCAGTTCTTTAACATTCAAGATCTGACTTTATAAAAATGAATTCTATACTAGGAACCCAACTGATTTTTGACGAAAGTGGGAAAGCAATTTAATAGAGGAATGATAGCCTTTTCAAGAAATGATGCTGCAGCAACTGGACATCCATGGGTTAAAAAAAAAAGAAAGGAATCTTGACCTAAGTCGCATAAATTATACAATAATTAATTCAAAATGTAACACAGACTTAAATGTAAAATTAAAAAACGGTTAGAAAAAAAAGTAGGAGAAAATCTTCAGGGTCTAAGGTTAAGCAAAGAGTTCTCAGACTTGACATTGAAAACAGAATCCATAAAAAGCCCTGTACATTGCATAGGTTGTTAGATGGCATCAGTGAGCACCTTGGAGACCAATGTACACACAAATCACTTGCAGACATGGTTAACACGCAGACTCTAATTCAGTAGGTCTGGGGCAGTCTGAGCGCCTGCACGTCTACGTTGCTGGTCCTTGGACCCCACTTCTAAGTAGAAAGGTCTTAAATCTTCTCCAGAACCCCACTGCAGTGAACACAACAAAACTGCTTTTACGAACTTCTATCAAATGTATACCATACTACCACATTAGTGTTATTAAAAAGACCCAGGCCTGGACAATAAAGTAATTTGGGGTTTGTTCCTAAAAAAATTATATTTTTATTTAGAAGAAGCCTAGAATTTTGCAAAATAAACTGATATATTAATAAAATTCTTGAAAATGAAAAATAAGAAAAGTTAAACTGGACTTCATCAAAATGAAAAACTTGTTCTAAGATGCAAACAAGCTACAGACTGAGAAAAAAATATTTGCATATCTACATATACTGTGTATCTGACAAACAGTAAAAAAGAATCACAACCCAATAGAAAATGGGCAAAAGGCCTGAAGAGACGCCCCGCCAAAGAGGCTACAGATGGCAAGTAAGCACATGAACGATGCTCAACATCACTGGCCACTAAAAACAACAACAAACCCATTGCCATTGAAGTTGATTCCGACTCATAGTGACCCTGTAGGATACAGCAGGACTGCCCCATAGGGTTTCCCAGGCTATAATCTTTATGGCAGCAGACTGCCACATCTTTCTCCCATGCATTGGCTAGTGGGTTTGAACCACCGACCTTTTGGTTAGCACCTGAGCGCTTAACCTCTGTGCCACCAGGGCTCCTTTTCACTAGCCATCAGGAGACTACAAATTAAAACCACAAGGAGGTATCACCACACACCTATCAGAATGGCTAGCATAACAAATAGTGACAACACCAATTGCTGGCGAGGATGTGGAGAAACTGGATCACTCACACATTGCTAGTGGGAATGTAAAATGGTACCACCACTGGAAAGGTTTGGCAGTTTCCTAAAAAACTACACATACAACTACCATATGACAGAGCAATTACATTTCTGGCATTTATTCTGGAGAAATGAAGACTTATGTTTACACAAATACTTGGACACGAAGGTTTAGAGCAGCTTTATTTGTAATAGTGAAAAAAGCCAGTCCCAGAAGGTTATATACTACGTGATTTCTTTTATAAAAATTCTTGAAATGACAAAATTATAGACATTGAGAACAAATTAGTGGTTGTCAGGGATTAAGGAGAGGGTAGAGGTGAAAGGAGAGTGGGTGGTGGTGGTGTTAGGTGCTGTCAAGTCAGTTCCGACTCACAGCAATCCTGTGTACAACAGAGTGGATACAGTAGCTGTTAAAGGGTAAGAAGAGGGATCTTTGTGGTGATGGAAATGTAGAGTATCTTAACTGTATCAACGTCAGTAACCTGGTTGTGACACTGTACTACAGTTTTGCAAGATGTTACCATTGGGAAAACTGGGTGAAGGTACATGGGATCTTACAGCTACATGTGAATCTACAATTATCTCAAAATAAAAATGTTTAATTAAAACAAAAAAAGAACATTATAGAAAATGTGAGTACTTTCATCATAATAATTGGTTACCAAATGTATATATAAATCAAATCAGTACATGTAAAGAATAAAGACTGTCTAGTGATTTACCTTATAACTTGTATAGAACTGACCACTTCAACATAAAAATTACACTAAAAAAAGACAGGATTTGATGTATCCTAGACAAAGCTTCTGTATTTTCCTGAAGGATTGAGATAGATTTTAAAGAATGAGGCTGTATCACTTACTACTTCATCTGCAAATCCACCAGCCAGGACAAGAGAATAAGCCCCATCATTACTTCGACCATGAATTCCACCAACATGGGGCCTATGGACACCTGCTTCGCTCACCTATAAAATAAGCAAAAAGAGTCTCACGGTATCTCTGAACAGTTAGTTAAGTTACATTTAAAAAGTGCATTCACATATATTACTGGACCCTAAAATTCTCCAACCAAGAACTAAATCTCACCCAGAGTTCTATCTTTTGCTCTCACTCAGTTCTCTCAAAGTATATCCCTTAGGTACTGTCCTGGATTAAATTGTGTCCCCCCAAAATATGTGTTGTAAATCTCAACCCCTACACCTGTGGTTATAATACCATTTGGGAATGGGTTTTCTTTGTTATTTTAATGAGACAGTATTAGTCAATCTCTTTTCAGATATAAAAGGAGCAGATTAAACAAGAATGGGAGGAAGCACCGCTGGGGGAAGATAATGCCATGCCACATGAAGATCACCAAGGAACCAAGGTACAAGGCCGCTCCCCCAGGGCAGAGAGAGAGAGAAAGTCTTCCCTGAGAGCCAGCGCCCTGAATTTGAACTTCTAGTCTCCTAAACTGTGAGCAAATAAACTTCTGTTTGTTAAAGCCACCCACCTGTGGTATTTCTGTTACAGCTGCACTAGAGAACTAGACACGTATTGGGCTAATGACTCTAAAACTGCTCGCGCCTAGAATTCTGAGTTTCAAAATAATGATGAAATAATCTTCTTATGTCTATTGGTACTTTCACTCAACACGGCTAAAACAGAACTTACAATCCGTGTTCCAAATCTCTTCTCCCTTCTCATTTCTTGTTTCTTGCCCAGATGGCCAAGTCAGAAATGCAGGAGTCATTTTAGATTCTTTTTCTCCCTTATTCCCCAAACCCATTTGGTCACAAGTACTGCTGATTCTATCTCTTAAATCTCTCAAATCCATCATTTTCTACTTTCACTCCTACATTCTTAGTGCAAGTTATGGATGCTGTCTTAGTCATCTAGTGCTGCTATACCAGAAATACCACAAGTGAATGGCTTTAACAAAGAGAAGCTTATTTTCCCACAGTCCAGTAGGCTAAAAGTCCGAATTCAGGGCGCCGGCTCCAGGGTAAGGCTTTCTCTCTCTGTCAGCTCTGGAGGAAGGTCCTTGTCATCACTCTTCCCCTGGTCTGGGAGTGTCTCAGCGCAGAAACCTCAGGACCAAAGGACGCACTCTGTTTCTGGCACTGCTTTCTTGGTGGTATGAGGTCCCCGTGTCTCTCTGCTCACTTCTCTTTTATATCTCAAAAGATTGGCTGAAGACACTACCTAATCTTGTAGACCTCATCAGTATAACTGCCACTAATCCATCTTATCACATCATAGTGATAGAGTTTACAACACATAAGGAAATCACATCAGATTACAAAATGGTACACAATCATACAATACTGGGAATCATGACCCAGCCAAGTTTACAGATATTTCTGGGGGACACAATTCAATCCATGACAGATGCTTACCATTCTGAACATCACAAACAGAATGATCCTTTTAAGAAGCATTCTGCTTTGGATTTTCAACTGCTTAAAATACAATGGTCCTTAAGTATCAAGGCCAAGCTAAGTATTATATATTACTCTCTCAGTTGGGCTCCTACTTACTTTCCTCACCTTATCTCCAATTTCTCCTTCATGAAGCCTATATACTTGAGCCAAAACTACTGAATGTTACCCAGATGTGCTACTGCTTTTCTTACTTAACTCATGCTATTCTACTTCAGTGGTCTACTGCTTTTTTCCATACGTCTTCAAGTCTGGCTCACTGAAACAAGTGTCATTTCTTTATATGATTCAAGGTCTATGAGAAAGGTATTGTAGTTCAACTGTTTGTAATACAATTATACTTAGCACAGAAAAGGAAGCTGAAATCTAAGCTTGTATAGTGGACTAGGGAAAAGCGGACACTTTAGAAACCAACAAGAAGCTGATCAATGCAACAGAACCTGGAAAGGCTTACGTACTTCGGCAGAGACAGAGCCATGGGATAGAGCCAAAAACAAGGGGTTGACTCAAGTTTGTACAAGGAGTTGTTAGTCTAGCCCAAGTCCATGCAAGCCAGGAGAATGCTCCTCTCCTACACCTGTAGATTTATTTTCTGAAAAAGCATGCATAGATGGAAACAGGGGAACTAAGTAAAAGTCTCCATAGTGAACACTGAGACTTCCCTTTCACTAGGTTCCCAAAATGTTGGCAGCCACTGTGTTAATCCATCTCATTTAGGATCTTCCTCTTTTTTGCTGACCCTCTACTTTACCAAGTATGATATCCTTCTCCAGCGACTGGCCCCTCCTGATACCATGTCCAAAGTACATGAGATGAAGTCTCGCCATCCTCAGTTCTAAGGAGCATTCTGCCTATAGTTCTTCCAAGACAGATTTGTTCATTTTTCTGGCAGTCCGTGGTATAGTCCATATTCTTCGCCAACACCACAATTCAAAGATGTAAATTCTTTGGTCTTCCTTATTCATTGTCCAGCATTCACACACATATGAGGTAACTGAAAATACCAAAGCTTAGGTCAGGCGCACCTTTGTCTTCAAGGTGACATGTTTGCTTTTTAATGCTTTGAAGAGGTCTTTTGCAATAGATTTGCCCAATGCAATACGTCATTTGATTTCTTGACTGCTGCTTCATGGGTGTTGACTGTGGATCCAAGTAAAATGAAATCCTTGGCAATTTCAACATTTTCTCCACTTATCATGATGTTGCTTATTTGTCCAGTTGTGAAGATTTTTGTTTTCTTTATGTTAAGGTGTAATCCAAGTACTTCAAGTCCTCTTCACTTTCAGCAAGCAAGATTGTATTATCTTCTATCATTGGTTGTTAATGAGTCTTCTGCCAATCTTGAAGTCACGTTCTTCTTCATATAGTCCAGCTTCTTGAATTATTTGCTGACTGAATAAGTATAGTGGAAGGATACAACCCTGACACACACCTTTCCTGATTTTACACCACGCAGCATCCCCTTGTTCTGTTCAAACAACTACCTCTTGGTCTAGGTACAGGTTCTGCACGAGCACAATTAAGTTTTCTGGAATTCCCATTCTTTGCATTGTTATCCATAATTTGTTATGATCCAGAGTCCAATGCCTTTGCATAGTCAATAAAACACAGGTAAACACTTCTCTAGTATTCTCTGCTTTCAGCCAAAATCCATCTGACATCAGCAGTGATATCCCTGGTTCCATGTCCTCTTCTGAATCCAGCTTGAATTTCTGGCAGTTCCCTGTTGATCTACCACTGTAACCGTTTTTGGATTATCTTCAGCAAAATTTTACTTGCGTGTGATATTAATGACACTCCATAGGTGATCTTATCTGGTCTTATGGCTTTAGATATCAGGTACCTCCACACACTGACTACTCTAAATGTGTATTTCCTGTTAGACTCCTCTTCTGAATTCTAGTCTCATTTATCCAGTCTACTCTACATCTCCACTTGAATTTATTATCGGAATTTCAAACTTAACTTCTGACTCCCCTCCTCACCAGGGACACAAACAGATACTTGCACACCAATGTTCACTGCAGTATTATTCATAATAGCCAAAAGGCAGAAACAACCCAAGTGTCCATCAACAGATGAATGGATAAACAAAATGTGGCATACACATACAACAGAATATTATTCAGCCATAAAGAGAATGAAGTTCTGATACATGCTATGACATAGATAAACCTTGAGAACATTATGATGAGTGAAGTAAGTCAGACATAAAAGGACAAATATTGTATGATCCCACTTACATAAAATATCTAGAACAGGAAAATACATAGCAACAAAAGTTTATTAGTGGTTACCAGGGATGGGTAGGAGAAGGGAAGGGAGAGCTATTGCTTAAGGAGTACTGAGTTTGTATTTGAGGTCATGAAAAACCTCTTTTGTTTACAGTAAAGTTCAGAATGTCTCTAACGGGACACTGCTACACTCGAGCAGATTTTTTTTTTCTTTCACATTAAGTTTTCCATAATGATAAAATTACCTTTCTGAAGAAGAAGTTAGGAATAAATACAACAGAGCCTCCCAGTGCTTCTTTAAGGGAAATGGGGACTTACTTATATCCTAGAATTAGCTGGCCCTTTTTTCTGCTCAAAACCTTAGCATTCGGTCAGGAGGATATAAGCCCCAAAGAAAACACTCAAAGCGAGAGTTCTTAGGATTCAATGACATTAAATGAGAACTTCCACAATTTAAAGTAAAAATTGTAACATTTCAAGTATTAAATTCTTGGCAAGAAAAATTCTTTAGAAAGCTTAACTGTACTAGAACAGTAAAACAAAGAGATGAAAAGGTATAGCTGATGCCTAACTCCATGACTTACGTTCTTCTGTCTATTAATTTACTCATCCTAAAGGAAATCTTTTATTCCAACAACTGAATGCCACGCGTTTCTAGCTAGGTTTGTCCTTTTATAATCAATAGATTATATCCAATTTCCCCCTATGAACTAGGCCAATTTTAAAACATACCTGAACTCTAAATCTCCAAGTTGATCCAACAGGAATCCCAGGAATAGGTCCATAATGATTAGAAGGGACAATAGTACATTCTCTAGTACGGCCAACACAGGCCATTCCCTAAAAGTCACAAAACGAGCTGAGAAATTAGTTATGTTCAAATTTTAGAGAAAGCTCTTAATAACCCACAAAATGTAAATAAAATAGAAATCTGTTTATAGAAATTAAGTATTAGTGATATCAACAATTAACTATATTGTTTAATCTTTTATGCCATTACTACTATTGCATTGAAACATTATAACTTGCTACTAGGAAGAAAGGAAGAATTTCTTCTTTACCCTGCCCCAGTCTCTCCGGCTTTCAGTACTAGCTGATGGCATCTTTGCTTTCTTTTTACTCATCTTAAGTCTTTCACCAGCCTTCACAACTTCACTGGAATCAGTTTTACAGGAAGGACAATACCTTAAAAAAAAAGAACAAAGGATCATATTAAAGCTAGTAACAGAATATGGTCTTCCCAGAGTAGATTAGTTTTTAAGTCGCATTATCTGGCATATATTAAAGAGCTTCAGCTGACATTGAAAGTATTAAACCTTTCAAAATATTTACATGGTTAGGCTGGCCATAAAAAAAAAAAAAAAAAAAATTCTCGTCATTCTTGTAGAGAACTTGAGGATTTTAATACCACAAATCCCAAACTCAGTTCAGAAGCCAGACAAAGCTGTCCAATTCAAATGGCACCATGGATTCTGATTTTATCACTAATCTGGACAATAAAAATTATTCATTTGGGATTTTAATCATCAAAACAAAACTAGCAATAGTAGATGCTTCTAGACTCAACGCTGAACTATGCAACCGATTTATCTATCTCCCCATCTGAATTGGCTATTAGAATTCTCAAAGTTAAAAATATACACTAGTCTATTATAACATGTATACAGAATTTAAAAAATGTTTTTATTAGCCTCATCTCTAGCTCAATTTTAACGTCCTATTCTTTGTTCTTTAGTATATTTGCAGTTGGTCACCCTGCTATAACTTGTGTATCATTATGACTTGCCTTAAATCATTCCTAACAAGGTATAAACACATCTACAGAACAAGGTGGGACTGTTCTTGTGTTGCCAAGGAACGGAAGCTCTTGGAATAGCCTAACAAAGATCTAATCATCACGCCCCACATTAACCATAAATTTCTATTTCTATACTTTCCATTTTCATAATTATCTATTCCATGTGGTCTTCAGAGCAAAGAAGATGACGTCTATGCTCACTAGTCAATTCTGATTGCCTAATTATGAGACTGGAGACCTGCTGGCACAGTAGTTAAGAATTCAGCTGCTAACCAAAAGGTTGCCAGTTTGAATCCAAGAACCACTCCTTGGAAACCCTATGGGGCAGTTCTTATTTGTCCTATAGGTTCGCCATGAGTTGGAATCGACTCAATAGCAGTAAGTTGTTTTTTTTTTTAATTATGAGATTATAGGGTCTCTATGAGTCAGAATTGACTTGACAGCAATGGATTTTAGGTTTTAATTATGATGTATCTTCTTTAGCATTTTAGGAGAGAAAAATGTAAATAATTCAGTTCCTGGTCCTGAGAAAATTAGTTGGGGAGGTAAGGTACAGACACAAATAAATTTATGGCAAAAGTATGTATGAGATGGCACTAAATATTATGAAAGTAAAATCTGTTCCAACTGGGAAATCAGGAAGACTTCCAAAAATTAATTTGTTCTAAGAAAGCCTATATTTCACCTGATATGCTAGCCTTTCTAACTATAATTTTATCAACAATTTTGTGATTAAAATAGGTATTCTTTCTCTCTGATGAGAAAATGAGTCTAGAGTTTAAATATCCAGACAACATGATTTGGGGAAATAGAAAAGTAGGTTTAAGGTCAGGATTTATCAGGGAAGTGAAGGAGCTCGATATGAATGTAAAGCTTATAGGGTAATATGAGACAGTCTTCTAATTATATTATCCTAAAGTCATCCTTGACATTCATCCCTTCAACAGGTTTGTTCGGAACCTACTATGTGTCGGGCACTACTTTGGTGCTGGGTATAAAAGTTTGTGTTCAAGATGTTCTTACATACTAGTTGAGGAAAATCAGCATGCATAAGCAAAGAACTTCACAGAGTGGTTAAGCGCTATGAGGGAAACACATCATCAGGGTTATGTGATAAGATGATGGAAAATGGTATGCTTCTTTAGACAGAGTAGGTAAGGCTTCTGAAGTGACATTCCATGAAGAAGCCAGGGAAGGCATGCCAGGCACAGAAACAGTAAGCGCAAAGGTCCTGAGGCATAAAACGGAATGGTATGCTTTCAAGAACATAAAAGTGGGCACAGCTGAAAGTAAATAAGGAGGAGAATGGTAAGTGATTAGGTTAGAGAAGTTGGCAGGGGCCAGGTCACAGATGGCAAAGATTTTATTCTAAGTGCAATTAAGAAGATACGTTGTTGCTGTTATTGTGTGTTATGGAGTCTATTCTGACTCACTGAGACCCTGTGACAGTAGAAATGTCCCATAGGGTTCCCTAGGAGGCGAGCGACATGATTCAGGACTTAAGAAGATCATCCTGGCTTCTATGGGAGAAATGATAGTTGGTGGGCAATGTGGAACCAAGTAGACTAGCTAGGCATCTATCACAGCAGTTCAGGCAAGAGATGATTTGGATTGGAGTGGTAAGAGTGGAGAAAGATAATAGAGAACTGACAAGATTTGCTGATATATTGGATGTAGAGTGTGCGAGGAGGCAAAGGAGGAATCAAGAGTGAAGTTTAGCTATTCCATGTGAACAAGTGGACAAAATGATGGTACCATTTTCTGAAGACTGAAAGAGGTGCAGGATTTTAGGGAGGGTGCTTGTGGAATTCGAGATCTCCATTTGGACACACTAATTTTGTGAAATAGTTGGATACAGGAATATAAAACTCAGGGGAGATTAGATCTGAAGACATAAATTTGGAGCCATGAGCTTGGTATTTAAAGCCTCATGATTAGATGAGGTCATATAGGGAGCAAACATAAACAGAGAAAAGAAGTAGGTTCAGATGCTCTGAGAACTTCAGCATTCAGAAATCTGGTAGGTGAGGGAAAATTAAGACACTAAGAAGGAAAGGCCAATGAAGTAACACGAAAATCAGGATCGTGTGATATCATCAAACCTATAAAAAGTGTTTCAAGGATACTAAGCAGCTGACCAGTAGAGTAAGAAGTGGACCAAGTGACCATTGGGTTTGGCAACACAGAAATGTCTGTGAGCTTGACAAGCAGATTTTGTGGCACAGTGGGAAGGAAAGCCAGACTGGAGTGCTAAGATGTGAACAGGAGAGCAAATGGAAACAATTAGTGGAGATGGCCCCTCACAAGCTTTGCCACGAAAGGAGCAAAGAAATGGGGTAGGTAGGTGGTAGGTGAAATGGAATCAAAGAAAGTGTGTGTTTTGTTTTAAAAACTCAAGAGATTCTAGGATGCTGATGAGAATGACCCAGTAATGGCAATAAAGGAAGGGAATTTACAGGAATGAAGTTCCTAAAAAGGCAAGAGGATATAAAACTGTGAGAGCAGGTAGAAGAGTTTGCTTCCATTAAAACAAGAGGGAAGAAAACTAAGACTCAGAGGATATGTAGTTACTGGTGATGGTAAAGTCCAGGATGTGACCATGTAAGGTGCCTGTTGGGGATGAAAGGAAGAAGTTTTATCCCCTTCTCTCTTCCCACCCCTACAGCCTCTATCATTATACAACAACCACCTTCCCAATAGGCTGAGGAGATCAAGGAACAGAGAACAATCTATTCTTCACATGGTTACCAGCTACCCACTTGTAACATCATTATTTCTGACTATGTCATCCCTCTTACTTAAAATCTCTCTCAATGGTAGCGCAGGGCCCATAGTTTCAAAACCAAACCAAACAAACAAACAAAAAAACCTCCTTAGTATGGCATTAAAAAGTCCATTACAACTTGGTGGGCCCATGTTTCCAGTCTCTTTTCTAATCACTTCTTTTTGTAGCAAACACTAATCAACAGAAGAAGTACAGACTTTGGTAAGTATATTTGATCTAAAAGTGTTGTTCTACTTAGCTACCTCACAATATTAAATAAGATAACCCATATAAAGCACTTCGTTAGTGCCTAGCATATATTAAGTACTTATTACTAATATAACTAAAACCAAACCTGTTGCCGTTGAGTCGATTCCGACTCATAGTGACCCTACAGGACAGAGTAGAACTGCCCCATAGGGTTTCCAAGGCTGTAAATCTTTACAGAAGCAGACTGCAACACCCTCCTCCTGCAGAATGGCTGAAGGGTTTGAATCACTGACCTTTTGGTTAGCAGCCAAGTGCTTAACCACTCACCACCAGGCAGGGGCATCTAATCTAGTTGGGGAGTCAGAAGGGCCATCCACAAAGGCTTCCCAGAGGAAGTCATAATGAAGTGAAAACCTGAAGGATGAGTATCATCCTGAAGTTAAGCAAGGGAGAAAATATTTCTAAAAAGAAAACGTGTCAAGCGTGAAACCCCCAAGGAGAAAAAGAACATAACGTATTTAAGAAGTTGAAAGATATTCAATCTAGCTAGAGTGTAGACTATTTGGGGAAATGGAAGAGGAAAAGGTGGTAAGAGATATAGCTGGAGAAATCAACTAAATAACACCATGGATGGCCCTATAAGGCAACATAAAGCTTCTGAAGCAAAGAAGTAACATAATCAGATCTTCACTTTTGAAAGAAGAGACTCCATAATGAAGAAAGGACTGGAGGGGGATGAAAATGGAGCTAGAGCCTGTTCAGAAGCTGGTACAGTATGGAATAAACATGTCAACCCCAAGTAACCATTGGTGATAACATTTTAAGCACTTTAATAAACACTATATATCTTTAGAAATCTATTTTAGAAAATACATATTTCCCATTCTCTTCTTAAACATAACAACAACAAAAGATAACCCTGATAATCATACCAGTATTCTTCTTCTGGGATCTTATCCAAAGGTGGATTCAGGCAGTAAATATGAAATGCCATATTACACTCATCACATAGAAGCTGCATGTTGGGTTCTTGTTTTCCACCACATACATGGCAGGAGCAAGACTGGCATTTCTTATCTGGGTCTCCACCACACAGGTCACATTCAGGGTCATTTTTCCCTATTAGGAAAAAAATTATAGCAAGCCCAGTCTTAAGATCATTTTCATATCTATGAATCTTTTAAAGAAAAATGGAAATAGCAAACGGCTCTTTTAATAAACAGAAAGGAACCACAGGAATAATCAAGCGTGGGACTTTAAGAATAAATGCCTTAGTCTCATCCTAGACTTACTGAATCAGAATTTCAGGGATAGGGCCCAGGCATAGGCCAGTGAAAAACCTAATAACCAAAAACCATGAGGATAATCCATACTTCTACCTTAAAAATCTAATATATTAGTATTGTAGCCTCAAAAAATGAGAGTAGCCTAGACTGGGAACCTGGAAACTTATTTATTGATTTGTTAAAGGACTTATCTTGTTCTAATCTTGTACAATTGTGGTAAGAAAATTTTTTTTATAGATCAATAAATAGGTTTCAACTCTGAGCTATGTCTTATAATAAACATTGACACATGGCATAAAATAAATGGACTGCTCTCCACACAAAAATTCAAAATTAAGAGAGAATGAGACACTCTACACACTTTGGGTCGCCATGAATTGGAACTGACTTGACTGTAAAAACAATCTGTTTGGAAAGGCAGCAATTGAACCATGAATGGAAAGACCCAGAATGTAGTCCTACCTCTTTTACCAACTCACTGTGTGGTATGAAACAAGTAAAAATCTGTAAGATGAAGAGGTAGGATTACCTTGTAACATTATAATAATTACATAAACCCCATTTATTATCTCCCAGACATTCAAGGCTCTATCAGTACTATTATCCTCAGGCTCCACTTGTATAAAAATTAAGTCTTGTTATGAAAAAATTAATCTTGAATACCCACAAAATAACTGAAATTTTTTTCCTTTTGACAAATTCTATAATACAGGAAATAACAAGACGTCAATAAAATGCCCAAGTTGAGAAAAATGTTTCTTTAAAAAAAAATATATAATTTGAGAAAAATTCATTCACCAAAATGGATTAAATATATTGTTTTAAAAACAAGTTTGTATAGGCTACAGTTTTTCACTTCTTTCCAAGTTATTCACTGACCAGTTAAAATGTCAATTTTGTAACTCATATAGTCGAAGCCCAGAAGAAAAATTCATACTTAAAAATTTTCCATCTGCAAGTGAAAGTGGATGGGCTCCAGGTTTCTCAATCTTGAAGATTTCATCTGTGAATATTATCCTGCAGTCATTTAATGTTCCTTCGGAACCCCTGTTTAAAAAAGGAAGAATGGTTAGCTTCTGGTAGTAAAATATAAACTATATGCAAGTAATTATTAAAAGTCAGTTTGGAAACTCACTGAACTTTGCCTATTTACATATTGAGATTAGAGCTATTTCAATCACTCTGAGCTATTGTTTCCAAGAGCAGAAAAAGTTCAATAGTGATTAGTTAACATTCAAAGACAAGCTAACTTTAGTGTAAAATTATGAAAAAATCCAGAGACTTCATCATTTAGATTATCTGGTAAGAAGATAGCTGCCTGGCAAATTTAAAGCCTAAGTAAAATGAAACCCTGTCAATTAAAATGAAAAAGTTTAATCATATTTCAAAAAATATATAGTAAATTTCTGGGTAAAAACAAGATAATCATTTAACAAGAAAATATTTCAAATACTGAGCCTTATTTATCATAAACTCAATTTATGCCTGTTTGCATGTTTCTTCAAAGTTTCATATGATTATAGACTTGTTTATTTTTCTTTTTAATCTGTCAATTTTTGCTTTATATTTTTTAAGATATGTTATTGGGTACATACAGATTTAGAATTCTTATGCATTATTCTGAAATGTCTCCAGCTCATCCTACATCAAAAGTCTATTTTGTTTTTTTTAGCTAGCATTTGCTGGGTGACTTTTCCATCTTTTCATCTTTTTTTAAACTTTTAATGTCAGATATATACAAATGTAGAAAACTGCATAAATGAATGTATAGCTTAACCAATTATAAGGTGTACATCCTTGTAATTACCAACTGTGACAGGAGACAGAAGTATTATGCCAGCTACCCCAGGACCCCCTGACATGACCCTTCCCAAGCACAACCCTCTACACCCTCCCCACCAAGAGTTGTATTTGCCCTAATTTTTCTTAATTTACTTCAGTCTCACCATTTGTCCTCCTCCCTAACACCGCAATGGTATAGTTTTGTCTGTGTTTTAAATTCTCAAATCTATAAATTCTCATATAATCTCTTTCTTTTTGCAATTTACTTGTTAAAGAAACTCCATCATTTGTATCACAGAGTTTCCCACAGTCTTGATTTTGATATTTGCATTCCTGTAGTATAGTTTAAACAGTTTTTCTGTCATCTGTATTTCCAATAAATTGGGAGTTGAATCTGGAGCTTTGTTATTATCATTAGGTGCAGAAGTCAGCAAACCTCATTCTACTGCCTGTTTCTGTAAATAAAGTTTTACTGCAACAGAGCCACACATAGTCATGTATGTAATGTCTATGGCTGTTTTCATGCTACAATGGTAGAGCTGAGTAGTTTTGACAGTACTATCTGGCCCCTAAATGCTGAATTGTTTACTATCTGGCCCTTTACAAGAGAAAAAAAATATTGCTAATCCTTGCTCTGGAAACATGACCATATTCAGGTTTGTTTTTTGGTTAGACCACTTCTTAGTCTATTTCCGTCAGGAGGCACCTAGTTATTTAGTTGTCTTTTATCTGCGATGACAGTAGCTGCTGATGTTCAATGTCTAGATCTATTAAATCATTGGGGATTGTAAAATGTTATTATTCCAATTCCATCATTCCCTTCTCATTTATTTGCTGGAATAATTCCAAAAAGAGAAACCTGACTTCATCAACTATTTGGTTATTCAGTGGTACAGTTCACAGAACAAAGGCAGTTTAAATACTCTTCCGCAGTTTTCTAAAATAAATAGTTCTCGAACATCCTCCATAGGTGCCCAATGAGCTTTTGCATTATTATGAACTCATGGATATATCTGATGTGTTTCAATCCTCTACCGTTATTTTCCTTCTTGCTGCTCAAATTGTCCCATCTTTTGCCAACAGGAGCTTCTAGTTGACTCAAAAATCCTTAGTAGTCTTTGTGGGCTTCTTTACTGTCTAGTATGACAAGTCTTACAGGTTTATCTTGTACATTCTCTGCACGTGGCCTGGAATCATTTTTCCAAAGAAACTTGGTTTCTTTTAGTGGGAAGTGATATTTCAAGACCACAATTTGGGCACTAGGAAAGCTTATTACAACTAGATTTCTAGGCTTTTACAGTGGACAAAGCCACAACATTTAAATGCACACACTCACATGCCAAATACCTCATGAGTTCATACTAATACTTCCAGTTCAAATTCAGAACTAAAAGGTATTGACTTTTTTTTTTTTTATTATTATACACCTGTTATCTCTTTTTTCCCCAACCAGAGAAATCCTGGTTTCAAGGATACCAGGGATGTCTAAATTAGAATGCTACAAATACTCCTTTGCTTTACCCCCCATCACACATAAGATATTCTCACAAAGTTTACAGCCTTGGTAAGGTTTGGCCTACCCGTTTTGTCCTGACTACCCACAGTTGTCAACCAACAGCCTGTCGTAATCTGCGGAGCTACTCTACCAGTGGTTTCAAAATCTGTTTGCCTTCTAAGACTGCTGAAAATTCCACTATGCTTTTTACTTACAGTTTTAGCCTCCTGTCCAGCAGAAGTCCAGGATTCAGCAAAAGTCCTGAGGCGAAAATAGGCCATACGCTCGAGACCTCCCTAATATCTGCCAAAAGCTTTGCTGATTTCTGTGCCCTGCCTCAAGTGGCTCTCAACTAGGTTTCCCACTGCATCCAGATTTAGCAGATTCCCCAGGGCAAAAGCAACTACAAAAGTCAGCTAATCTTAGGTTCATCCCTTTCCAGAGTCATAGCCCCTAAAACTCCTCATGCCTCCTAATCAGCTCTCTGCTCCTTTCAAACAGATGATAACTCTATTTGATCTGGCTATTCTAGTTGTTTTAGGTAAGAGGGCTGGTCTACTGCCAGCTATTCTACTACTTGGAAGCAGAAGCCGTCCACATCTTTCTTTAAGTGCTTCAACAAGTGTCACAAAAACAGACTGCTTCAAAACACAAAAATCTCTTTTTTACCTCAATTAGCTCTCAATTTAGTTGAAGGCTTACCACAAACAATTCCTCAGCACAAAACTGATGAAGTCATGGATCACAACCAAAACATGTTAATAAATTGTCAATTCACTCCTTCAAGAAATACATTTAAAAAAAAAAAAAGGAAAAGACATACCATATTTCACTGAATCTAAGTCACCAACAGTTGTAAAATGCATTATATTAAGTACTACCAAAAAAGAAATTGACCTGAAATGGGGCGGTCTAAGAAGCACCCTCAAATACAGCTGAGATACACCAAATGAAAGTCAGCAACTATAAGACACAACATTATTTTACGTAATTCCAATAAAGAAAAAAGCATGAGATGAGGTATCTAAGAAGGAGCTTCAAATAAAGCTGGAACACGAAAAGGCTTCTTTCCAGTTAAAGGTAAATGGGAAATAAACTACCCTGTGGATAGAGGCAGAGAGTAAGCATGCTTGTTTCCATATTACCACTGGGTATAAGGAGGAAAAAAGCATTCCCTGAGAATTGAGCCACAAACTCAACAGGCTTGGAGGTTGGGATTCACACTATGTGTGGTGTAAAAAAAGGAGTCCTGGTGACAAAGTGGTTAAACACTCAGCTGCTAACCAAAAGCTTGGTGGCTCAAACCCACCAGTTGCTCCATAGGAGAAAGGCGTGGCAGTCTGCTTCTGTAAAGATTACAGCCTAGGAAACCCTATGGGGCAGTTCTACTCTGTCCTATAGGGTTGCTGTCATGGACTGAATTGTGTTCCCCAAAAACATGTGTCAACTCAGTTAGGCCATGATTCCCAGAATTGTGTAGTTGTCCTCCATTTTGTGATTGATATAATTTTCCTATGTGTTGTAAATCCTAATCTTGTCTGTGGTTAATGAGGCAAGATTAGATTATGTTAAAGAGGATTAGGGTGAGATGTAACACCCTTGCTCAGGTCATGTCCCTGATCCAATGTAAAGGGAGTTTCCCTGGGGTGTGGCCTGAACCACTTTTATCTTACAAGTCATAAAAGGAAAGGGAAGTGAGCAGAGAGTGGGGACTTTATACCACCAACTGGGAGCAGAGTGTGTCCTTTGGACCCAAGGTTCCTGAGCAGAGAAGCTCCTAGACCACAGGAAGATTAATAACAAGGACCTTCCCCTAAAGCCAACAGAGAGAGAAAGCCTTCCACTGGAGCTGACGCCCTGAATTTGGACCTAGACTGTGAGAGAATAAATTTCTCTTTGTTAAAGCCATCCACTTGTGGTATTTCTGTTATAGCAGCACTAGATAAAATTGACTTGACAGCAATGGGTTTTTGTGGTCTAAAAAACCTCAACCAGAGAATTTAATGTACTTAAGTGGCACTCCCATGTGACTGGCAGAAGCAAACTCAAATCTTCTTTGGAAGAATTCATCTTTGGTCAGTCCGATAGCAATTTTAAGATACATCTTGATTTCAGAGATGTTAAAATATGAAAAACTGTGCATCTCAGAATCTATGAAATATTGTATTTACTTAACACCCATTGTAACCAGTACCTAGAGCAGGGCCTGGCACACAGCAGTAAACCAAAATTAAGGCATTAACATTCCAGTAGTGCGTAAGGCAGAAGAATGCCCCCGACAAGGATGCCGAGATCCTAGTCCCTGAAACCTGTGAATATGTACCTTACATGGCAAGTTAATGAAGATGTGATTAAGCTGAGTTGGAGAGACTATCTTGGTTGGGTCAATGAAATCACAAAGGTCCTTAAGAGTAGAAGACAGAGGCAGCAGAGAGTCAGAAGCAGATGTGACTACAGAAGAATGTTCCGAGAGATGCAATACGGCTGGCTTTAAAGATGAAGAAAGGGGCCACGACCTAGGGAATGTAGGAGGCCTCTAGAAGCTAGAAAAGGCAAAGAAATGAATTCTCCCTTAGCACCTCCAGAAAGGAATACATCCCCGCCAACACCTTGATTTTAGCCCAGTGAAGCCCATTTGAGACTTCTGACTTCCAGAATTATAAAACAGTAAACTGTTTAAGCCACCAAGTTTGTTGTAATTTGCTGCAGTGGCAATAGGAAAATAATATAAGTGGGATAAGAGAGACAAATGTCCAGTGATAATAAATAC